TACAGACTTGCCGCTTGGACATCGAATAATTTGTTTTTAATGCGTTCAAGAGTTATAGCATAAAGGATGAATCGGGTCAAGGAAGCCTTTTACATAAATTCCTGACCAATAATAACTAAAACGGTGTTAATGAAACGCGTGCAGTCCAAACAAAATGTAAACCGACTAAATTATTATCTTATCGGTCGACATCACGGAAACAATCCAGTTCGTTCGAACAAAAACATATGCATAAATCAATACACCGGTCGTTGTTTTATACGGTTTTAGCCAATAATACCATCAAACAGTACATAACATTCACTAACCATGACAATTCTCCGGATACAAAAGCATGTATATCAAACAATACTCCAAACACGCATAAAAACAATTGGTTAGGATTTATGCATATTAGACTAAAAATTATTGTTAAAAAAATTTAACGAAATTATTTTGAAGTAAAATTGATTGGAATATAAATTTAACATAAAAACAGACAATATTTATACCTATTAGCTTTTATATTATACAACATTATACGTAGTGTTATTGTTTTAACTCAAAACAATTATAATTAATTATACTTAAAAAATAAACTATTAAGTCGTCACACCTTATTCTTGAAGTTAATGTTTAATTACATAATGTGTGTATAACATTATACCAATAATACGGGCCCGTTTTTACCATATTAGGTATTATATCATGTAAAAACGATATTAACGCTGTCGGCTGATGGTTGCATGTTTAAAATGTAAACTCATATTTTTTTTTAATACTAGGCACTAACCCCATCAGTAAAATGAGAATTAGACAAAAAATGAAACATTGTTTTTTGGTTGATTTGTAATTGTGTCATTTACAAAAGTATAACAAAAATGTTTAATAGTATACAACGTAAATATATAAATACACTCTAGTTTAATAATGTATTCATTATATCGAACTCATTAAATTACCATTTTGTCTATAAAATCAATCATATGTAACTTTTAACTATGAAAATGTGTACATTTCTATAAATCGAAGTTAACAACAGTATCATTAATATAAAAATACCACAACAAAAAATAATGTGGTCACTAACTGACCGACATTTTAGTGTGATATCCGTAATATGGCAAATAACACATTGCTAATAAGTATACTAAAACGACAACCACGTTGTCAAAATGCAATATATGTGTCGAAAATCCATTCATCTTCATATAATGGCACAACTTCAAAAATCTACTTATAAGTTATTACTTATTACCAAGAAGTTGTAATAAAAAAAATCTTTCTCGTTTCATTTGACAAAGCAACGTAGCATCTCAAACGATCAACACTTTCGATAAACGTTTTAACATATCTGCACATTTTTTTATTGTCATTAATTGTAATTGTATTATTTTTTTGCATTATTATTGTATTTGAATTTAAATTATACTCCTTATTATTGTCGATCCAACATGTTTTAATATTTAAACAAATTTGCTTAAGCCCCTTAACTCGATTAATACCTTAAATGTATTTCTCTCCTTTCTGTCATTGGCTCATTACGTATACAACAATTTTACCTTTACTACTCTACCTCATCATTTTTAATGATTACAATTTAACTACATTTTTTCTTCATAAGTTTATCAATTATATGTAATATTCGAACCACAATTATTGAAAACAAATGTACTATAAAGCAATATCAGTTTTTCCCGATTATTGTAAGGACCGGAAAAATCGACGATATCTCTATAAATCCGGTACATCGTATCGTCTTGCCCGCTTTATAATTTTTAGTCAAATGATACACAAATATAATAATATTATTACCTGTTATAAATTTGACCAAGGTAATTGGACAATTTCCTAGCGAACTATGACACGATCGTGAATAATTGATTTATACGGATTGAACATTAAAATAAAATAAAAAAAGGAACGTTTGTTTCTGCATCGAACCGTTAGTTTCACCGTTTGCACGGGACCATAACTTCTACGTTTGGAATATAAAATTAACCTGAAAAACTTCATCAGCATAACCACTCTGGAAAGAACATCTATGAAATTGATTAATTTTTCATGTTGTCCTAAAAGAGAGTACAGTGTACACACAAAAAAAATTGCAGCAGAGTGCAATTATTAATACTATAATGGTAACAAATAAAAATATGATGTCCGGATAGAAACATTGGTATTTGTAGTAAATATCAAAACGCTACCCTTACGTTAGAATGTGGGACCGACTATAAACCATTTAAAAGGTTTAACTTTAAAAGGGTCGGAGATAACATGACCGTATCGTTACATTTAAATAGCCACAAGACTATTAGAAGCAATAGCGTTCCGTGTTTGTATTTTCATAACATACAAAGTAGACATTGTCACAAGTATACACATATATAAGTAAAATAACGGGTTGATATTGTCAGTTGGGTGTAAACGGGACGGAAGGACTTCCTCCAATCGTGGTCCATCAATTTTAGAACGTGTTCTATTTTATTGTAAAATTGACAAAATGGCTTTGTGGTACATTTTTTTTTAAACGCAGTTTGCATACATTAATCTCGGTGGGAACTTAAAACACCCTTCATCGCGTGACCGCCATCTGTACATATTATATACTATGTACTATCAATGAAGCCGATTAACGAGCAAAGGGTTAAAAGTCCTGTATTGAAAGAATGACAATGAGTATCACAATACCCGTGAATTCGATTTACATATTATTATAATTAATATTCAAACAATTTTCAGACTTAAACAGCTGGAACTAAACGTAATCCTCATGAATAAAACTTTTAGACGTAACACTACTCACAATTCTACATTGAATTCGAGAAAAATTGAACAATTAAAAACATTTCTTTTTTCGTATTCTTATCGCGAAAATATAAACTTTTAAACTTACTTCTCGTTGATAACGTATAACAAAACATATATACAAATAACTGTAAAATAAGCACAGTGTCAACTTTTGATTCATAAATCATAAGTCACAAATAATTTATGCTCGTTGGTTTATTTGTTCTCGACATAAACACCACAGCGATTTAGTAAAAAATATTCAAAAACGTAACGCTAATAAGTTATAAGCTTAAAAAGCCATCATTGTTTTTTACGAAAGCGTACATAATTAAAGTAATAAACATTGTGACATTGCTAATAAATAACTGATAAGCAGATCCTTCTAAAGCGCCTCCATTCAAAACATCAAGTTGTTTATATCAAATAACAAGAGTCTATTTTATCATTCATAGTTATTTATTGTTCTTGAACATTAGATTAGTTGATTAACTCGTATTTTAATTTAAAAATATACATTAAAAAAGAACATTTTATTAGATAAAATGTAGGCCTGAGTTTTGCATATGTAATAGTCAATAGATGATGTCAAAAATAGGATGTCCAATTTTTAAACAAAACAATGTGTATTACGTAGGCAATGTATAAATGCTATTGTAGTTTTTTTCTATTGATCGAGTTTTTTTAAATAAATATTTTTTGATCGTGATTTTTGAATAACTAACCGCATTTTAAACTTGAGTACAATTAAAAAATTGTTTTATTATAACAGTTAAAAACCCTAGTGGTAACCTTAAAACTGACACCAAAGTATACCACCTGGCACCTGCCTATATTTAAAATAGTAAAAGATATTAACCAGCGGACTAAAAAAAATGCCTAGGTACATCATATAAAATACAATTTACAAATGAAGCGTAAGTACATTAAAAATGAAAATTGTTCTATTAGACAATAAAACAATTTATTATCACTCAACATAAAAGTCCTTCTTTTTAGTATAGCATATAAATAACTATTCAAATTAGTCAAATTATAATAAAGGGAAATTTTAATGCAAGTGGTTCTAAAGAGCTTTTCCCAGAACTCATATTTTTTAACTATTGGGATCTTGATAGTTCAATAAATTGTATGTTCTCTATTATTTAATATACCGGATTTATAGCTTGCTGAATAAAAATATCTAATGTAAAACTATATATTTTATGTAATTATTATATTATTGTCATATGGTGCCTACAATTTTTTAAGATACATACCTATTACAATAATAAAATATTAAATATCATAGGTACTACCTATCTCTAACTAATTGGACTAAATAAAACATTTTCTGATTTATATAATAATTAATGTAAAATAATAATTAATCTTGAAGGCAACTAATTCTGTTATTGAATGCATAATAATTACCTCGAAAGTCGAACACAAAATAATAAAAGCTTTGGTTTTCTAGAGTCAAAACTATAAGCACAGTTTAAGGGCTAGGGTTACTTAACATGCTTAATACATGCCCAATACCTTACATTGTATAATGTGAAGAAACTTAAAATTGTTTATTGTCAATGTCCACCTTACTTTTTCAAAACTAAATTGCTCCCCTGGGTCAAGACATTCCAAAAATTACATTTAAGGTAGGTATTTCCATTAAATGTAAAAATAAAGTTTTTTGTTTCAATAATACAATTTTATATTACTCCAAATCGTATCAATGGTTTTTTATTTCCTCAGAAAATTAGGAAAGTGTTAATAGTACCTATATATTATATCTAATATTGTTAAAGTATTACACATTTGGCTAATGATAAACGAACTCACTTTTTTTCGAGTTTGGACGTCTAGTCAAATATTATTTCGATAATAATTTAATTTGATGGGAAAAACTTATGTTCAGCAAAAATTAAATAAAAATTCGATTTAACGAACACGTTTGCGATTGGATGTTCGGTCGCGAAACTACACGCACACCAGCAACCGGTAAAGACGTTGAGAAACGACTGGTATGGAAGGCCTGCCGCCTGGAAGCAAAACATTGTGAGCTTCGAGAGATCGAGCCTTAATTATTGTCGTTACCGAAATCCGGACCAGCAAGCCGGCGCAGTGGTGCCAACTGACGAGCGACGATCGTCGGCCACTGATGACGCATGGCCGTGACGTTCGACGACGTCATAATAGAGTTAGAGGAAACTAGCGAGCTACGAGACACAACGATAAAGGATCAGCTGCTGCTGATATCGTGATTCAGCACTATTATGATAACTGGTCGTACACAAATAACAGGATAATACGAATAAAGCAAAAAGCGAATTTTATTTTATTTCTTCTACAGACCCGGAAGTAGTAAGTTGACTACCACGTCAAAGTTGTTAAAGAGAACGTAAATAATTCTAGAAAACGATGGAATTTCCAAATTTGGGACAACACTGCTCAAAGGAGTCTTGCAAACGTTTAGGTAAGTCAGTTTTGAGTACTTAGTAGTGTTTTGAACGATTTAGTTTTTCCTTTGTTGTATCATGTATGTATTCTGACAAAGAATAATATTATGTTAGTAAGCTGACAATTCATGTTCACATTCATTCTTAATGCAAACGTTTAGACTTTAATAATTGTTATGTGTGCATTGTCTATATTTTATTGATTTTTTTAGTCTAAACATATTGAATTTTAGGATGGGGTTGAGATGGGTGCTCAAATTCTATGAACAGGAGAACAATAACTGACACATTATCACTTATTTAAAAAACAAGTTAAGATTGAAATATTTTACTACCTATAATATTTTCTGAAAACTATTTTTAGTATCTTATATATACTATCTTTTATGATGTGTAATCAAATTTGCCAACTCATACTTTTTTGGCATCACTTTATCTATCATGACTATGTAAAAAAAACCTGTTATAACCGGTTATAATTTTATTAAGTATTTTAGAAAATCAATTAAGTTAGGTTTATAATATTTTAAATATAATAAGTAATAAAAATTGAGTTAAAACCATTAAATTATTTATATGCTTAAATGTTTGTATTTTTCCCCAGATTTCCTACCTGTAAAATGTGATGCGTGCACAAATATTTTTTGGTAACTAATATTTGAATATCCCACCAAGAAAATATTTTTACTATCAAATTATTACATTTATTTCCAAAATTATTGTTTAGTTCTGATCATATGAGCTATAGTAGCCACCAATGTGAGTCAGCTTACAAGAAAAATGTCCAAGTGCCTGTATGTCCTTTATGCAGCAAGCCAGTACCAACACCTCGAGGACAGGAACCTGATTACACAGTAGGCCAACATATCGACAACGATTGTCGAGTGGCTGAGGGTAAAAAGGTACTTAGACCTGAAAATTGAAATTTGAGACGTATATTAATTTTATGTAATTATCTTATAGGTATTTACCAACCATTGTACTGTTGCAAAATGTCGTGGTAAGGAAGCAGTGCCTGTAGTATGCAGCGAATGCCGCCAAAATTATTGTTTTAAACATCGTCACCCTTCGGATCACAGTTGTAATGGGAATGCTAGAACAACTCAAAGAAGAGCAGAATCGAAAAATCGTTTTGGTTCTAACGGTATTGTAAAAAAACCATTTACAGCAACTTCTATACAGGGAACTATGGTAAATAGTAAATTATTTAATTATAATACTCTTGATTGTTAAAATTAACCATATTGTATGGTGATTTTCAGAGTGAAGATGAAGCGTTAGCTAGAGCACTTGCTGAATCTGAACGGTTAACTCCAAGGAATGTTACTAACCCAGAACAAAGATGTTCAGTTTCATGATTATAAACTATGCTGTTATTAAACGATCTATGCTCAATAGTGATAACATTTAGAGTTAAGCTCAATATACATTTATTTTATCTTGTTATTGAATTTTTAAATATTTAAACGTACATTCCAATCAGTCTTATTAGGTTATATTTGTATAATTGATTTAAATGCCTAATTGTTTTGTAAGAAAACTTATCTAAAATAATAAAAATAATTAAAAACAACAAATTTTATAATTAAAATAAATTTATTTAATAAAATATGTAATGCCCGTTCTTTGAAAAAACAATTTTTTTCTGTTTAATTATTTTATAAGATTTGTTTTGTATTTTTTTCCATAAAAATGTATTATGTCTAACATAATATTGTTTTATAGAAAACCTTTTTATTTATTTTATCAGTTACAATAGTAATATGTTTACTCAAATAATTACCACTGAGCATACTTTTATAAATAGCTTATTAAATTTAAATATTGGTACTTTTTGGTTAACAGGAGTACTATTGCTATGCACATCTCTCAGTAGTTAGTGTTACAAATTATCCGATTACAAAATATTTAAATACTCTTGTTGTTTTAAAATACTTCTATTATCAAGTATTTTAAATAACAATTTTTGGTGCTGAATACATATTGTAACAAATATTAAAAAAATATATGTTATCAATTTTTTTTTCTTCTGTTCTAAGGTTTTATATGAAGAAACTATTATTAACGTTTTGTTAGGTTTTTGGGTTTTTTTAAATTACAAAATTGGCAACCCCTAGTTTTTTAAGTTTTATTACAAAATCTAGAACACACTTCTAATGTATATACTTTGCTAAAAATTAAAAATATGTATATTTTTATTATAACGTTTTTATGACTCACAATCTTGTTAGTCCGTTCCGGGTGGAATCTTGCAACTCAAATTTCGAGCACTTCTCGATTAGCTATCCGACTGAAACTTTCAGGGTAGCTCACAATTCGATGACAATGCATTATTTATCCACTAGAGGTTGAAAATTCCACCTCTAAGGTGGTTAAAATGGGGTCGATTTCTTGTCCGTCGTTCCGGGTGGAATCTTGCAATTCAAAAAGACTTATTTCTCACCCGCCAGCAAAAATTATGCGTGGTGCGTTTGGGCGTGAACGGTGCTCAAATATGAGCGGTACCAGGTTCAACCCCGTTCCCATCATTACACTTTTTTGCATTTTCTTACAACTTTTAATCAACTTTTATGATAATTTATATAGTAATTACAACTTAATTTCAACTCTTATGATAATTTATACAGTAATCTAAAATTATAAGATTTTAAATTGATTACTAATTCTTATGATAATCCTTCTGACCATGCAGTCTTTTCTAATGTATGCCCAAAAACGTAGTAAATCAGTCCAGTCTGATTCCAAGGATGGATTTTATTATATAATATTGTAATAAGAAAACGAAAAAGAACAAAATAACTAAAGTAGATTAAAAAATTAATCTAAAAATAACGTTTTTATGCGTCTTCAAAAATATAAAATAACCCTCCGGGGGTCTTGATAACCAAATAGGACAGATGAACTAGAAAAACGAGGGGCGCATCTTTACTACTTCACACGTCTGAATATATAATAACATATTATCTTCTCATTAATAACTACCTTAACTCATAATTCATGCACAATCATCTTTTCTCTTCTAAATAAAATAATACTTAATGACATGTCATGTAAAATCGAGCACCACATTACTTTAAATGTTAAGCAAGTAGGTAGTTAACAAAAAAATTTAAGCAACCTACCTAGAACAAACTTTGGAGAGAATAGCAATTAAGTCTTTTCAAGTTTGCAATAAAATTTAAGGCAAGTGGCACGGAAATCCATTAAATTTTATTTCCGATAAAAAGTCATACTATCACTTTCTGATCCGTTCGGTTAGAGAGACTGCATTACGAGAGACAAATTAATGCATTAGCATTAAAGCTTAGGTTTTAATATCTAAGTAAAAAGATGCGCCTCACGTTTTTCTAGTTCATCTGTCCTATTTGGTTATCAAGACCCCCGGAGGGTTATTTTATATTTTTGAAGGCGCATAAAAACGTTATTTTTAGATTAATTTTTTGATCTACTTTAGTTTTTCTAAAATACATTTTAAAAATAGTGTTCACACACTGAATTATTGACTATTAAGTTGACTGTAAAAAGTCTATCCATCACATTAAAAATTTTGAGAAACAATTATGTATTATAAAGTGTAATAATAAATGTATTAACTATAAGAATACATACTTTTTTTAATTTCGGTATCAAATAATTGTGGAAATTAATGAATTGAAATTTTTATTTTATTAATAATGGCTTAATAACATTTTAAAATATATTTCTGGTTCATGAATTTGGCAAAGTATTTCTGAATGTCAAATGATGATTGTCTGAATCACAATATTTCTTAATATGCCATAAGGGTTGCTCAATATTTTGTGTATAAACAAACATCTGATTGTACGTCAACAAAATTGTAAAAAATAATTCATTCATTAATTAACCAATCTAATATCTATTCAATAACCTTATATCACCTATTAATATACTGGTAAGAGATCTAGATCCAGGAAGAGTGATCTGCCCTAAAACTATAATGTATTAGAGAAGTTAATTTTTCAACTTTCAATCAATTTTTATTACTCATAAATTCTCATAAAATTAATTTATACTTTTTTTTTAAGCCGTGTCAAAAATTCAATAGTAGGAAAGACCTTGCTAATATTTAACACTAATATATTTAAACATAAAGTCTTCAGGTTGATCAAATTTTAAAACATAAAAATTCTTTTGAATAAAATCTACTTTTAGATAGGAAATTTGTTCAAAATAACAAAATTCATCAAGAAAATTGTTTTATTAAATACCTCAAATGGATACCATTGACTGATATTTTATTAGCTATAACTGTAGCAACTTAAAATATAACTTTAAACCATGTAAAATAAACATTATCTTATGCTGAGATAATGTACAGTGTATACTATTTTTTTTTCAAGATTTGGCTATTATGGCCATTAGCTGCATATACCATTTAGATAACAGTTAATATTCATACTATTTAGCCCAGAATTATATAAAATCAACAATGTCTTAAAACAACAATAACCAATTGTATATTTCTCCTATAGGTATATGTATATGTGTGTGTGTGTGTGTATGTGTATGTGTATATATAGTGTTCTAAAAAAAAAAAAAAAAATGAACAAATCATTTTAAATTTGTTTCTTTTTTAACTCAAGTCATTTAACATACTATACTAACATAATCTAATAACTATAATAATTGTAAATTATGATAAATATACAAGACGAGTATAGTATATACATTATTTGTAGTTTTTTCAATATAAAAAAAATAATAAAAATTACATTTTGCAATTACAAAATCATACATAATAAAAACGCCTACACTTTTAATTTATATAATATAATGTTGATTAAAAAAACGTATTTAAATTGATTATTATAGTTGTTAATTTTTTTTTACCTAATATAAATATATGTTAACAAATTTTTTTAATTTTTTTGGCTTCGTGTTGTACTATTGTAAAAGTATTAATGACATGTTTATAGATTAAAAACAAATAAAAATAAATCACTGAAAAATAATTTAAAATTATTTTTTTGGTTCATCATTAACACTAATTAAAAATTAAAAAATATATAAATCGTTTTGTGTCATACTAATCTTTTTTAATAGTTTGTGGTGCTTCAGCTAGACCTTTGACCTAGAAACATAAAACATGGTTAAGTGTCAAAATAAGGTAAATTTTTTTTTTTTTTTTGCTTAAATAAGTTAACCAGAAAAAAATCAAAACAAATTTACAATAATCAATACAATTTGTAACCATGCAATGAATAAGCATAAAATTTTATAGCAATGAATAAAAATTGGATACCTGAAACCTAACCTGACTTCTCGATACTTCAAAACAGATAAAAGCCGCACCTACCCATACATAATCCTATGTTACTTGCAGAGGGAGGGGGCAAATTAAAAATTCTTTCGTTATTTTTAATAACGTAACATAAATATTTAATTATAAATTTACCTAAAAATCCACATAAAATGGTCTAGGCATATAAACCTAATGGATATTCTAAGTTGTAATTGAATTATTTCAATTTAACCACTCATTAGTAAACGCCTGATTAGTCTGTACATCTAGTATAACAATAAATTCTTACTTTCAAACGATCAGCTGTTTTCAAGAAAGCTGGCAATTGTTCTTGACTAATATTGACTTCACCAGCATACATAAATTCCAGTATCGATTGTAGGTGACTGAATGGTACATCTTTCAATATTATAATTGGATGTTTGGATGGGTTTTCCTTAAAAAATAATAATAATTACAGCGTAAATAAAAATTAATTCATCTTTAAGTTAAAAATTTGAGGTATCCCAGTTTTCATAGAAATATAGAAAATACAATAAATATAATACTTGTATCCTTAAACTATGTACCTAGTGCAAGTGTCATTAAAAATGGTTATACATCTTAAAAACTATTTAGAACCGTTAATAAATTATATAGAAATAAACAGTTTTAGCGCCTTCCTTTAAATAAAGTGATAAATACAAGTACTAAGTACTAACATAATAATAAGCTTAATACCATCTATTTATTTACTAAATTATAATTTATTTTTCTATTTAATAGCGTTTATTTTTTAAATCCCTCCTCAATTCTTAATCTTTACTAAGACAATTTTAAGTACTAAGTCTTGAGTTTCAACATTTTTTTAAAAAAAGTGTTTAAAACAATTTGTATTTGATAATTTTTAAATACTTACTATAGAAACCTGTATAATAAAGCGTTAGAATAAGCACTATAACTTTGATTTTTATATTAATTAAAAACCTTAATCACAATTAAATACACTTTATTCATCTGAACAATACACTTGTAATTAAGAATATTATCACAAGGAATGTTGTAATATCAGTGATATTAGTTTAACACTTATGAACCAATTGTTCTAACTATACCTGTACCTACATAACAATAATTTTACACCAATAGCCTAAAATCAACATTTTTTTTCATCTTTTATAAAAAAAATTCTTTTATTATTATAAGAAAAAAATAATTAGGTATTAAACAAATATCAATGTTAAACATTTCAAAATTGTATTCCTTTATAAATTATATCTTCTAATATGAATTCAAAAATGTATATTGAAAAACTCAATTATTTTAAATCATGAAAAATGATGATGATATAAGCTAATCATTGATTTACCTCTAGTAATGCCTTAAAGTAAGGACTGCAAGCGGACAAAACCATTTTGTGAGCCTTACAAGTTTGACCCTCGCACGCTAACGTCACGTCGGTAAAGCTTTTTTCATTCCTAAGATGTTTGAATGATGATACCATATTGCTCTGGTAATCGTTCCATTTTAAGAAGTATTGCTGTTGATCGGCCATTTTTTATCTAATAAAATTTTAAATCGTTATCAAAACATTATCTAAACAATACAAGTACTAGGTACTAGGTAAATAAAATAATACACAATATTAAGAAAATAAACGCGTAATGGAAAAAATGTACAGATATCGTTACCTTTAGTCGAATGTATCCTTTACTGGTAGTCACTGACTGCTGACGACGTCTAGCTATGTAATCCTTAATTTCGGAATTTTACTTTTGACGATCAAGCGACTACAGAAGATTCGCTAGTAATATTTTTGGTTGAACGCGGCATGAACGCAATACGTATTCGACCGCTTCGAATTGATGCGACAAATAAATGTACTGAGAAAAGGCTTAATCCTGGAGTCGTCTTATTTTGAACGTAAAAGCATAATAAAAAACATTACTATAATGTAATAATAATAATCACTGAGATAAACAAAATGCGAAAAACGTCGACCCGTGTATATTTGTGCGTGTATGCGTGTGTGTTAGTTTTCCTTTACGGGTGGGCGGTGAAGTGATGGTCGGCGGACGACTGTGAAGTGTGGAGGGATGGTACCTATGGAAAATGACGGCAACAACAGCGCTACCAAAGCCGGCAATGAACGAAAATTAGTTTCTAATTTTTGTGACTAAATGAGAATTTCTATATTTTGCGTATTCGATATTCTACAGACTTATTTAACACTAATGCTTTGATTTTTTCTCGGCCAAAGCTAAATAATACGCTTAATTGTACGATTTTTATTTGGCTATGTTGGCTACACTAACCCGGGACATTAAGAGTTACTGCCACCGCGGTTTTTCAAAAGCAGAGTGAAAGCGAGATGAAAAGCAATTTATATTTTCCTCGAAAACGTCATTATATACCTGCATAGTTAATGTATTGTACTTATTGCACGATAATATTGACACTAACTACTAAAGACACACGTCTTGGGGTATGGTGTTCACATTTTCGACAGCCATCAGGCAACATTGCAGTATACAGTATACTTATTTTCGTCGCAATCAATATAATAAGTATTGGGTACTATATTCATTTTGCCTTTAGCATTTTATGAACGTCAAATTTCTCCTAATGTATGTTTTTAAATTTGTAATTATACACTTATTATTATTATCGTGTGTTAAGTGTATAGAAAATATGAAACATCATAATCTATCTACCGAATTTACGGCATATATAATATTATTAATATAAACAACATCGACTCGCATAGAATGTTAATTTTTAATTGAATGTTCTTGTATAGTTTTACCAATAACACATAACTAAACTAAATAACTTAATAGTCCACAATTGGTATTTTAGCTTTGTAAATACATTTTTAAAAAGTAAAAAAAAATGTACGAAGGTTATAAGTTAAAGTTTAATTATATATTAAATACCTACTACCCAAGTTTTAGAAAAAAATAACGAAATAATTTCAACATCTTGAAGTATGCTTAAGTTTACATATTTACTTAATAACATTTTTATGACTACAAATTTTAAAAATATATGAAAAGGTTGTATTGACTTAAAACTAAAACAAATGCACCTTATAAGTTTGGTAGGTACATTTTCTTATGAACTATCGAAAAACATAATTATTTAACATGCATACATATATAACGCTTAACGCGAATCTTTTATCATTTTTTTTCATTGGGTGAAATAATTATTTTTTATTTTTACTTCATTAAATTATTATTAGCTGATGTAGTTGATTAGTTGATTATCAGTTTAGAGACGAGAACTTAGTAATAAAAATAAAATCAAAAATATATTATTTACCTATTGGGTAAAAATTACGAAATTCAAAAAAATCTCTTACCGTGGTTTTCAATTTATATTATAACCTCTTTGACAGTGGTTCTCCTCATCCTCATACCAACCATGGTTGTAGATAAACAGGTTACTCGACGGTGTATGTTTTCGACTGGCTTTAAGCGGTCACGCCGCGTTACGCTGTCTATAGAGCGCGCCACCGAGATGCAAGCCATCAAAAGTTATATTTCCTATCTAACGTGTACTAAAAAGCTGTTTTTTAAATCAATAAAGATAGTATTATACAAGTCTACAAGAACAATATAATACATGAATTTGATGTATTTGTTTGTCCTTAAAACGATGGTGTAGTCATAATACTACTGTTACGCATAGTTATTTCATTATAATGGTTAAGAAAATACCGATAAAAATATATGTAAATGGCTAAAACCGTGGTAATAAATACCACATTATTCATAAACAGTATTAAACAAGTCTATAAGAACAATATAATGCATGCATTTTTTTGTCCTAAAAACGATATTATGATTATAATATTTATAAAATGAAAAAAAAATATAAGATATAATGGTTTAAATACTCAGGTTAACCCCTTTACAGCTTTTGGTAACCAATACATTTTTTTATATTTTCAAGTAAACTTCGGTTTTTCTATAATTACGATTATTGATAAACTACCTATCTAGTTAAATGTTTTTCAACATTATTTTATTTCTAAATATTAATTATTTATAGTTAATACTTAATTTTGTGTTCTTAGTATCTGTCCTTTCCATGTGAAGACCACAAAAATGAAATCATAATTCGAATTGTAACCGACTATATTGTAATGAGAATGAGGCATTACGTGTAATTTCATGAAATACATTTTATTTTAATTAATCCGAATTTTTTTTTCAGATGGGATATTTACAACAATTATTTTTAAAAAATACGTAATATTTTATGAAAGATTTATGAATAATGTGGTATTTATTACCATGGTTTTAGCCATTTACATATATTTTTATCGGTATTTTCTTAACCGTTATAATGAAATAACTATGCGTAACAGTAGTATTATGACTACACCATCGTTTTAAGGACAAACAAATACATCAAATTCATGTATTATATTGTTCTTGTAGACTTGTATAATAGTTAATACTATCTTTATTGGTTTTAAAAACAGCTTTTTAGTACACGTTAGATAGGAAATATAACTTTTGATGGCCTGCATCTCGGTGGCGCGCTCTATAGACAGCGTAACGCGGCGTGACCGCGATTGTCGGCTGCGATGCGTTACCTGTTTATCTATAACCGTGATACCAACACATTTCCCGCTCATATTCTTTGTAACCTATTTATCTTTGGGTTATTCGACAAAAAAATTTGGGAGATTCAAGATTGTTTAGTGTTGTCGTTTACAGTTTACTGCATATTATAAAGGATTTACTGTTTGTTAAATGTGAATCATGAAACCAACATTCATTGTTGTTTAATAAACGTTTTTCAATGTGATTTGTTTGTCATTTTTATATTATACTAAGTAATTTTAATATCACATTATTTCTATTTTGTAATTGTCAAGTAAGCATCTTTTGTTTTATTTAATAATGCACTAAGTTAACCCATTATCATTTATAACGTTTTTCCAGACAACATCAGTCAACTATGGGAATGAATTACGAAAGAATGTTGACTAGGGGCGCTCTAAAGAAAATTATGAATGGTGAAGAAATCAAAGACCCAGTCATGCAAATTTTGGGCACTAGGAAGATTGCAGGGTCAGGTGCTAATGATAGATACCGTTTACTTATTTCTGATGGACAAAATCTTAATTCATTTGCTATGTTGGCCTCTCAGCTGAACGAAATGGTACCATCTGGGGAACTTACAGAATTTGCTATTATTCAGATTAAACGTCACATAATCAGTAATGTTACCGATCGTGGCAAAGGTAGTAAACAAGTTATGATACTTTTAGACGTAGCAGTTATGGTTCGAGGTGACGTTGTTGGTGTGAAAATTGGTGATCCTAAACCAATTTCTGAAAGTTCTGGACAAGACTCAGTACCAAATGGTAGTTCAGCTGTGTCTGATGCTTCAGTAGCCAATAAAAAAGTTTCGCCTATTAAACCCCCTCAAGCAGTACATTCTAGCGGAATGAATAATGGACTCCAAAAAGATATCGATACGAGCAATATTCATCCTATAAATTCCTTAAGTCCTTACCAAAATAAGTGGACCATTAGGGCAAGAGTTATGAGTAAATCCGCTATTCGTACTTGGACCAATCAAAGAGGCGATGGAAAGCTTTTCAGTATGGACTTGGTTGATGAACAAGGGGAAATACGTGCTACTGCTTTTAATAATGAATGTGATAAATTCTATGATATGGTTGAAGTAAACAAAGTGTACTTTATAACGAGGGGTGTTGTTAAAACAGCTAATAAAAAATATACCAACTTAAATAATGATTATGAACTGACATTATCAGGAGAAACCCAAATTTATCCTTGTCATGATTTTGATGATTCTCAAATGCCTGCTATGAAATTCAATTTTGTTCCATTAAATTTAGTTAAAGATTATGATGTTGATAGTATGGTAGATATTGTAGGAGTCTGCCAACATTCTACCGATATGGTTAATTTAGTATCTAAAACTACAAAAAAGGAATTGAAAAAAAGAGATATAACTTTGGTTGATCAGTCTTTGAGCTCTGTGACTGTTACACTTTGGGACAATCTGGCTGAAGATTTTGATGGTTCACTACAGCCCGTTATTGCAATAAAAGGAAGCAAGATTCGCGAGTTCATGGGAAGTAAGTCGCTATCTCTTATGGGATCAACAATCATGCAGGTTAACCCAGATATTGAAGATGCCCATCGCTTAAGAGGTTGGTTTGATGCACTTCCGTCAACAGTAGAATTTAATAGCATTTCTGCTCGTTCAGAAAGTGGATCTAATTCTCAATTCCATACTATTAAAAGTTCTCAATTGGCTCAACTTGGTGGTGGGGACAAAGCTGATTATTTCAGTATGTATGCTTATTTGGTCTTTGTTAAAAGTGATTCGGCTCTTTACAAAGCTTGCCCAAAACCAGATTGTCAGAAAAAAGTTATAGATAAAAATGATGGAACATACAGATGTGAAAAATGTAATGATGAATCTGAAAACTTCAAATATAGACTTCTTCTTTCTGCACAGCTTTGTGATACAACTGGGAGTCAATGGGTCACTATGTTCCAAGAAGCAGGTGAAGGTCTTCTAGGTGTTACTACTTCAGAAATAGGAAAACTATATGAAGATAGTAAGGAAGATTACAGTGATATTTTCCAAAAACAGATGTTCAAAATGTTTGAAACTAGGGTTCGAGCAAAAATGGAAACATACAACAATGAAACTCGACTGAAAGTATCAGTGATGAATATGAAACCTGTAGATTATAAAGTGGCTTCATCAAAATTAATTGCAGATATCAAGAGATTGAGTGGAATTGGTTCTTCTGTTATGTAATCAGTTTATTGTATTTTTTTTACACTGTATTTTTTATTTTAAATTAAAATTATAAAAAGAATAAAACTCACATTTATTTATATACCTATGCTTTATTTGAATAAAAAAATAGAAAAAGCACAAATTGATTGTTGATTTAATAACAAGCCTATCTGGAACGTAATACATTTTTTGACCATAAAGTTTACATATAAAGTATAAATTTATATTTATTATAATATTTTGTGTAAAATGACAATTTTCCATATAGTCAATGATGTTAAAGTTTAATACTAAACACCATACTGACAAATTGTTCGTAGTGCAGAGTAACAACTCCAGCTTGAGCTGTGTCAAATTGTCGAAAAGCTGTAGTTAAATTCTGGAAAAAAAATTAATTTTATAACTATTAGGTTACTGCTATTACTATCCTCACTTAATTTAGAAGGCTGGAAAATAAATTGATTACTACATCTTGAGTTTCGGTGAGTATTTTATAAGAAAACAATTGAAGTTAGAAAAATATTTTTTAAGCATTGTTGCTAGTTTTTATATAATTTAAAGGCGGTAAATGAATTGGCTCCAAGTGAAAATTTAAATAGCCAATGATTCTTAAGAATGTAATCAAGCGATCATCTGTGCTTAATATAGATATTTACCCTGTTGATTTTATGTAACTTATAACTACATTGAATTTAGCACATTAGGTAAAATAGCATTGATTTATTATAAGACTGCTGTCGAGGGTCAAGATGTTCAATCCAAATTATACCATATATATTATGTTATATATATATATATATGAAATTTAAATAGAAATGGGTACGCTCTCTAAGCTGGTTCCAAATTAATATAAATTAAACCAAAAATATCAAGTATATGGTGTTATTATATGTCGTCCTTACATTAAGCATTATGCAACATTGAATAAAGTCGTCAAATAATATAGTTCCATGACCTATTCTGTCAAACTTTTGTACCATAGTAGTGACAGTAACTTCAGATAAGCTGTACCCAAATGATTGTAATGCAGCTCGTAGTTCATTCTTGTCAATGTGACCAGAACTATCTTTGTCAAAGGAACGAAAACAATTTTGCCAATCTGTCACATATTTCCACAGGGCTCCAAAATCATCAAATGTTATAGTACCTTTATTTGTTTTATCAAACATATCTAAAAAAAATAGTTTGAATAATATTTTATAAATATTTAATAAAACAATTATATAGAAGAAAATAACTCAAAAAATGTTTTGAGAAATTACACACAAAATTCTCTCTTCCTTAAATACAATTGTTTTAACAATCAACCTGACTAGCTGTGATGCGTTTTTGAAAAAAAATAATGAATTAATATATTTTCAATTTAAAAAACATCCTGTTCAAATTGAGATACTAAAGGACTCAAATAAAAACATAAAATAAGTTTAGGGACCATTTTAAAAATCTAGCATAAATCCCACATCCTTATCTAATTCTTATCCTAGAATATATATTAAAAATTATAAATTATATAAAGGAATTTTCAAATATATATAGATTATTATACTTATAGAAAAAATCAGTAAATCATACCTATCACTAATATAATAAGTTTTAGTCCTATTTCAGTGGAAATTCATTATCTTTTCATTAGTAAGTATTAATAATTTATTTTTAATTTATCTTTAACCATCTTATTCTAATAAGGTAAATAATGATATAAATTATTTTAACTTACTTATCATTAACCTAACAGTTTCTGGATTGAAAGGATTCCATGTACCGTTTGACAAAGCTACTTGTAGCTCACCTATTGTTATTGTACCACTCTTATCTTTGTCTAATCTGCAGAAAAGTGAAAAGAAAAAATTGGATGTATAAAAGTAATACAAAACAATTTTCATCAGACCTAATAAAAAGAAAATTATTCTTAAATGAAAATAAGCTTGGGTGTATTTTTGAAAAATAAACACTACACTAAAAAATAATTTAGATATAGTCTGGATTTTCAATTTAGAAAAAATAACTACTGAAAAATGTAATTATAGAGTATAATAAAATAGAAGATTGAGTGGTTAATTGTGTTATGTGCTAACTGTTGCCAATTTAACACTTGGTCATTGGCAGCTCCATATGTGGCGAGAAATCTTGTAAAAGAGCTTTTATCCCCATCTCCGATGATGAAATAATAACCTGCTCTAAAAGCTAATTTGTCAAAATACCATCTCATAATGGCAGCATTGAGACTTAAGACTTGTCAAGCTCTGTTAATAACCATAATACAATATGTCTGTTGAATATGGTGTGTAGAATACATATGAAAAGTTAAGAGCCAGCTGATATATACAAATACAACCATAATAACCAATACCACAATGAAAATACTGTATTTGAGTAAATTCCTAGGGAAGGGATAGCAAAAGATAAAAAAAAGTCGCACATAAGAGTGTAGTGAGTGTAAGTCCAAAGTCCTGGGATAAGAAGAAATGCTCATTTAAAGCAATATATTTTACTTTCTGGAGTAAAAACATACTTCTGGAACATGTCCCATAAGAATTCTCTTGGAGGCATCTGTCCTTGTTGTCCTTGAAACTGGGCCATTTTTAATATGGAAAAATAAACAATAGATTCAAGTTAAACGGCTATGTTTGTTTTTGGGGCAATGTTTTGTGTATGAAATTAAAAAAAGAACAAGATAAATTTAAATTGTATAAAATGTATTCAATATTATAGTAACCTTACGCGCCTAACGATACACCTATTATAGAATTTAAGAAGATATCTCAATCTCTTATCATTTTTATTCAGTATACTTTATTCATTACCATTGGGCTTTGGGTTTTGACTTATCGAATTCAAAATACTACGTCATATTATGCGATAAGACGATGGAAGAAATCACATGGATCGTTATCCTATGATAACAAAAATGTAATATAATATATTGAATAAAAAACGAAGAGGTATGCCAGCAACTTGCAATAACCCTGAAATGACTACTTCTGGATATTTAATCCCAAGAGAATATAGCGGCAGTCATGTGATGAAAGTTGATAACATGAGTTGGTGACATACCTATTTATTTTATCATGGTGTATTATGTAATCTATTATATTTCATAATATTGCGCATGCGTAATCACTGATAAGATATATCACCGATCTAAAAAAGTTTGGTCCACTGTTCAAGAATTTCTAATTTGTTTGTTCGGACGGCAGCAGAGGGAAGACGACAATCAACAAGTATGTGACAGTAGTGGGAAAATCGAGTGGAATTGACGTTGCCTAGGTGAGGTAACGTTTTCTTTAGAGATTAATGATATTATTGCCATAACGTTATTGTTCGTCTGTGACAAAATTCGACTCCAATGTCTATTAGTAGGTCACTGGGTCAGTGGTCTACAAACGCTTAGTATTTAGAGAAGTAGAGTTGTAATAATATGTGTTTACATTGGTTGTGTTTTTGTGTGTACAAGAAAGACTGGAGCGGAGAATATTCACCCATTGGCACCAATTCCAGATTTTGGAGCAGCATCATGACCAACAAATCAAATTCCCTAGTTGAATACGGTTCTTGCGGATATTGTCCTACACCACTGTCAGCTACTAACCGGAATGTTGAAAACACCACAGCCATGGTGTCGCAGGCAGAAATATGGCAGGAAGACAAAAAATTTACAGTAATTTTATTTCAAACTACTTATTAATACCTATTGGATGTATCAAACTCTGACTTTGTTTTAAAATAGGTATATAAAGTTGTGATTTGGTCACAGAATGATTGTTGGCATGTTTTTCGTCGTTATAATGAATTTTACAAACTAAGCGAAGTGCTGAAAAAACAAGTAAAACTAATTAACATTTTATTTGCTATTGTATTTTATTGTACCTTGCTTTGTATTTTATAGGTTCCAAACTTTAATTTAAAAATACCAGGAAAAAAGTTGTTTTGTAATAATTTGGACCCTTCATTTATTGCAACCCGTCGACAAGGGCTCGATCAATTTGTTCATCACTTAATGCATCAAACCAATTTACTTAACATGTAAGTTTCACTAGGAATATTTTTAAACACTAGTTAAAAAGGCTAATTATTAATAACTAATTATTAGTTCATAAACTCAATGTATACTATGATTCAAGAGGCTTGATTACTTTAGGGGAGACTGGGACAGGTTAGGTACCAGACATAGTCTTAAAAAAGACAATATTTTAATGTTAGTTTCTAAGTTACATATTTCTTAAGCAATATAAATCTGTTAGACATGATGTATACTAATATAAAAAGTGAGCCAACTAAGCCTGGTCTCCCCTGTGTAATTTCAGAATAATGACATAATTGTTTATTTTTTACTAGAATGTTATGAAAGTGTGTTATTATTGTAAATTAAAAGTTTTTTAAACTATTTATAATTTTTATTAACATAATTTAATATAAATATAATTTGTATTTTATGTGTTTTCATTGTATAACTTTTTAAGATTTAAAATTAAAATTTTGTTTTACTTCTTAAATAAGTTGGAAATATTTTTCTTGATAATTAATGTACAATAGCTATAGCAGATTTCTGTAATATCTTGTTTTTTATTATATTTTTACATACTACAAAAAAAGTAGACGTATTTTTTTATGATAATTAAATTAAACGCGATCTAGTGAAATCTATATTTATAAATGTTTAATTAACATGATGTGTTAATTAAACATTATATTAATGAACTATTAGTAGTTTGTTATCTAGTAATAACATGTATTTTTATGTACATTTTTACAATTCATTGAAATATATATTTTTTTGTTTTAGTACTGAAGTCCGTAAGTTTTTTAACTTGGACACTAAAATAAAGGAACCAGATAGACCAAATCTTTTCAAGTGTATGGGTACCATCAATTTGGGACCATCAGAAAGGACATCGTAAGTTCTTTAGTAAAAACTTAAAAACTAAAAGATTAGTATAATAAAGATACATTTATTGAAATATTCTTAAATTTAATATTAAAATAAATTAAGTAATTATATTTTTACATTATTTTAGCGCAAATCCATCAGATTTTGTATTCCTTCGCATCATTGGTAAAGGTAGCTTTGGTAAAGTATATCTAGCTGAACACAAAAGTGAATCTACTCATTACGCTGTCAAAGTATTGGATAAAAAACATATTCTTGCCCGCAATGAAGTAAAGCACATAATGTGTGAACGAAATGTGCTCTTGAAAAATATAAATCATCCATTCCTTGTTGGCTTGCATTATAGCTTTCAAACAAAAGATAAACTTTATTTTGTTTTAGATTTTATAAATGGTGGAGAGGTAAAACACAATCATTGCCCTATTATTAAACCATAATATTTTGATGTATATTTTTTTATGTTTAGTTATTCTATCATTTACAAAAAGAAGTTAGATTTTCGGAATCAAGAGCTAAATTTTATGCTGCCGAAATAGCATCTGCCCTTGGGTATCTCCATTCAAATGGTGTCATATACAGAGATCTCAAACCAGAAAACCTTTTGCTTGACCAAGAAGGCCATTTGGTACTTACTGATTTTGGATTTTGTAAAGAAGGACTAATTGGTACTGAAACTACCAACACGTTTTGTGGCACTCCTGAGTATTTGGCTCCAGAAATTATCAAGAAAGAAGTAAGCTCAGTCACTGTTTTGCTAAATTTTAATAGGTCTAGGCTATAATAGTAAAAAAAAGTTTTTCAGCCGAGTCTGCAACCACGAAAGAGCATTTTCATGTCTCGTTGAAGTACCGAATAAATTTAGATTAGGTGTGGAATTATAATTTAAAAAAAAATATATGGAGCTTCCAGTTACAGCATAAGGCCAAGGAGATTAAAAAATTATGTACAATCAAGTTTCTGGTTAAAATTGTAGTGTTTATTATCTGGCCAAAAGTAACTTAACATAGAGAATTAAACTATTTTGAATTTATTATTTAGTTCTAATTTGATCGTACAACATATCTCTTATCTACTATATCTTACCCCTCTCCCCTACCCACTATCTCCCGTCCCTATCACTCACCCCTATTCCCTACCCCTATCTGATATCTCATATCAGATAACAGCGTAACACTTTTTTTGTTACGCTTTTTTTCGGTTAATTGCCACAGCTAATTCCACCCCATTTCCATTCCCACCCCCAACTTCATCTTCATCCCCATTTATTTTTTCGTTACGCCTTTTTGGCAACGCTTTTTAGGTAACACTTTTTTCGGTTATGTGCCAGAGCTAAGACATGAAAATGTCAAAAAAAGTTACAGTCTACTTAAAGCCTAATGGCTAAAATTATAAACATGGAACATGCTTTAGCCTGCTGGCTCCTGAATAGTGATTTTTTCTGATCTATAATCTCCTTACGATTTATGATGTTAGTATAGTCTTAATTATATGTTCTGGCTAAAACATTTGCATCACAATGACGACTTGTTGTTATTTTGATGGCATCTTATATGTTATATGTTACACAGTCTATATGAGCGCCGCATCAGAGACGTAATGCGGAGATAGGGGTGAGAGATATGTTGTATTCATAACGATCAAAATATAACTGTAAAATAAATTCAATGTAATTTAACAGGTCATATTTCCTCTGAATTGTTTAAGGCCAGATATTATGAAATCACTAAAATATAAGCCAGAAACTTGATATGTTTACTAGCCACCTTAGATACTAGCTTGTTAATATACTATTTCATTATCTATAATTTCACCACTACTTTAAATTTATTCAGTACTTCAACGAGACATGAATATGCTCTTTTGTGGTTGCAGACTCGGCTGAAAAACTTTTTTTTTAATTTAATTTTTATTTATGAATTGTTAAGTAACATTTTGCCTTTAACCCCAAAAACTAGTTTTGCTGCGGTTTGAGTTTCGAAAAACTACAACATTATTTTGAAAATAATTGCATTAGAACTTGTACATGTCCACACCCAACAATATTTATTTATATTTAAAAGTTTTACCATTTTTAATATTCGCTTTTTTAAATTTTCGCAGTTTTTGTTTACTATTTTTACATTTTTTATTTTTGCCAAATCCTGTCTTAACGTTTAGAAATAATTTGTGTTTTATAGGCTTATGGGAGATCGGTAGACTGGTGGTGTCTTGGTGCAGTGTTGTACGAGATGTTATTTGGTCTGCCACCATTCTATAGTTTAAACGTGCAAGAGATGTATAACTTAGTTCTCTACAGTAGATTGAAAGTTAAAGGACCTGTGTCATCGCAGTGCAAGCATTTATTGCACAAGGTTAGTAATTTATATTTTTTATAAAAAAAGGCAAAAGAAACATTTGTTAAATATCATACATGTGTTTATAACATACAAACAATTTGTTTAGTTGTTGGAGAAACAAAGTAATAAAAGACTTGGTAGTAGTGTTCAAGATTTTAGTGAGGTAAAAAAACATCCATTTTTCAAAACAATAAACTGGGACGATTTATTAAATAAACGTATTACTCCACCATTTCAACCACAACTAGTAAATATACTAATTTTGTTTAAATTTAATGGAATTTTATTACAAGATTATTATTACTTATCTTGTAACAGAATGGAAAATGTGACCTGCAGTACATTGATTCTCAGTTTACCAAAGAATCTGTCAGTTCATCAATGTTGTCTTTCCGTGCAGAAACTATCGAATCTAGTGTACAAGATATAGATAATGCGTTTGCCGGTTTCTCGTATACACCTCCTTCTAGTTTAGAATAAAAGTAATTAAATGATATATTATGTACCTATAACTGGTGTTCCTATTGAAAGCGAAGTATTTTTTATTCTTATTTTTCTTTTAAACTGTTTTTTTCTTTTTAATGCTTATTATTATTTATATTCTAGTACAATTATAGCTGTGATCTTGATGCTATATAAGAATATCATTTTTAATTAAAACTTATGAGGCAATAGACAAAAGTACTTATCATTCCGATTTTACCTACTGTGTTCATGTGCAATGGTTTTTGCAATTTCTTATAAGCTAGGGTTGACATTTTTTAGGTCAACATTATTCACTGCCAATTTTTAAGAACTACTCGGTACACCAATTCTGAAAACTAAACTAAGTTTGATTTATTGGCAGTTTACTTAGTGTGTCTAACAAGAATAAAGACTTGAGTTTTAATGTTGGCTAAAAGCCATACTGAAAGTTACTAATTCATTTTTATCTCTGACCATCATGTTTTATGTATTTTCAAATAATATAAGCAATTTTATATACTCTGTTGCTTAGCTGTACTATTTTATTCTTATACTATTTATAATATATGTAAGGGTATATATATAGAATATATTTAATTTGTCTGTTGCCTCTTACACATCACTGAGGTAGGTAGTACCTAGTGAATTACTAATATTAATGTTACTTATATCTTAATAGTTAAAGTATATTACTATTATATTGAATTATATTGACAATGAGTATATTATATTTATGTATAATATTATTAACTATATGTAATTTACACTGCCGTATTCTATTATATGTATACTTGTTTCTATGTGCTGACACTATTACTTGTGTATTATTGATACTATGAATTATTGTTATAAGATTAATGCTTAGCCAAAATGAAATAAAACTGTCTTTGTGCCATGTATGACAACTTAACTAGACAAATAATGATATTAATTGTCAAATTATATATAGTTTAGATCAAACATCAACACTTAATCAATTCATGGCTTTACCTACTGTGGTGTGATAACTTGTTGTAATTAATGTATGTTTATCCTATATTGTTTAATGTTATTTTTAAACCTAAAAATTAAAAATACTATTCAAAATTAGATATTAAGTTTGTTTTTTGTATGTTTTTTTTAAAAGTTTTAACAACATGTTTTATTATTAATCAAATATATAATATGTACTATCTATTTTTATCTTTTTTTTGATACTTAGTGATCCTAAACTATATTGCTTAGGCTTACCTAATTTAGCACATCAACTGCTATACTCTGGTTTGGGGAGAAAAAATTAGGAGTTTGTATTAAGAAACGCACCACCCCCCTCCCTAGCGTTCCGGTGCGCTGCTACATAATACTTGTTACAACCTAATCTCGTACAAGCTCTGCTTTTCTAGGCGTTAAAAACTAAAATACACAGGTATCCAAAAGTAGAGTCTCAACAAAACGTGTACATATAATTAAATGGTTTGGTTATTTTATTTTATAAAAAAAGAATCCTGTCCATCTACGACGTATGTAAATTCTTCGTGGCCTTTATACACCATGTTGCCAAACGTCATAGTCGAGCATCGAACATCGTATAATTACAATATTGGTATGAGGGTATGTCATATTTTTGGACACATAAATAGAATAAATACAGTTTCGTAGACCGTAGGGCAAGAATACAAATGCTTGTATTTATATACATATATTATACTCGTATAATATATACAGGTATATATAATATATTTTTAGCTTTGATGTGTTTTTTCTTCAAACTATCAAACGATTGTCAACCAAAATAAAAAAAAAGGTAAATATAATAAAACAATGATAAATCTATCACAATTTAACCCTTTAAATATTAACACGAATCATAATTCGTGTTAAATATTAATAATATGCCATACAAAAAAGCCAATACAGTGAGTACTGAGGTCGGGGCATCACCATGGGAAAAAGGGCATTCCGCATTAGGGTCAGGGAGATCACAGGTCCTCCTTTAAAATTTGTAGTAACACTTTTCTTAATAATTGGGAAAACCCCCAAAAAGATCAATTTTATATAAGCTTTATAAACTATAGTAGGGTATAATAGAACCATGGAAAAGAACGACAGAAAATATAAAAAAAACTAAAAATATTTTTCAAATAATTTACTTTACTTTTTGAATAATTTTAACATTATTTCGTTGAATGATTCATTTCCTATAATATTTTTTTAAAAATTCCTTAAGAACAAATCTAATTTTCAATCGATTTTAATATTATTTTGTCGGTTTTATTTTTTAATAAAATTGTTTTCTTTATTTGTAAATAATGTAATGTTTACAAATAAAAAAACTTAAGTCTCCATTGATTTTTAAAAATTGTAAGCGGTTAGGCAAAATTCGTACACTTATTCTAAACAAAAAAAGTATAAATAGATATGTAAATAAATGAAAATCATGAAATTAAATTGACTGTTAAGGATCGGTCAAACAGAAAGCGGACAGGTCGCCGATCCGCCGCGGATCATGTACTCTATTTAAATGCATCATTCTGGTTAAACAGACAGCGGCCAAACTGATGGTTGTATTTTTCCACAAAGTTCGCGGCGGACTGGAATAATTTTGTAAAATAAAAAAAATATAATATATATTTAATATAGACAATACACTGGATTTTCCACACGTATCAGCACTTCTAAAATATTACTATTATTAATATATAATTGTCGAACATAAAATATACAAACAATATTGATGACAACATATTGTACTTAATTTAAACATTTTTTTCATTTTAAAATTGTGCACTGAAAATGACCGATGAAACGGAACGATTGATTGATCTAGTTCGAGAATGCGTTTATTTGTATGATACGTGGCATCCAGATTATAAAAAAAACAGAAAAATGGACAGATTTGACAAAAGACTGGTATCAACACTCCACAAAAATGTAAAATTTAATACAATTTTTCAGCCGAGTCTGCAACCACGAATGAGCATTTTCATGTCTCGTTGAAGTACCAAATAAATTTAAAGTAGTGGTGGAATTATAGATAATGGTAGATAATGATATAGTATATTAACAAGCAGTAACAAGCTCGTATCTAAGGTGGCTAGTATATTAAAACATCAAGTTTCTGGCTAATATTTTAGTGTTTAATATCTGGCTTAAAACCATTCATAAAAATATGACCTCTTAAATTATTGAATTAAATTTAGTTCAGTTCTAGTTTGAACGTTGAGAACACAGCATAGTCGGTGAAACTATCCAAATTCTATTTTTTTTTTTTTTTAGTTCATGTACCCATTTTCTTTTTTTTCGTCTTGCTTAACTCAAGGCAAGTAGAAGAATCTAGACATTTTGTAAAAGAAAATGAAAACAGAAAACGTTAGATAAAAAAGTAAAAAAAAAAAAACAACCAGCAGTACACTCTTGGTTGTGGCAATTTTCACACTGGTTCGCTCAAACTTGTCCGCATTCTGTTTGACTATCCCAGTCCGCAGCGGACTAGCGGACTAGTTGGACGGACACTGTCCGCGCGGACAGTCCGCTTTCTGTTTGACCGATCCTTTAATGTCCTGGGGGGATCAGGAACGAGGGTAATGCGGTTATTGCCTGAAGCGGATTATAGAGGAACCTAAAATACAGATTACTCGCATAGACATTTTAGTAATATGTACCTAATATTAGTAAAACTATTTTACTAATAATAAAATATTCGTAAATCGTAATAATTAATTAAAAATAAACATATTTATCAATGCTTTTGGATATACCGTTTAAAACGTTCGAAACAAGAATACATTATAATATATACATATATATATTTTTATTATTTAATTACAAAAATGACATATATATATTTTAAGATTAATCTTAGTGGTTTAGTAAAAAAATAAAATTACTGTACTATGACCTAATAAAAAATTAAGTGGTACAAAAAAGCTGGATAGGTACTAACTAGTCTTTAAACATACAGTTATTATAACTGGAATTTAAACACGAATTGCGAACTAAAATCAAACACTATAAACTGTATAACTTATAGATTTACGCTACACGGCTGGTAATAATGTGAATATTAATTTTACCATAAAAAACGTATTCATGATACAATTTTTAATTAGAACGTATTAATTAATAATTGTATACCAAAAGACCGCTACTACGTAGTACAACCAGGCAATATAGAGGACAGCTCAATATGCCACGAGATTTATAAATTTAAACAAATTGAGATATTAAAAAATACATTTATCTAAACGCCATATAAAATCTCAATTTTCAGTATTTATTATTTTAAGATTTCAAGACACCTACGCGCTTTTGCATATTATGAGTCACAGAGTAGGTATATATTATTTAAGTAGGAAGGTACGGTACCTTACCCATTTAGCGGCAGCAAGTATTGCCTTTGTGATGAACTTAAGTGTTTAGCAGTAATATACGAAACTTACTACCAATAAGACTAAATTAACATTTTATAATATTGGTCAATGATAATAATGACATTGATTTCATTGAATATTTTAGTTAAATATTTATCCCTTGTAGTTCTGGCCTGCATTATTATTGTACTAACACATCGGTGAGATAGTACAATATACATGTAATACATAGTGAGACGTATTGTTGCGATTTCTTAAGATTTTCCGGCAACGTGACATACCCTTGAAAACTCTTCAATGACCGTCAAGTGTTAACAAATGATGATGATTTTCAAATTTAGCTGCGGACAAGAGAACGTTTTTTATTTATTGTTTACACCAACACCACGACGATCATTGATGTCTAGGTTGAATAGTACTCTTATAAAGATTCGACCGTTTGAAACATCAAACAATAGACTTGCACAAAAAAACCTAAGAAAATAATAAGCATAGAACCCCTTTGGTCAAATAACACAATTGTTCGTTAGTAACTGAAAATGTATACGATACCTCGGCCAATAATACTAATATGAGCAAGGTCTACTATCAAGTACACGGCCCTTAAGAAACAAATAAAATTAATATTTATTGAAGAAAACGTACAAAATTAGATTGTTAAAAAATAAAAATAATACAATTGTTTCCGCATAAAAATAATAGTTATTCAAGATTGTCAGTGTATTTTTCTCAAGTATAAGTAATTTATATTTCATTAAATTGTGTTTAGCAAAAATGTATCCGTAAAATTTGAATGAATAAAATAAACAGACCAATCAGAGAATAGGTTCGACTAATCATTTATAAACTGTTACCCTAAAACACCAAACTTGTAAACTATAACAAAACATTTTAACTCTAATCAAGGTCGATGCTAAATAATTTATTGCAGCATAAATATAAATTGCAATGTAAATTTTATTTCTCTTCCAACATAAACTGTACAAATTGATAAAAATAATAGAAAAATGCATAATTAATAAAATTAGTTTGTATACATTATGTCATAAATAAATGTTCATAATACTTACTAACCATTGTCAACTCGTATTTTTAAGTATATAAATGAAGGTTAATTTAATAAAACATAGAAACAGTCTCGTTTGTTAATTATACATTCATTACAGAATCATTCACACTATAACATAAAACAAAAATGCACAATATACATAAATAGTAACATTATTACAACAGAATAGAATAACAAGAAAATATCGGAATTCTTCAAAAATAAAAGTAAGGTTAGTTATATAAATATATAAATGATAATAATTTAACTACTTTAAGTAGATTATAAGTATAATTGTAAAAAAACATAATATGCAATAACAAAGCAAACAAAAAGTATAATATGCTAAAACAGTACAATATATTATAATAATCATCATAGAACTAACAGAAATTATTTTTATTTGTTATAATAACATAACACATAAAAGAGGATTTGAGATTATGGACATAAAATAAAAATGTTAATTTATACATATTTCTACAAAATTATGTATCCAAAGTAAAAAACAAAAATTGATGACGTTCAATCACATGCAAACAATACATACAAAAATCTGTTTTCATAAAAAAACAACTAAAAGGTCTTATTAAATGTGAACAAACATTTTTTTTACACAAATTACAATTATATTTATAATAAATTAAATGATTTTTTTTTTTTTTACTAATTTATCACACTATTTAATGTCATGAACAATCGAAAAAACATTTGCTGAACACATTCTATTTCAACAGTGCAGTTAAATTATAGACAAGTGATATAATATTGCACTTACAAAGAAATAATAGTAATATATATAAATTTTTTAAAAATTAAAAATTATATTAAGCACCATGGTGTGGTGACAACAAATAGAACAAATAATTATGCCTTGGTTGCATCGCTAAATATAAAGTAAAAAAAAACTAGTGAACAATTTGTGTCAAAATTTAAGATGCCGTACTGAAATTATGGCCACCAGTTTTGTGATATCATACAATACATTATTTACATTCGGTGGGAACAATGATCCAAAAAACATTGGTTCAAATTGTTGGAAATTCAACCTACATAGATGAGCACTGTATGTATGAAAATATTCATAGCAAATAAATAATCAATAATTATAAAAATTATAACTGATGCAACTTTATGAATACAGATATGCTTTTTTTTATGTTAGCATCAAAGCCATTGTCATTAGTAAAAATGTATAATAATAAGTAGTTAAATCGATGATAAAATAATATAAATTAAAATCTTATTTTAGAAATAATCAAACACTGAAAAATTCATTTTTAGTTTTGAAATCTTTAATTGTAAGGATATTTTTGACAATAACGAACACAGGGTGGAGTTTGCAAAGTAAACTAAGTATTTTATAAATTCATTTCATCTAATTGTATTATTATTATTACCTATAACATTTTGCTACTTATAAAATAAAATAAATCATGATAATATGAGTAATTTATCGACTTTTCTTTTTTACTTGTTTAGCCAATTTTCTGCGTTTTATTATCATATCATATAATGCATCTAAGCCTTCTTGAAGGCCATCTCCAGTGATGGCACAAGCGGCTTGAATATGCCAAAGGTGATTAAGCTCATTAAGCCCTAATAATCGTTCTAGTTCAGCTGAATCACGCGCTGCTGGTAAATCCTGTTTGTTAGCCAATACTAATATCGGTACACCTGTATTTTCAGGAGCTCTAGCAGTACGCGCAAGTTCCATTTTGGCTTCTTCCATACGTTCTACATCGACACTGTCCACAACAAACAATATGCCGTCAGTACACCTATGTAACAAATTCAAAGTAATTATTAATAATTTTTATAAAACAAATATATTTATATAATAGGGTGATCCTTATTTTGGGTTTGGTGGAATTTATGGAAATTAATGGAGAGGCCACCACAAATGGTGTAATATGGATAGTAAAAATACTACTAAAAATTTCAGATCTTAATTATGATGTTAATACACAGTACATATTTTTTAGGTGAGTGTAAAGGCATCAAAATAAAGATAAATCGAAACTTATATTGTAAAATTGGTTCATAATATAAACAACATATATTCAACAAAGTCCAAATTCATTGAGTTAAGTATTATGAAATGTATATGTCACACACAAATATTTAATGAAATTTGAATTACAAAAAACTTACAATATAAACCATTATCTGAAATTGTATGTAATATATTTATGAGGGACTTTGTAAAATAGGGCCCACGCTTTTCTTTTTATTAAAAAATTAATGATGTTTAATATTATTTAAAATTTTAGTTAATTTTCGGTTGTTTTCTAAGTAGGTAATTGACAATTTAAAAAAAATGTGTTACGATTGATTGGTAAATTTTTCTTGTAGTAAAATAATTTTTAACCTTTTAGTTCCCTTTTTTTATTATTTTTTTAGAAAATCATGTTTTATTTTATATGAATCATTTAATTTCATAACTTTAACATAGGTAGTACAAAGACAAATAGTAAGTAATATAGAAATATCAATCAATATTAATATGATATAAACTTTAAAAGACCATTTCTCCAGGGGACTAACAAATTTATCGATTCTAACTCTAGTTTGTTACTATTATATCACTATTATTATAAATTGTAACTTACCGCGTGTAGCTTTTCCACAGTGGTCTAAGTTTCTCTTGGCCACCTACATCCCACACCAAAAATGTTTGACCTCTGGCTCTACCAACAGTTCCTTTAACTTTTTCACAATTAAAACCAATTGTAGGAACTGTGTTTAAATATTGGTTGAATTTGAGTCGATAGAGAGCAGTAGTTTTACCAGCACTGTCTAAGCCCAACATGACAACATGTAAGTGACTTTGTGGTGTGGGAAATGCGTCCAGCAGAGATGCTGAACTTTTTCCCATGTTGGCCCCCATGGTTAATGCTCAAACGCATAACAGTCTGAAAATATATTAGTATTATTAAAAAAAGCTTCAAATTAACAAAAAAAACTAACATATAATTCAATAATGTAGTAAGACAATAATTAACTAGAGGATTTGTTATCTTTATATTTTTTAGTTTCTGGTACTTCTAAATGTGCAGTTAAGTAAATCCAATTACTAATTTTATCTACTTTTAACCACTAAACTAAATATTAAAAAAATATCTACTTTTTAACATTTACTCTTATTTAAAACTCTTCGTGTTTTGTATGTTTTAGTTTAATATTTATTCAAAAACACAATAAAAAAACTGTTTTGTTTTATCATAATACTCCTTTGTTAAATTGCAATAAAATTCTTAAAACAAATAATATAAACCTATAATATAATCTTTCTGAATAACAAATAGCATGTTAAACATTGCAAAAAACAATAAGTACAAACAACATTTTATTTTTTTTTAATATATATTAGATATTATGATGTCCATAAAGATAACTATAAGGTTAAATACAATGCCACTTGTTAAAACGTACCAAGCTGGTAAATCAATACACCTATATATTTCCCTCAATTATATGGAAAAATTACAAAAATAATTATAAAACCATTAAAAATATGAAAATTAGTAACGACAGATTACAATAAAAATTGATTATAATTATTTATAATTAAATATTTTTAATGCATAAGAATTATTAACACAATTTTTATTTTATTTATTTTTAGATATGTAAACATAAAAAATGTATTGTATTTTTTCGTTACATAGAATGTGCTATAGTGTGTAAGCAAAGCAATTTAATAAAAAAAAAATATTTTTAGATATTTACATAAATAAACAATATAAACTCAGTGTATTATTTACAACAAATAGTTTTCAATATTAGAACCTATTTAAATTTTTACTTTACACAATTTTTAAGTTTTACGGTTAACATTTATAAGAAAATTACTTTTTTTTAACAAAATATGCCCAAGCCAATTTCAATACTTATAAAACATTGATTTAGCAATGTAAACACTGAGCACATAATAATAATCAAGTATGTACTTGATTATTATTAGTAGATATTCCTAGTTACTGATTTACTTACTAGAATGTTAAATCCTACTAGCTATGTTTGATATACAAATTTTCGACTAACATTTTTAAATTCCATATGGACATGTTTTTTTTACAAATTAGTTAGTTTTATAAGTTGTATACATATATATTTTGTTTTCAGTTAAAACTGTGAATGTAAGATAAAAAGATCTTAAGTAGGCAGGAAACTCTCGTGCAGTGTACTAATAAATAATGAACACACTAAAAACAAACACCAAGGAACTAATTTGTTATCATGAAAAACTGATTGCAAAATTGTTCACATCTAAGAGCGAGTGAATTTAAATATCGAGTTATTTAACACTTGACTATTAATAATTGCTCATCAACATTGGCTAGGCTATTAATCAATTTTCGAACATTAAGCGATCTTATGGGATATCCGTAAACTGTCGTGTACGTGATAACATCAATTTAAACTTTCTATCTATTAACAACTCTTGCAAAAACAACCCTTGTTCTTGTGTGATTAGTTTAGATATTAGAGAATAGGGATTATTGACGCGGGAGAAAAACAACGACAATACAAATAATCGAATTATTAAAAATATAAGATACTTTACAATCCGTTATAGGGGACCCAACATGGATCGGTATTTACCTGAATCGAGTGGGTGCCTGTCCTACGACCACGGACAGACGACATCGTCGGCGGCCACGGCCGCTGTCGAATCACACGACATCAACGACGACGACAAACGGTATCCGTCGGAAACGAGCATAGACACCGACGGCCACTAAGTAGCTCAACTTACGACGGCGGATAGTTCATCAGCTGCGCGCGCTCGACGGCACAGTAAAACGCAAAATCTACTTCAGACAGACGAAAACAAATAGCGAATACTAATGATAGTAATTAGACACGGCGATACTACAACAGCACACCACACGAACGCGATTAACGGCGGGTGAGATCCGAAATAATTGATTTCCCAATTAAATTAAAATACGCCTCGTATCGTCGTCATCAAAAGCGATTGTGCTGCATACAACATTCACGTCCCGCAGGCATCTCGGTCGAAAAATGTTGTTTTTTTTATTGCTCCAGAGTCCAGTGTAGATAATTTATATGTATGTTATACATATATGATACTTGCCAGCTGATTTCCATAATACAACCTATACAACGGTTGTTATCAGGATTTAATCGACCTACCTACAACATCATAATCATCAACTATAGTCTATACCATTCATACACGACTGAGGTGATGCCAATTAACAGTGTTACCACAACGTATATTAACAAAATATACCTTTTATATTGTATTGTATTTAATATAACACGAACACAAGATCTAAACCTCTGTGTACCTCCGTATCAACCAATTGTGCCACATGTGATAAGCAATAGGGCCGTTCAAGGATGCTGCTCACGTTTTTATCAATAATTTCAATTCCCACGCGAATAAATAATTACTTTTATTCTAAATACTAAAAAAATATTTTATAATTTTTTTTAATTATGTGTTTAAAATAAATTAAGTGTTTTCTCTGTTTGATAAACGCTCGTGAAGATGATCGCTATGATGTCGTCATTGCTGAAGCGAGCAGTGTCGCTACCATATAACTCAACACTTGCCGTTGTTCAAACATCAATTCTGAACAATCGTAGGAACTAAAACAAGAAAATGTTTTTTTTTTCATTTCTTAACTTTACATTATTTTGTAATTTATAAATTTCCTTATAGGTCCTACATTTTTGAAAGAATGTGCTAAATGTTATAGTAGCTCACTAACGCCGTCCTCAAAGTTACTACAGTATCAACCAGTTTGTATACAACAAATCCGTCAAGAGAGTTTTTTCAAGAAACGTTAGTATATTTTTTAATTTATAAGAAAAATTTGAAAATGAATAATTAATATTTAATTACATTGCCATTGTTTTCTGTTCTAAAATTGTATAGTTGTACATTCTTATGGTCCTGGATTTTATTTTTTATTTTTTACAAATAGGTGTAGTTATTAAAAATATATGTTAATATGTCTATTTTATAAGTATATAATATTTATGCAATACAATTGAAACATTATAAGAACTATTTATGTATTCAGATACTGCTGAACACATTTGGAAAAGTGTAACTAGCGTTAGTAATGCTGGTAAAAAACGAGGTCGTGGAAAAGGTGCTGGTAAAAGAAGAGCGAAAAATCTAAACAGGGGACAAATTATTGGTGTTGGTTAGTAAAAATAAATCAGTATATTATAGTATTATTTTATTTAGTTTTAAAGCTATACCTCAAACTAAAAATAGTGCAATACATTTAATTAAATTTTAAATATATTTAATATAATTTCTTAACAACTAATTTATAAATTACAAGGAGAAATCTTACCGTTACTAATAACTAATTTCTGACTTACATCTTGTATCGTATACTTATTGTCTTAAATCTATAAGAATACTAAAATACCAATACTCTATAGGTTATATTATAACCAATCAAATTGTAATTCAAAAAGTATAGAGTGGTTAAATACAGGCATTATAAATGCTAAATAATATTAACTTTTTAGAAACAATTTATATTAAAAGTTCATAATAGATTCTTGAATATTCTAAGGGATTAAAAAAAATCAAAAGTTCTGGAATTTTACATTTTTTAAACATTTTGGCCTTACTTTTTACAGTAATAACGTTTTTAGGCAATAAAATATTATTGACCCCTAATCTAAGATTTAAATTGATTTGATGTTCCTAACTTTTAATGTTTAACTTTTAATTACTAAGCTACGTAACTTTTTACTGAATTGGTTCTATATTGAGGTTAGTTATGTGTACTGTGTTATCATCAAAATGTTTAATAAGTAGTGGTTTTATCATTTTAAATTTAATAATATTTGATTTTTTAAATTTAATTAGGCGTTGATAATATTATTTGGCCGGGTCTCAATGCTCCAATCATAAAAGGACGAGATTTGTTGAAAAGAACTCAATTGCCTCCAGATCCTGATAGAGAAGCTCGTCTTATTAAGCTTAGAGATGCAATGGGTAAATTCAAACCACTTAGACTTTTGCCAACTGAACGAGGTTGGTCTGGCAGTAAGATGCCTGGTCGTAGTATTGGTGCACCTGATCCTATAAATGAATGTAAGTATTGCTGTATACTTAATTAATTTTAAAATTATTTGAATTTTAATAGGTATTTTTTTTTTTTTACAGATCAATTTGAGGGTTTTGATACAAAAGTATTAGAATTTAAAACTGTTTTCTGTATGAAAGCAAACGCTGGCCGTTATAGAAGAATAAGTGTAGTTGCTGTTACTGGAAATGGAAATGGTCTTGCTGGTTTTGCAATGGGTAAAGCAGCTGATAGTAGAGCTGCTCTAAAACGTGCTAAAAACAGAGCAGGACAAAAGCTTATGTACATTGAACGCTACAACAACCACACTGTATATCATGATTTTTTCACTCAATTTTGCAACACACGAATTTTTGTTGAAAAAAGACCTGAAGGTTATGGTTTGGTGTGCCATCGTGCTATAAAAACAATTTGTGAAATGATTGGCATTAAAGACTTGTATGCTAAAGTAGAAGGCTCTACTAACATACAAAATTTAATGAAGGCTTTCTTTTTAGGATTGCTTCGTCAAGTAAGTCGTTTATTGTTATCATTAAGTCACCACTAGAATAAACATTTATATATTTATATTTAATTTTAGAAAACTCATCAACAATTGGCAGATGAAACAAAATATCATCTTGTTGAATTTAGAGAAGAAAACGATTTTCTCCCGGTTGTTGTGGCTTCTCCCAGAGGAGAAGTGAAAGAAGACTCAAGAGAAGCCCCTGATTTTTTACAATATGTTATGGATAACAAAGTGAAATTAAGAAGAAAGAAATTTCCACCGTTCTATACCAAAAAAAGTCATTGGTATATTAAGTTAAAGAAAATGGAAACGATCAGGAATATGGACAAGGTACCAATCATTATTTAAATGTTCTATTAAATAAAGTCAGACCTTTTATTATTATTATTTTTAGGCAAAAATGAACTTGATAGCCGAATATGGTGAAATTAAGAGCTTTTTAACTGATAAATATCCCGAGTGTAAGCCAATGCAAAAAGGTGAGTTTAAAAAGAAATCGGAAGAGTCTGATAATTAATATAATTTTTAGATGTATAAATATTAAAATAATTGATTAAAGATTTGTTTTGTTATATATTTACATGTTATTTTTTACATAAATCGTTAATGATCGAATTTCCATAATTTAATATGAATTTCAATTGACTAAGGGACTGCAGTGTTTTCTCCGGCCCATGCCCTTAAATCTATTTTGGGTATAGACGAACTTGCACAAGCTACTCTTTGATTTCTGGAATAAAAAATTAACAAAACGGTTAAGCTGACAACTTAATTTTATAAAGAGGTAATAAATCTTACAGTAGCGATGGTTTCAAGAAAGGCAACGGTTGTATAAGAGCCATGTCGTCCGAATTATCACAAATCACTCTCGCCAAACTACTCTTTCTGAGCTCCATTAATTGAACTAAAACAGAATTTAAGACATTTTCTATTTTGTAAAAGTTTTAGGTTGAAAAAATTAAGCTGGATTGATAGTTCTTAGTATTTAAGCATATGTAATAACAATAACAGTACCTTGATCAAAAGCTGAAGGTTGACCTCCTTCTTCATAAAAGAATCTGTCACCACGACGCAGCCTCGAAAATTGATCGCCTATAATGCACACAAATACTGGTCCAACCAAAGCGTCCGTTATCGGTTTCTCTGACACCCCCCCAATGTATAAGTCTATTTCGTCCACCGACCCATATAATCTAGCCAATCTCGTTATTGTCTTAAAAAGATAAATGCTATTTTACAAGTCATTACATATGTCTAATATTATAAGAAAGTACTTGTGGTTCCATGAATTCCTCTAAATCTTTCCAACTCTTAGCCTTTTCGTAACCGCATACTTCACGCCATTCATTGTATGGAGGCAATCCATGGTCTCGGCCTCTCTGCACGTTCAATGCCACCAAATCTAATCCGAAGTTCAAATTTCCTTGGAACAAATGGTCAGTGACCTATAATTCAAAAAGAAAAATTATTTAAATTGTCAGTTATGTTGTACAAAAAAACTTGAATCAAACAGTAATTGATAGACGCGTCCAGATGGTGAGAAAATGTCGCCACTTACTTCTTTAGTGAAAAACCTATCGAATTTCTGTGAACTCTGGAACGATAGTCCCCGAATAAAGTCATCCAAAGCACCGTCTTTGTACAAACTAAACGGCGCAAAGTGTTGTTTGCTGAGTACTAGGTTCTCTCGAATATTACCAAACTTTCCATAACCACTATTTTAACATTAAACAAATATTAGTGAGTACTGAGTAATCGCATTTAAATAGAATAATGTCTACAAATGGAAGATTCGGGTGCCTGATTCCTGATAAATAATTCGAACAAATTGATGATTTATTTATTGGCTAATTTGTTTTATACATTTTTTATTTTTCTAGTATTAATTGTAAATTACTGAATGAACTCCGTTTTTTTAAAACTCGTGTTATTATTATGTTTAGTCATATTAATTTAATATTCTGTATTGGACATTATCAGACGATGACCATTGGCTATGACAGTAGCAATTTATTCTGCGCGGTTAATGACCAGTATAATTATTTGCGTCGAAACAGGTCTCGCATTGTTAATGAAGTTTTTTTTTAAAATTAAATAAACGTGTTTCCGTAGGTCGTTAATCTAAAAAAATCAACATTATCCGCTTACGTCTAAAGTTTTAGTCTATCTTCAATTAAAAATCTCGTGTACAGATTTTGATCTTTATCGAATGGTTTTATTGCAATGGTGTCACGTATATTATGGGTTATATATATATATATATATATCATCTCTGGGTTGTCACGGAGATGCCTACTTAAAATAATATACTTAACTTACTGGATATTTCCTTGTATGAGTGTATGTCCAAATCGATAAGCTGCTCCCGCAAATGAGTTGGTAATCCCTGCGTTTAACTCCGGATCGTATTTCCTGGTCCATCCCGTCTCTTCTGGCGTCAAACCGAACTTGGTCATATAAGTCCTCCCTGCAACGACATTGACCGTCAGATATGCAAATGTTACGTCTTCCACACGCCCCCCCCCCCCACCACTAGTTTCTCATAATTCTACGACACTAACCCAATACGATAGGCAGGAATTCATTGTACGTGATGTGCTGTATTTCTGCAATCACTATCCTTCGAGTTTCCTGGAACACAGCCTCATCGCTCCACCTCGGGTTCAACCTGGACAGTTCGAAAGCCACCCTATTATGTTCTCTTAACCAAATCGTGTGAATTAAGGCCAAGTCCAGTTGTTCGTTCACTCGTCCGTCACCTGCAAGTCATAAAAAAGCATATTCTTACAATAGCTGATATCTACAGTTATCGAAGCCCTTCACTCTAGGCAGTGACGGCTGTTTACAAATTGTTAAATCTTTTGAACTACCGTAATTACGAAAACGAACCACTGCCCTCATATGGAACTCCAAAAATTGAAACGGAGGCCTAAGCACCTTTTTATGTGTTTGATAGCCGCTAATGTCTAACGTTTACACCATGCGTTTAAGCTACGTTTCTGGGTTTACGCCGTGAGGCCAAGACACCTCGGGGCTCACAGTCAGTTATCAAATAGTAAAAAAAAATTCTACCTATACCACCAGAAATGTACATTGATACAGATTTAAAAAAATACAGTTTATATGAATTAACTTAGCTACATATTTAAGATCGCATAGGCAATTAGGCACTTTGTAAAATAGCGTTACTCTTCACAATACGATTGGTTCTGTCACTAATTTAGTTAATACACATAACATGATATCCAACGCAGTTATTGTTGTATTTATAGAACCTATTAGATACATTTATATGTCCTTAACAGTTTTACTTTTATTTCAGTGTATTATTTAATTTCAAACAAGTACATCCATTGAATCGCAAAGGTCTATCTTCTGAATTTCCTTATGAAACCTTATGTTCCAATTTTTTTTTCAATAGTTGTTTTTTAATTTTTCTTCGTCATGAGTAATTTAGATCTTACTTGCTATAATTCCAATGAACTCAAAACGCCAGCACTTGACTAAAACATTTGGATGTATTCACAAAAATATCAAATAAAACTAAAAAGAAAAAATACTACTTTTATCATATTGATAAGTACTCACTAAGTTAGTGGTTGCAAAAAAAAAATATTAAATTTAACAGTTTCTTCAAATTTAATATATCACAAATCACGATGTATGCTTAAATAAATCTTCAAATGCTTAACGAACGTTCATGAAAGCTGCCATAGTTTAATAGAACCTTTATTAATTAAAATTATTGATAATAATTATTACTTATTAGTAACGTCCAATTATATGCAACATAACGGAGGTTATAAATGGTGATAATCGCACTATGCAGCTTAAGTTGTAAACAATTATATAATAAATAAAACATAAACTACGATGTATTCAGTATTTATATTTATGATACTTAAATAACGAATACGGATTGACCACGGACTGACAACCCGTCCCGGTTAGCGAATTCGCGATGAAACAATCCATTTAATGGTGGCAGCGTTTGGCCTTCAAGATCCGTTAAGCTATATAACGATGATGATTTCCCTATATAACTACATTATTATTTTAATTTTCATATTTGGTAATCTATCTTCTCAATTTTTATCATTATCGTAGAAGGTTGTGTTTAATTTTATTTTTACATTTAATTTATATAGTTGTGGCTGTAGATAGCATCATGGGGTGGAGTATTACTCGTATGATGTTTTTAGGATATTAATTACTAAGTTCATTGATAATGAGTTGATTATTGCGGTGATTATTAGAACAATTAAAATAAGTGATCTGACCTGCTCTGAAGCAAGCTGCTCTGCCCGTATCATCTGAACACTCCGAAGGATTAGCCGGCAATAATTGTTTGCCTCTGATCTTCTGAGACTGCAACATACCACCCCGGAATGTTCTCAAAGCCTGTTGGGCGGTCAGTGACGATCCGTAAATATTCGAACAGTCCAAATAAGCCGTAAGCTGGTTCATCTAAAATGTACAGGCAAATTATCATTTAACATTACCAACTCGGCGTTACAACAGCTTATAATTACAGCGCCGAGTGGATACATCGAGTACGCAAGGGGTTCTATGCCCTTCGATATTGTATAATGCTCAGAACCCCTAAATTATTGCTACTAGTTTGAACTTAAGTTACAATATATTTTTCGTATTTAGGCCTCCAGGTGTGAGAATCCGGCACTGTTATTATACATACATTTGTTTAATACGTATTTTCGTTACTTGTTCTCTGGGTCCGAAATTACACTCCGGACGGGGCGCGGGAAGCGATCGCACGAACTCCATGCACATCTCACCGAACGGACTGAACATCTGGTCGTTGCGAGGGATTTCTATTGGAAAACAGTCTGGATGACGGAGTGAGGAGTCTATCTCACGGCCGTTCCTGCAACACGATATGCCGCTACCCATCTGACCGCGACTAATTGGCGTCTGTGTCATGTCGTGGTCGAGGAACTGTCCCCATTGCATCAACAGCATAGTGAAGTTATCGGATGGCGCGTCTACATCCTGGGTGAACGTCACGCTCACCAATCTGGCGCTTGGTAGCGGGGAACCGTCCGCGGCAGTGGACCTAGGCGAGTTCACCCCTAGATGGTTCAACGACAAGTACAAACGGTAGAGATACGATTGGACGGGAAAGTGTTAAAACTGTGAGAACTATGACGTACCGTCGCCGTACTTGGGCGGAAGTATCCGCTGCAGAGCAGTGCTAGCGCGTCCCCACATCTCGTGTTGGATGTTATTACACGATCCATCGGTGGACCTGTACTTGTGCGGTTGGCAGAACGACGTCCTGGGACAAGTGTCGCCCAGAACCGTGTCGAGAATGCTAAAGCTGGGCAGCGCGAACGTGCCTTGGTCTCTTGTTAGATTAAAACTATAGAAAACAAAATTACAATTTATTTACATAAATAAATTTACTACTAATTCGTTGAATAATCTATACCATACAAGAGTCGCAATGACTTACTAGTTGTGAGTATTATAATTAGGGAGAAGTTCAGTTTTAAGACATCTTATAATACTAATTGGGGAGCTAATATTTCGCGTATTTGCGTTAATGTCTATTAACAACTCACTCGTTGACTAGTCCCAAACTAGCGTCGACCGATTTCTGGGCTTGTTCTCCCTGCGATAGGGTTTCGTTGGTGGTCTGGAAGAGTTCCTGATGCCAGGCGGCCGCGCTGCCGGTGGGCACTAAAATTCTTTTGGTGAATAATGACGTGACCAGCACTTGGCGCTCGTTGAGTCTCTGCAACGCGTTAGCCGCGGCCAAATTCAGTTGTTCTGGTGTAAAATCTGGAATTGCAACTGGAGGCGGAGGTGGTGCTTTTATCACGCCGGTGGTAGTGGCCTGCTGGTTCGCTGGAATTACAATACAGTAATAAAAATATTAACAACATCGATATTTGAATACCAGCCGCGTTGGAACAAAACGTTCATAATACAACACGCCCGATATATTAGCTATTTAGCATGCAAGAAACTCGTTTCAGACCAGTTTGTTTTTTCCATGATAGATTATAGATAATGTGGTTTAATCGATGGCGATCGGCATCGCTAAGATCAATGACTTCTATACGTTGTGTCTGTATTAATACATATTATATTTGTATGTATTTTATGTTGCATATGTACGCGGATATATTAGTGTGTACTGTGTACAAGTAACTAGTGCAGTAATTTTGTTTCGTCAGTTCAAATAATATGTTTTTTATACTGCTGAATAACACCCAAAATGTTTTAGCGGAGAGCTGTATACGAACCACAAGTGCCCACATGTATTCAGGTCTCCTACTGCAACTCTTTGAAAGTAAATATTAATAAGGAGTTTTAAATTTTCTGAACCAATAAAAGAACAGAACTCTTAGAGCGGTTAGTTCCGGAATATGGATCTGTTTTTTGAATTTTGACATTAGTTCCGGAATTATTTCCGAAACTGTTTACAAGTCGCCAGTTTGACTTATTGTAAATTAAATTTGTTCATATCTTCAAATATTTTGTTTTATACAATTATATAATATACAAAACTAAGTATGAATCTATTCCTGAAGTGTACAAAAATATATTTTGTCTGTGAATTGTGTGTTAACGATTTGTCACCCCCGTCAAGATGCACATACTCGTCATCGATATGTATGAAAAAAAAACTGAAAATCCGGACCATAATTATTTTAGGCTATAATAATCCGTGGCCTTACTTATACATGGACGCCCGTTAACAGTTTTTAAGCGTTATGAGATTAATTAATAAGCGCTCACTCATCATTCGGGACGAAACCTTGGTTAAACAACAATACAATATCATATCAAATACCTTTGAGTGCTAAATTTGCATATTTAACTATGTTATTATTATGTGTGCGGATCAAAGTTAAACAGGCATTGCCATTGTTAATGAACTGTATGGTTTCCGGATCATAAGCATCTGCCGTGTGAGTCGACGGAATTTAAGTGTATCCATCCATTATTATGATGGTGTTTTTTTTTTTGTGATAAGTTTTTTTGTTCTGAGTAAACTTAATCACCGGAGGCGAGAAATGAACACTCGTCTGCGTGTGTGTGCGTAAGGACAAATTAATTATATTCCTCTTTTGACCTCAAAGACGTCTTCCCGCGAAAAGTGTCATGCTAACATTTGTTTGCACCTTAATATAATAATTATTAAGCGGTAAACGAATTCAAAATATAAACGAGTAAATTAAAATAAAATATATGCCACTTTCGATAAAAACTGGAATAAATACTAACTACTATGCCCATGTCGAGCCCTCTGCGTAAACGATTTTTATTATTTGTAATAATATATTTGGATTATAAATAAGCAAGTACTTAGTTTTGCCATATACACTATATTTATAAAAACCAGTTAATTTTATTGATGTTGTAAATTGGAACAAGCATATTTCAAACTGCATTGTTTTTTTCACGGTCATCTAACTATTAATAGAACGAGAATAAGGTGGGGACGAATTATGAGAACTTTCAAGAAAACACATAGATCAAATAAATCAACGAAAACAAATTTATAAAAATCTATAGTTGCGTTTTCTCAATAAATCATGAGTATAGATTTGAGAAGTTATTTGAATCTATACCTTCAATCTAAATTTCAAACCTAAAACTGCATCCAGACATGGAAAATAATGAGATTAAAATATACTTTGTGAAGCAGAAAGGATTAGGTAATGTTTTTTCTGACTATTATGCAGGATTATAAAGATAATTAGAAAACAAATAACAATCTAGTAATAGTCGATCTCTCTAAATTTCAAATAGCTTACACTATAAATAGACAACGTACTATTATCAATACAAAAATGTACATAGGATAAAGTTTAAAATAATTTACAAAAATCAAGTTTTAGAATATAATAGCTGATACAAACGAAAATGAAAAAATATTCCACCGAGTGATCCATTTAACGTAAGACTCACTTTCTCGAAAAATAAAAATATGTTTAAAAAAAATATTATTAGGTAGGCCTATAGCGATTTAATATTCACCTGCGATTTGACAAATAAACGAGATAATTTGAAATGTTGTTCGCATATTCGAAAAGTTCTAATTTCTTATTTACTGTCTGAAAACGTTATGACAAAGTAATTAAATGTGTATACCTGGATTTTGATTTTTACTCGGGCAGCATACGCCGAATTCGTTGGCGGCCAACTTGCACGGTTGTTTTTTTAGTTCTGATAGCTCAGCGTAAAATGACAAGCAGCTTACTAGCGGTCTGCACATTCCCAGTTCTCCGCTGGCAGTGTTACAAGATCCCGGAGTAGTCTGAGGCTTTTTGGAAGGAACGGGTAGTTTTTGTTGTTGTTGTTGAACGGGGACCGGCACTAGCGGCTGTTGTTGCTGTTGTTGGAACTGTGGTACCTGGACAAGTGGAACGGGTTGAAAACGGACGCCGCCTGTCAGCCTGTCTTGGATGCGTTGCTGCAAGACGAGAAACTGCTGTTGGATCTCCTGGAATGCTCGCATAAACTGGTCTTGTTGCTCCAACAGAGACTGTCGGAGTCCGGGGTCTTGCGGTTGCGCTTCGAGCGCCTGTTGAACTTGTTGCAGCTGCACCTGGATGTCGTTAAGTCGGAACTGAAGCTGCTGTTGTTGCAGCTGTTCTGGGAAGAGTTCCGTAAGAAACGGCTGTTGGGGTTGCGCCCAGACTGCGACCAAGAATAACTTGGAGACGAGGAGTATAGCCGCAATTAGTATTTGCGCCATGTTGTGTTCTGAACGTGCGGAGGTCTACTGAACGACGGCGGCCACCGGCCGATCAGGTGCACGGGCATGTCAGTGCGGCGAGACGACCGCTTCGGTTCACGTGGGAAGAGTTCTCCACGTTCAAGGTTGCACGCACACGCATTCGGTTTGCTGTGTCCGTTTTTCTCTGTGATTACCTCACGATTTTGGCTATAGCGCCGGTATACCCACCTAGGGTGGACCACTGGTAATCTCGGGAAAACCCCGAATCCGAATTAACCGTTTTACTAAACATTCCATGGTGCAGGCGGACTTGGCTCCATAGGGGTCATGTTGTGTGCCAACAATATGTATTCAGTATTATCCAATAATACACGTGTTCATTATTTATTATGTTTAATGTTACTGTATACCTATACAATATATTCGGTAGTATATATGTACTTATAAGTTATAAGATTTAATTTACACCTAAAACGTACGACCGAATCGAATTTAGACAAACAACTTAAACAGTGAACCTTTATCGCTAATTTGTAACCCTTCTATAATTAATAATATACTCAGTTAACATAAGCCTAAATATTCCTAGAATTTTCACAGTACTTTAAATAATTTGTATTTTGATTAGTATAATTACCTACATTGGGGGTGGTCTGTAAGTATATTTTTGAAAATTATATCTCTTCAGTTTTCCCCTTAATAAATCAAAGGTATGTTCAATACAATATTTTTTATTAGTTAAAGTAAGTTTCATTCTTAAATACTTTTAGTGCACAGTATTGGGGAGTATTTTAACCTTAGTTACTACTACGAGATTACTTTTTAAGTAAGTTTATGGCAATAAAATAAAATAAAATTTTATTGTAGTTTAGTAATTTTGTCGTACTAGTTTAAAACAGTCGTTTAAAATAGTCGTTGCTTTTTTCCAATAAAAGTATTAAAAAACAAATGACACATTATGTAAATAAATGTATAAACTTACCGGCTGAAAAACTTGGAATACCTATTTAACAAAACTTACTATTTTTTGTAATTTCACTTAGGTAATGTATTGAGTATCATAATAATTAAGCTCTATAGTGGTACTTTGAAAAAAAAGTAACTTCTATTGTAACGAAAATAAGTTTTTACTTAATAGTCATGTAACACATGTATGTCACATACCTACTACTTTTGGGACATACCGTATATTTAATACAAGCATACTCGTGTAATTTATGAAATTGAAAATTAAAGATATAATGAATGAAGAGATTGAGAAAATATTAACTATAATTGTTTTTAAAAATTAAGCCATAAGGCTCATACGCCTTAAAAAATTACAATGAAAAAAAGTTCTTAGTACAATAGAAAACAATAAACAACGATTCTATCGAATTATCCGCTTTAACTTAACTTGTAGAAAAATACGGACAAGGCAATTATTAAACAAATAAACACATATTGTACACGGGACTTAGGAGTTGTGTGGATCTTAAGTTAATTTACGTATTGACTATTGAACCTAGTTTATTGGTAAATATAAGTCGGTACAGAAGTTAAAAAAATGGGAGTACAACACAAAACGTGTACCGAACGAAACCATTAATCAGTATCACTACAATTACTCATTAGTGATTTCATTTGATTTACAAATAAATTGGTAAATATTACTGCTAGTCACTAATTACTTATTCAGGTTCTAGTAATTGTAGAAATAAATAGTTACTTTTAAGCTAATGTTTCAATAATAATAAAAAAAATACTAATTCAGAATAAAGTAACCATGTAATGATTACAATGCATTGCGCACAACTCGTGTAATGTGTATATAAGTTGCTCTGTTAAAATTTCGCTGTACAAATATGTTTTTTCCATCACTTCAAAGTAACTATATAATTATAGTGTACTATTATATCTATCAGTCGTTGTCTGAAAGATAACGTTATTATGCATACATAGCTGTGTTAACTGATCATGGTAGTTACATATTTTATATTTTGAAGTTCTGAGGACAACATATACCTTAGTACTTATACTAATAATACTATTAACTTTTTTTACATAGGTATAGAAAATTAACTTACTTTAATATGTTTTGCTGCAATAGAACTGCAACTGAAGTAGTGAGTAATTATCTATATGTTCAAATTTCCTTAACTACTACAATAATTAGATATTTATGCCATTCTTTGAATACAGCGGGATACCCAACCCCATATAATTAAAAACACTAGTCTAAAACTATAAACCAGATTTACATATTCTGTACTAATATTCGACATTAATGTGTAATATCATTTTTAACGTTGAAAACTTGGAAATGTTTTTATCTACATAACGTAATTTCGTTGTTTAATAAATTTTAAATATAATCTATATAATCAGTGAAGCAAAATCAGTGAACTAATAAAAAAATATCAGGTATTCAGGGTAGGTAAGGGTCTGAAGTCTTTGAGCATCAGTATGTTCCAATAGTCCTTTGATAATGTGTTTGAAACTTAATATAACTGAAATAAGTTTTATTTTCTGAATTTTTGGCTGAAGAACAATTTAAAAATGTCAATAATCATTCATAAAAAAAATTGATCATATAACCTATAAAAACCAATAATATTATTATTGTATAAGACGTACAAATCTTGAAAGCCAACGGTTCAGATGTTTAAAGGCCAATTAAATTTGTTCAACTACATGGAATGTTATAGCGCTCGTAGGGACCAGAGTGTTTTACGGGGATTTTTTACCTATAGTCTTCTGGATCCGCCCCTGTCTCGAGACAAAGCTATTGTAACCACCAGTCCTTATTTTATTACATTTTACTTTTTGTAAGTAAATTTTCCTTTTTTTGGCTAAAACAAATATTTAGTCGGAAATATTATTGTAACGCAGATTCATGAATGACCGTGTAAATTAGGTATGACAATATTATAAAGCTCGACGTGCGACAAGGTTTAGATATCACAATCATTGCGTTAACATCATACAATATAAATATATATAGTAGTGGTGAGGACACCCGGCACATTATAATCACTGTCAGTCGCCAGATGTACTATTATATCGGGGCACATATTGTAATTAACGTTCACGGTTATAATACCTATGCGAAAGAATTTTTTTTCTGTTGTTCTTTTAATACCTCGGGTGCATAACATTGAGACTCTAAAATAACATACACCTTTGTATATTGCAATGTTACAAAAACAAACAAAAGATTCACGATAACCGAATTCAAGAATTCGATCGTAAATCCTGAACAATATAATAAGTTCTACCAACTCTCGGGGCTACACGGAACACATCAAACATTAATCTGACATTGTTTTTGGGGGGACACAATGCGATGAGTGTATATGCATAATGATTATGTAAATAATCTAATATTAAAAATGTATTAATACAACAATAGTATGCGTGTTTTGTGTATTTATACAATATACATATAAATTATGATTACCGCAGTTACTATATGGTAAGTTTGACCTTATAAATATACTAATATATTACATTAACACAGTCAACAGAATGTACAAAGATGATTTGACGGACCTGCATATTTCTTACGCGATATTTTTTATAAGTTACTCTTTAATTTGGTAACAAATTGAAGTACTTAGATAAATGACTTGGAGAACTTCATTATTATAAAAGTGCCAGTACCTTAAATATGTCACTTTAGGGTACTTCCTCCATTTTCCCCCCTCTTAGGACAGTCAAGGATATATAAATTTGTTCAAGACTTAATAGGGTAGACACTCTTATTCGTACAAGATACCGATCAAATGTATATATTGTACCTCTTTGACTTATTAAATGGTTATAATTAATAAAGGATATCTGGATTTCTTGATTCAAATATGTTTGCGCGTTCCGTCTTATTCTTTAGAAACAAAACAAATAATTAGTTTCCCATTGTAAAACAACGATTTAGTGGCGTATATAGGGGAGGGTTTTGGGGGTTCAAACCCCCCCCCCTCCCCGAAATTATATCCTATGTACGCCACTGCAACGGTTGGTGCTGATTCACTTATTCCATAAATGACTACTAAGCTTTCTAAAACTTAAGATATTTAAATATGTATACTATTTATGACCGTTTGCAAGAAACTATACAATTTAAAAGCAGATGAAATAATGATGGAAGTCAGGAACTCTACTCAAATTAAAATTCATGCGGTGTTCCATAAAAAAAAAATTGTTAAATTTACGTTTTTTATTTTAAAACTATTGTGCATTCAAACAGGTTTTTTATTATGATTTATTTTGTTAGGTCTAGATTCACTATGTATCTGTATAGATTGATTGATTATTAGATAATGTAAAATTCGACCGGGTCGTTATGATACATTATGTATATTAAATATACGCCACGATTTTTCCATTTTAAGTAATGCAAATTAAAATACCGTTTTGGTGTTGAGAGCCAAAATCACCAATCGGTCATCCAATGTCACAACACAACATAACTGGTGACACACGTTGCTAGAATAAGGAGTCTGGATCATTGGCGTGGGCAGTTGTGGGCCATAAGATGAGGTTTGTGATGTATATTAATGTTATTACATATTATTATACAACGTCATATTCAGTACTCGATTTGCATTGCGTCAAATCAATATTTAGCGTTTTCCTGGTTCACTCGTGTGTGATTATGTCTTTTTGTTTTCCAAGACCTTGACAATTGGCATTATGTATATATATATATATATATATATATATATAATATATATGCATATAATATATGATACATTAGGACCCCAGTACGCCTTTTACCTTGACAAAATAATATGCAACTAATTGATTCCCTGTAACTTAAGATCCGTACTGTAACCCGCAGTCATAAATGACAAAACACATAGTTAAAACAATATAATTATGTATTGCATTCTGTACACAATCACCTTCTATGATACTAATATGGAAATTAACTCGTGATCTATTCTTTATAGCAATGAAATTGTGACACATTCAAACCCGTGAAAAAATGTATTTCTCTAGAAGTAAATAAGTATTATGCGAGGTAAAAAAAATACAAATGGTACTACAATTACGAACAATTGTAGCAATAGCTGTTGTTTGTAATTGAAATAACATATTTAAATTTTAATTAAAAAAAGCTGGTTTTAACTTTAGTTGAATATGGATATAAAATACTAAATAATTAGAACGTAAAATATTTTATTTTAATTAAAAAAACCTTTAACCACAAAAAATAATAGACAGTCTAGATTTTCTGGAAAATCCACGGAAACCCATTTTCATAAATAATCGATTCAAATGTTGCTTCTAGATAAGAATGCTTGTTCATACAGTGACCTGTACGTAGGACGATAAGATGTTCAAAGAAGTTCATTAACCATATATTTTATACTACTCAGTAGTCAGCACTCTAATGTTTTACAAATTATTTTACTGTACAATTAAAAAAAGACAAAATAAAGTATATGTCAGTGGAATTTTTGAAAACATTCTCGTTAAGGGTTCACTTCTAAATTTACCTATTATTTCTACTAAATAAGTCACTAGTAAATGTATGTAACAATAGTCAAAAGTCTTTACACATGAAATTCACAATACAAGCGTCAAGGCCAGCTTTGAAGGCTACGCAAGTCCTTAATTTGTACAATCAAAAAGAAAATGATAATATCCATATTATAGATTAGAATTGTGTACAATTCAAGTGTAATCCATTAAAAAAAAAACCAGAAAGAAAGAGGACTGGATAGCAATTTATTATTAATATGATTCATTTCGAATAACAAATTTCATATTGTTAGTACTTAACAGCCTGCGGTCGTCGGGGCCGCGTGAGTTAGTTAGGAAAATCGGAAATTTTAGGGGTTACCAATTTAAATAGGCTACTATCGATTAGAAGAGTAAGTAAAAACAAATTTTGTTTTTTACAAAGTCTAGCATGTATATTAATTTTATGTATTTGTATATTTAATATTTATCTATATGTACCCTATCTATGTTTGCAGTTATTACCTTACAACTTGGCGGCTAGTTTTCTATTCTCAAAAAATATTTACCGATGACTTATAAACATTTTGGTGATGCAAAATGACTTTACGGGAAAAACTCTCGTTGAGTGGTCAGATTTAGATTCTTTTTTTATTTGAGAGAGAAAGATGTAAAAAACTACAGGACACATTGGACTATAATTTGAAATACTCAATTTCTAAACACTATAATAAGACTTAAAAATTCAACTAATTTTTGCAAATAGTTTTCTTCGTTTTTGGTAATATAATTGAACTCCTAAGTTCGATGCGATCTTTAGGAATTCTTCAATCTTTTAATTCTTTTTCAAACTAAAGTTTATAAAAATCGGATCACTCCACGAGCCGTAAGTTTTTCTCGTTAGTAATTTTTCATCACTAAAATGGCTAAAATGTATTTTTTTTAAATGTATATATTCAAATTATATCTTAAAGCTATAGTATAAATTAAGCTGAAAATTATTAGACATAATCGAAAATACAAATTTAAACATTTTTAAAATATATATTGCCTATATTTTGCCCCTTAAGAGAAAGCCCAGTTCAGGCGGTTCACAAATGTTCTTATCACATTCAAATATAGAATACAGATCAGAAAAACTGTTATCAACCAATGAATGAATAATAAATAATAATATCTATAATATTTATAATAGTATCTTATAACATTACAATTTATGACAAAATTATTGCATTCCGTTATTGAATAAACCATACATTTTCGTGCAAATAACACAGCATTTTTTAACTTGTCTCACTGTTGATGTTAAATGGATTTATGTTCAAGTGATGTTTCACTAAAACAAAACAAAAATAATTCATCTCATCGGAGTAAAACTTCACCATCAAATCCAAAGGCCAGTACTATTATTGCAAAAGCAGTTACTGTTTACAAACTAGAAATTAGTTCTCCTTCACTTGTTGGTAAATATGGTTTGGCGCTGGCAGGAGACAAAAAATTAAATTATTATCAAATTTTAATATATGGGAAAAATGTATGTCTCGTCAATCAAGTATTAAGTAAAGATTTTGTATTTAAAGTATGTGAAAACAATCATGTGGAATTTCAATCTTCTGAGAAATGGCGTTTAGAGTTTGCTAACACCAATGATGCCATAGAATTTAACTCACATATAGCACTTGTTTTATGGAAACTTTATGATTCTAAAGCATTATTTTGGTTTGACCTTTATTATCCCATTCGCACAGATATCACAGCTAAGCTTAGTAGTGTTGTAGAAATCATATATACAGCTAATACGATTCAAGGTAAAATCCTTGGCCCTGAGGTATCTAATAATATTAAAGATGATAAAAACTTAAAAGTCAGTATTGGTAAGAATGGTTGGGAGAGATCTTTGATGGGTGTTAATATTGGTACTCGGAGGATTATATATATACCAGTATCAGAAATGGGGGCCTGGAAAATTCTCACAGATGGTCATCAAAGTTTATGTTTGACTATAACTGTAAGAAATGTATATGAAATAAAAGAAAACAATAAAGTTGAAGGTCCTTTAACTGACACACATCAAGATGTAGCAGCAAATGAACCTAGAAATATTGAGAATGAAATACTACCTAAAAAAGAGAACGATAATCAGAATTGTGCAGATACTGTGACCATATCTAAAAAATTATCCATAGAAATACTTTCTGATGAATTGAATAGACTTAAAATTGAACATTCCAAAACAAATGAGAGATTAGAAAAATTAGAATCGTTAGTAAATAAAACTAATTCTAATACAACTATAGATAGTGCTAAAAATATAGATATAGAACTAAAAAAATCATTGAAGTTCGTGTATAAAAGTTTAGTACAGAAATTTCCAGCTGAGCAAACATTTTCCGGAAAGGAAATTCAATCAATAATTAAAGACATTTTTTGTAATGTCATAAATTGTCCAACTCCATCATCTATTTAGTTTAAAAGACTTTGGAAAATGATTGATTAAAATAAGTTAAATATTTCAAATTATATTAATAATTATTATTGTCAAGACTTGTGTTATACAGTTGAGCCTATACTTATGTAAACATATTTATATTATATTGTTATATTTTTGTACAATAAAATTAATTAAATAAGTGCTATAGAGTATATTATCTGAATGTTGTATAATATAATATAAAATATATTAATGTTAATATGAAAAAAGTGAGTATTCAACTTTTTTAACCCATTAATACTTCTTAATAGTTTTTTTTAATACCTATTAATAACTTAATATTAAAAAATATCTTGTTGTTTCCTAATTGAAATATATACACACGTCACAAAATACCCATAATTAAGCATTGACAACTTATGTGTCAAGTAAGCAGCTATTTCATCTACTACACAGGTATAAGAAATATTGTGATTGTATACTTAATTTGTTTAATTCCAACACAATTAAAACAGTGTAACAGAATATTCACTATAATTATATTCACTTCAATTATAATGTAAATTATTTTTGATTAATAAAGGTAAAAATATAATAAATTTAACTAAAATGTACAATCTAGTAATATGTATACAATATACCTATACTCGTACCAATACTTCGTTCGATAAGGCAAGATATCTACTGCTCACATATTTTGGATGGTAGGAGTGCAATGAGTTATGACTGATTTTGGTTACTTCTATTGCCAAATGGAATATACATCTACATTTAGTTTAAAAATTTTCTATTTTGAATTTTGAGTAAAATAAAACAATTATAAAATGTAGACAAATTATCTCAGATAATTTATTGTATTACAATATTAACAGGCAACAACAAAAATGTCAGACATGGTCTTGAGATGAAGTGTCCATAACACTTGATTTTTGTTTAAGTAAAATTAATTTAAGTAAGAATATAACATTAAAGATTAATAAAAAAAGTAATTCAGGTTTTCAAGAGTATAAATATATAAATTATGGACAATTTTAAAACACATCAAGAAATGGGAATGTAGCTTTTTGTGGTTGAGTCAAATCAATTAAAAAACATACTGTTCCAGCTAAACCTTCATACAAACTGTACAAACTGTCTGGTATTCTAGATCCTTTTTTACATTCATCAGTAAACATGAATTCGCCAAACATTAACGCTCTATTTAAATGTTTTGTATCTCCAGTTAATCGATATAGTAGTAAAAAAACATAACCATTTCCAGCTATTCCATGACAAATACCTAAAAAAAATCATATTTGTTTAATAATTTAACTTAAAAATATTTTCACTGTTAATTTGTATTAGTAAAAATATACTTAATAATTTTACCAGGGCCTTTTTTTAGTAAACCTTTTTCCCACACTAAATCACCACATTTCAGACAAGATTCTAAATAAGTTGGTTCTTTAAAAACTAAATATGCTTTAGCGAGTAGATACACAACACCTATAACAATATTTTTAATTAAAACTATAAATATCTTAATATAATCACTTTATATAATACACTATAGTTTAAGATATTAAAACTATTATTTAGTTATCAATTTAAGCATTATTATTTAAAAAATCAATGTACCACACATTATCATTTACCAACAGAAGTAAAACTTAACAAATAAAACAATTTTTACCTGGAGCACCATGGCACCAATGAACAAGTTCATCCCTTTCAGGTCTTTGACGAGGACCTAGTTCATCTACAGCACAGGCAAAATTACCATTAGCAGATTGTAAAGATATTAGTAAGTCTATACTCTTCTTTATATCATGTCTTGCCGACTGATTGTTATTAATGAATTGTGGAAATGAAATTAACATTTGTAAAATTGTACATAACCCATGGGCTGCACCTATAAATATTAAATAAACAGTTAAAACTTAAGTTTAATTAAATACTTATATGACTGGTCACCTAAGTATTCTGTATTGTAATAAGAATACATTAATGGAAACATGCTTCTTGTTCTTCTTGAATATTTACGCCCCGATTCTACTATTGCTGAACACAACTCTATTACATCTTCATTAGCTAATATCTGTTTCCCAAATATTTTTTCTAACCATAAAACTCCACTGAGATAACCAGCACGTCCAACAAATAACTCATCACCGCCAGGTTTGAAAAAATCTATAGGTTTACATATACTTGCTCCTTTTTTATAACTTTCTAAATATTGAGTTGCCAAAACCTCATCACCAAAATGATGATAAACTGCTGCGGACACTGCATTTACACCGGCTTCTCCGCAAATGAACTGACATGCACTTTTTGAACTGGAATGTGTAGCAGCTCTTAGGTTTAGTATTTCAATTGCTTTGTTGAGGAACCTTGCAGAATCGTTTTTGAACCCATCAGATTTAGCCAAGTTTAAAAACATGTACGCAACTCCAGTAGAGCCAGTGTAGAGATCATTGTCATTACATTCTGCAGAATTTTGACCAACATATTCAATTAAACTATGCAACCTTTCGCGCCAATAATCCAACGATGTGTTTAGTACAGCTGGTGTAGTGTTTGAAAATGTATTTTTAAAGTAACGTTTTGACATTGTTAAGTTGACAACAAATATTTGAAAAGATAAAAGAACAAGAGACTATTGTACTACCTATACAATGTACAAGTATATAAAGGTATATTCATAATTTAAGTTCGTAAACAATAAACTTATTGCTTTTAAAAAAAAAGACTAAATATTAAAATGATTACTTATTTTCAATTATTAAATACTAATCATTTGTCAGTTGACTCAACTCTTATCACTTGTCAGTAATCAGAACATAGAATAGCCCGGTGAGAGCATAGACCTATTAAAGATCTTTCTTTATAGGTCAATGGGTGAGAGTAGCCGGAAAGCTGCCATAGGTTCCCAGAGTCATAGGTTCCCAAGCCATCTTATAGTATATTTTTTCTTATCAATAGCCCTATTATAGTTATTATAGTCTTTGGGCTATAATATATGTATGACGTCATACCGTTACGGCATATTAAATTATGGCGCAACTCACTGTTAGTCAAGATTTCCCGGTCTTTTTAATCACAATAAAACTCATCACAATTCACAGATGTTAAAAACTTTTGAATTTTGTTCCAACTTCAAATAGTTTTTTTAATACTTAAGAGTGAAGACTGATTGGTAAATAGTAACCATGGCTAACTAACAGTTATTGAGCCATGATATTAAGCATAATTTAGGTTTTTTTAATTTTTAACTAGATACTTTTTTGAATAAAATGTACTCAAAATTATAATCTTAATTATTTATATTTTATGTTTGTTATTTGCTAAATGTTTAGTAAATTACTATTTTTTTTGTTGTTATTTTATAAATTCTAGGCGTTGTAGACAATTTTGATTTTACTTATACGTATTAGAATGACTTTATTTGAATGCAAAGGAGTGTTAGTTGACTTTCCTTATGAACCATATGAAGTACAGAAGCATTACATAGAGAAAGTACTTGAATGTCTCCAAAATGTAAGCTTATCTTAATATGTAAAAACATAAGTTTCTACAGTGTTTCTCTATTATTTTCTATAGGGCAGTAATGGAGTTTTAGAATCACCTACAGGAACTGGCAAAACTTTATCATTATTATGCTCATCTTTAGGATGGTTAATGGCCAAAAAAGCAGCGATACAAGCCAATCGAATGGGTATTTCAGAGAAAAATATATCTATGACAGTTAATATGGCAGCAGGCATAGAAAAGAATCCCAATAGTGCTTGGAGTAAGTTGTAAAAATTTTAACTTTGATGCGAAGCTAAGAAGGTATTATTTTTACAATACTGTGTTTTTATCATGTCTGTAAATAAGATAATATTTTCTTTACTTGATTAATTTTGACAAGAGCAGTTTTTATCAAAACTGAGTTATACATAATTGAATTTTTAGTAATTTGAGTGATACTGATAAAGAACTTTCAAGAAAATGCTTTAAAGTGTATCTGGAGTGTGCTGTGTGGCTTCTGTGATGGTTTTATACAAAAAAAACTATTCCTTAAATTTGTATTTGGGGTGTAATTTTTGGATATAATAGGGTTTAACATTTTGGATTGATAGATTAAGTGTCAACTTATAACAGTTTTTAAAAATTTTAACCTGTCTTTTAAAAAATGGATGAACCAAACTATTTTCAAAATGTTTATAAACACATTTATTGTCTATAATCACCATTTTCCATCTATAGATTCTCATTTATTTATTTAATTATTTCATAATTTGTTTTTCTAACTAGATGGTGTTATGCGACCACCACGCATTATTTATGGTTCTCGAACTCACACACAATTAAACCAAGTAATGAAAGAACTTCGACGAACTAATTATAAACATATGAAAGTTGGAATAATTGGATCCCGTGACCAATTGTGTATTCATCCTGAAGTTGTTAAGGAATCAAACTCATCTGTAAAAATAGCCTTGTGTCGTGCAAAAGTAAGTGCACGAACATGCCATTTTTACAATAATGTCGAAGCAAAATCTAAGGAAGCATTTATTGAAGATGGGATATGTGATATAGAAGATTTAATTAATAAGGGGAAAAAGTTCAATTGTTGTCCATATTATGGGTCACGGGAGTTGCAAAAAGATGTAGATATACTATTTACACCTTACAATTATATTATTGACCCTAAGACGAGGAAAGCTCAAGATATTCAGCTTAGTGTATGTACTAAAATCGATTTTTAAATAAAAAAGGTAAATTTGTAATTACTAACTATTTGTAATTTTTGTAAATAGGAAGATGTAATTATACTTGATGAGGGGCATAATGTAGAAAAGATGTGTGAAGAATCATGTTCAGTAGAAATAACCAGCACTGATATAGCGCTTTGTATTGATACAGTTACTGATGTAAGAATATTAAAAAAAGCTAAAAATAAAAACTTAATTTAACTCTTTTAAAAATTTGGATGTATAGATTATGAAACTCTTATATAATGAGAAAAATACTGAATTTTCGGAAGAACCAATTCAATTGCGTCCAAGAGAATTCTCTGATGATGACATATGTACACTAAAAGCTTTGTTTTTAGAAATAGAACAAGCTATTAATAATATTGAACTAAATAGTAGCACAAATGACAAGAAAATGGAAGGGTCATATATATTTAAGCTACTTCAGAGTGCAAATGTCAGTAAACCAAACATTCAATTTATTTATATTTTTCACATAATTTATTCATAGATATTTTTTGTTTTTTTTAGATAACACCTGAAAAAATGTCTACATTTATAACCTTTTTAAATGCCGTTATAGTTTATCTGTCGTCATCCAACTCCAACTCGCCTCAACAAGCTAAAGAAGCATGCTTGTACAAATTTCAAAATTTTTTGGAGTGTGTTTTACAAAGTTTAGGAACTAATAAAGATCCTAAAAATACTGATAAATACTTCAGGGTAAATAAATAAAAATAATTTTAGATTAAATAAAGAAATACACTTTATATTAAATACTCGGGGTTTACTTTATTAATTAGTTCATTACTATAAATAAGTTAAATTACCGTAAAACTAAGATACTTAGGACACTAGGTGATTTGGAAATCTTAAAAATATTTTTTAAAAAAATAAGTGCAATAAATTTGAAGTATAAGAATTTGAATCACATTTTATTTTACAGAGTACTACAAAATACAAGTTCCAAATTACTCAGTGTCACAATTAACTCAGTTTTAGGATAGTAGTAAGCTAATAACAATTATAAAATATATTCTAGAATTAACTTTTCTTAGCAAATCAAATTTTCATTCTCAATTTGTTGAGAATTTCTTAAATTTGTTAATAAACATATTTTAAATACATCTTTTCAAGTAACAGATTAATAAAAAAATAAATTTTGTTAATTGTAATTAAGTTAAAATGTTTCATTTTAACTTATATGAGTGTTACTGGTTTTAGACATATATACAATTAGAGCAAAACAAGTTCAAACCAAAGAATGATGCAAACAAATTTAAAGAACTAAAAAAAGGCAAATCGATAAGTTTTTGGTGTTTTAGTCCAGGATTTGGGTACTATAAATAGTGAATTCAATTTTAGTATTTTTATTGAATTTAACAATTACATTTTTTTAATTAACATAAAATCATAATAGTTTCTTTTAGATAGTTAATCTAAATGTACATGTTTTGCAGGATGAGAGATTTATTGGATCGTAATGTTCATTGTATAATATTAACTAGCGGTACATTATCTCCACTAGCCGCCACTATTACTGAAATTGGAATTCCTGTTGAGGTTCAGTTACAAAACTCCCATGTCATTAAAGATAGTCAAGTTAGTATACATTTGTAAATTAATTAATCATTGTACTTCAATTTATTTAACCAAGTCCTAATACAACCAGCGTAAAATATTAATTACTTTGGTAAACCATATTATTTTTCTAGGTTTGCGTATCAGTTGTTAAAACAGGACCAAATAACAAACCACTTATATGTAACTACAGTAGTAGGTAATTATATAAATTGGATTTAAAATTTTTTAGTTTAATTTATATCATTTTTTTTAGGAACAATAATGACTTTCTTATAAGCTTAGGTCAAACGTTAGTGAATTTTTCTCGAATTATACCAGGTGGAACTTTAGTGTTCTTTCCTTCATATCCATTTTTAGAACAATGTGTAAGTCATTGGCAAGGATGTAATATTTGGGCATCGATCACTAAACTTAAGGTAGACTTCTTAACAGATTCAGCGCCACAGCAGACACCAGTGTTTTTTATATTTTTTTTTTTTATGTTATACTCATCATTTTATAATACGATCAGGTTAGGTTTATATTACTTTCCAGGTGTCAGATGGACCCCAGTACTGCCGTGGCCTGAGAGAATTAAACGGACAATGGTGTCTGCTGGCATTAAACATGTTAATATTAAGATATTTTTTTAACATTTAAAATAGTAAACTTATAATTTTTCAGCCAATATATGTTGAACCAAAAAATAGAGATGTACTTAAAAATGTAATAGATGAATATTATAAAGCAATTCAAGAAAACAAGGGTGCAATGCTATTTGCAGTTTATAGAGGGAAAGTATCTGAAGGGTTGGATTTTTCCGATTGGAAAGCCAGAGCTGTAATTATCTTAGGTTTGCCTTATCCTCCATATCAAGATCCTAGAGTAGTAATGAAAAGAGAATACTTGGATGAGATTCGGAAAGAAAACAAGCAGGTAACATTGAAATAGAAAAATATTCATTATCTAGTTGGCTGTTAGTGAATGTTATTTATAGTGTCTATCTGGTCAAGAATGGTATAAACTAGAAGCCATAAAAGCTGTTAATCAAGCAATGGGTCGAGTAATAAGACATGTTGCTGATTGGGGTTCAATTATATTTTGTGATGAGCGTTATGCAAGTCAATACATAAAATCACAACTATCTGCTTGGCTTCAACCTCATATCAAAATACATGAGCAATTTTCTTCAGCTTACAGAGCAAATGTGCAGTTTTTCAAAAACACAGGATTGACGGTAAATTGTATTTTATTCAATTAAAATTATAAAAAACATTCACATAGGATTTAAATTTATATACTACAAAACTTTTTGTATGTATAATTTGTAGATGCCGTCATCTATTTTATTTTCAAAAGCAGCGTTTGATGAACCAGCTCAAGCTACTGTTATAAGGTCAATAGAATCTGTCAAACGTAAAGAGCTTGAAAATGACACTTTAAAACTCTATGAAAGTTACCATACTGAAAATGAAAACGTAATTAAAAAAGAATTAAAAACCAGCGGTAAAAGTCTATTAGAATCAGTTGATAATTATGTGGAACAAAAAATAATCAACACAGTAGCTGAAAGTCAATGCTTAAAAATGGACATAAATTGTGAGGCAAGACCTTTAGCGAAAAAAAGAAAATTAAAAATAATTCCTAACAAAATTGAAGTAGTTAAAAAAGAAGATGCAAAAAATAAAACTATCAATTTTATGAGTAAAGTAAATAACTATTTTTTTATTGCAATTATTAGATATGAATGAAAATGAGTTTTTTAAATGTTAACTAGATTTTCAGGAATATGATTGGTATTAATAATATTTTGCATTTAAAAATAGGTTCGATCAGTTCTAAAAGATAGCACTGTTTATTCAAGGTTTGTAAGCATTGTTAAAAAATATATGACAGAAAAGAATTGTGATGATTTTATCAAAAATTTAGAAGAATTATTTCCAAATAAGAATCCAGATGTTATTGGTATTTTGGATGGTAAGTACTATAAAATAGTTCCAGGTTAAAATGTCCAGCTTACAATAAGTCTAACAATAGTCTGGAACAAACATATCCAAATAAAATGATATTCAGTTGACAATAGTAAACGTCCCAAGAATAAAATGTATTTCAAAGTTTACCATAATAAGGCTGATGAGCTAGTTAATATAATTATTTTATCAGATCATATAATTACTTTATTTAAATTATATCATATCCGATAGATCCAAGGTATATATTAATATTTTACCTCTTTTCTATAAAATAATTGTATAAAACTTTTTTTTTTATTTACTGTGTAAAATTAATGTTCAATTCTGAAAAACATATTTTATTAAAGAATTTTTTCTTATGAATGTGTTAAAGCTTTCATGGATTGAACTATTATTTGGGTAAATTTCAGATATATTTTAGTCTTTAGTTTTACACTAGCTTTTCGGATTTGTTGCTGAGTCCATCCCCAGAGCGCTAGTCACTGTTCTGCTATTGGGATTATCCATAACTAGCACTCTGAGGATGGATTCTGCAATGAGTATGAAATGTCAGCAAAAACTGAAAATATGGATAAATCTGAAAATGATCATAATTTGATAATTTCAGCGTATAAAAAGTTATTTTGTCTTGGAAAAAGAAAATACCTCCTTGCCTCTGCATCAAAGCTAAAATGCACAAATAAAGTTCTAGTCAGCACAGTAATGATAAAGGGATTTACTTATTATTATTATTATAAAGTTTAATTTCAGAATCTATTTAGTTATTTAGTAATTTTTCCTCAGTATATTGGGTTTTTTTTTATTCAAATAATCACAGAAAATAATATTTGATTAATGTCTAACCTAATCATATGAATTTTTTTTAATATATAGATTTAAAGGATTTTTTGGGAAAAGATGTTCAAAATCAGTTTTATAATTATTGTACAGAGTTAAAAAAACAAAGGTAAACCGATTGTATTATATAGTAAGACTAGAATTTTACATTTGACTAAAAAACTTATCGTTAACTTGTAATTATTTGCTTTTGTATTTTATCATGATGTTTATTTATTTCAACCACCAGAATACATCTGTATTCTGGTTTTGGCATATTGTAAAATAAATTGTGTACTTAAAGAATTAATAAATGTTGAAACTATTACTTTTGTATCGTTCATTATTAAATAGTTCTGATGAGAGAGACAATGGTATTTATTAATTTTGTCTAAATATTTGGTATCAGATTTCTGCAAATTAAAAAATTAAAGATTGCAACAGAGTTATTTGAATGTGGGGGGTATCTGTAATGTAAAAGTTAATTATAATTATTGTAAATAGGGTTTTTAACTATATTAAATTATTCTGTCATTTTAGTCAATTATATATGGCGTGTAAAGTAACAAAAACGTGTTAGCATTTATAAAAACAAAACTTTAAATTTTGAAAACGTTTTCCATAATTAAAACACGAAAAGTTTGATGTTTGTTTGCATTTTTTAAATAAGAGACTAAATTTGCTAATTAACCTTCAGCTCTTTTTGCGTTTGCAATATTCCATGATATAATAATCCATACTAGAGATAACACTATAAACAAAATTAAATAATTATTTGTATTATACAGTATTATATTCATGTAATGAGTAAACACTTACTATTTAAATACGTATTAAATATATTGGTTTTGTTGTATACTCCCAGAACTTCGTCATAACCAAAAATTTTAGTATATAAAAATATGTCAGGAATTTCGGAATAAATCAGCAAATATGTAATGTGTTTGAACTTCTTGATATTCCAGAAACATCTATTAAATTTTATACTATCTGCAGTTACATTACCGCCAAGAACTGTTACTCCCTTATAATTAATACCAAAATTTCATTAAAATGCTTTAAATATAAATATATTATTAATCACTTACACTATTTATAAATTCAGTTTTCAAAAAGTACCCAGTTACTAGTATGTCAATTAAACCAAAAGCAGTTTTTATTCCGAGGTAAGTAGAAGTTTCATCTAGATTACAATGTAAGCAGTCTGTTATTTGTATACCATTTTCAACACATTTCGAAGAAAATTTTAGACTTACTCAAAACATAAATAAAGACATATAACTTAAGTGTCGTGCTGAAAACAACACCTATCTGCAATAAAAAAATGGAAAAGTTTAAATTTTCGATGTGTAACAACAAATATTAAGGAATTAATTGCTGGTAATCATAAAAATTAAAAAAAAATCAGTATTCAGATTTTCTAATTTCCAAAGAGGTAAATGAGGAGAGATTTCAATTTTTGTGTATAAATGTGTTACTACTTTTAAAATGATTTTTAGCAACTACCACCAAACTTCACATTCCTGTACTTGTACGTTTTAAAAAAGAAATATAATTCTCACATTTTTATTTTTGAAAAAGCTGGTTTTAGGGTTTTAATGAATAAGTTTTCTATTAGTAAATTATCTTACTAACCTTAATAAGTATTTCTTACCAGAAAAAAAAATGTCACCATGTACAATAAATATTCTAAAGTAACGTCTGTCATGGTTCTTAATCTACAACAGGGAAACCAAAAGAAACACATGCAATTGTTTTCACTTTTCGGGGGTAGGTATATTTATTTAAGTTAGAATTTTGTTCGATAAAATAACTTTTAAAAATGAATACTATGACACATTTTAAAATTGCTTACATACATTTAAGATTAAAGACAATCAAATTTGATACTTTTTATTAAAATATTGATATGTTTCCATAGGAATTTTTTGTTATTTGTTTATTTGAATATTACTATAACTTTGGTAATTATAATTAAATAATATACTATTCAAAACTTGTATGTATTTTACTATTATCACAGAATTCTATGTTATTATGTTCGTGCTTCATTTGTTAAATGTTAATAATATTGGCTGGTTACTTCATCTCTCCATTATCTAGATTCATCTCAAAAATAAATACTCTAGTCTAATAATTGCCCATAATTATTATGGTAATCTTTAATCTTCTTTTTTTGGAGGTTCCATTTGTTTAAATTTTCTATATTCATCATGGCTTATATTTAATAGTTAAGTATCTCGCACAACATAAAGTGTATAAATAAGTAGTAGTTCTTAAATATTAACTAAAAGAAAAGTTGTTAAGCCCCTAGAGATTTTTATAAACTGAATGTTAAAAAAAAAATTAAATTATCATTTTTTTGCAATACAATTTTATATTTTATTATTTGAAAATTGCATAAGCATAATAAGTTTACATTTATTAACACTTAATAAATAGTTATGGGTAATATATAATATACTATGTATTTTGATTTTAATACACTAATTTTTTATCTTTTCAATACTATTGTGTACCTAAATGTAATATTTTTCTAATTGATTCAGGACCATTCCAATAACCTTTGAGCATAACATTCCAGTAAATAATTGGCAAAATATCTTTTTTCAATCTAAACATACTTTTTAATTCATTTCCTTGATCAAATGGAAAAGTTTCCAATGGGTTAAGTTGGTAATCAAATTCTGCCAAAATGCATTTGTTATAACCAGTAACTAGTGGACATGACGTGTATCCATCATATTTTTTAAGTAAGGGTTTACCATTTATAGAATTTATTATATTATGAAAAATTACATTACTTTGGGCAGCCACAGCCGCTACTGTTTTAGATGTTGGACAGCTTGTACAATCACCAATACCAAATATGTTTTTATATTCCTTGTGGCATAAAGTAAATTGGTCAACATCTAAAAACCCAATGCTGTTACTGAGTTTAGACTTCTTTAAAACTTCCGGAGGACTCATTGGTGGTGTAACATGGAGCATTGAGAATTCCATGGTAATTGTTTTGTTTGGTTCATCAAGCAATTCAAAAGTAGTCTCGTTTTTTGATGAATTGATATTGATCAAATTTTGTCGCAAATTAACTGTAATATTTCTTCTTCTACACAATTGCTCTAGTCGGTTGGCATATTTTTTAACACCGAAAATTGCAGGTGTTGATGTATTATACATTATATTTGCTTTATCTCTTAAACCTTTTTTTCTAAGAAAATCTTCAAAAATGTAAACAATTTTTTGAGGGGCCCCAGGGCACTTAACTGGTGAATTAGGTAGTGTAAAAATTGCATTCCCACCTTTAAAATTTTGCATAACCTTGTACGTTTTTTCAACAAAATCAGATGAATAGTTAGTGCATACACTACTATATTGATCATCGAGTGCTTCTTTTAATCCTGTTATTTTATCGTAATCTAAATGTAATCCAATTGCCACCAACATATAATCATAATTTATTGTATCTCCATTTGTTGTTGTAACACTATTGCCTTCAGGATTAAAGGCATTTACTTTATCTTTTATCCATGTTGTACTCTTTGGAAGTACAGTTTTAGTTGGTCGACGAGCTTGTGATAGTGTCTTCATACCTCCACCTATTAATGTGAACAATGGTTGATAGTAATGCATTTCATTTGGTTCTAGTACGATTACATTTTGACCATTTTTGGCAAATTTGGATGCCATTGAACATCCTCCTGAACCGCCTCCAACTATTAGTATTTGGCAGTTTCGATGAATATATCGAGAAATAAAATAATTTGAAAACATTTTGCAATATGTTGCTATAAATTAAAATATCATAGGTACTTAAATTAATAATATAGAACTGAAGGGTGATATTACTTCCCAACTAACAGATATTACCTTATTACTATTACGACAACAATAAGATTTTAAGAGACTTATCTAATCTTATGTGTAAAAGTAATTATCCAACAAGTGGTTTATTCGCTATTCTATTTTCATTTACATCTGATAAGACCAATTATAAATAGATGATTCACTTTAATGATACTGATTCACAATAACTATTGTGTAATAGGTATGTTATCTATATTTGATTACTTATTATAGGCAAGCTGTCATAGGTTCCTAAGCCATCCTATTGTATATTTTTTCTTATCAAAAACCAGGTTCAACCACAATGTCGTATTTAAATATTGTGATAAAACAATTTTGATTTTTGTAATGACGTGAAAAATTTATAAGTTATAATGAATAAAACAAATTATTATAAATTGTAGTATTTACTTACTATATCACATAAGGCTTACTATCATTTTAAGGCTTATGTTAAAACACTTATTGTTTTTTTTTACTTAGCAACCATTTACACTAAGTTAACAAATTGTTTTTGTAGGGATATCAGTAGTTTATTTATTAATGAGTATAACATATTATTATGTAAATGTAAAATGTACTTGAAATACACAAAAATCACCAGCAAGCGTCGCAGCTATAATATAGTTTCACACACCGCACGTGTAAACATGTCAGCCAAAAAATTGTTTTGTTAACTGTTATAATATGGGCTTCACAGGTTTCAACTACTATTAGTTTCCAAAACTGAACAAAAAGTTATTATTTTTGAATGTCATTCATAGTTGACTGTTTATGGTTTTGTTTTTAACATAACTTAGTAAAAACGCTAACAAATTCTTATATTTTTACAGAATTGAAATTGGATCAGCTAAGTCTTACAATTATGTCTCATAAAAATAATTTTTTACCACCAAAAAAGAAAAAGGCTTTTATACATAGAAAAAATAAATAAATATAAGAACATTACAATCTCTTAATTTATATATTTTATTGATGTCATAAAAAAAATGTTTTTACTTACATTAAACAAAATCTAATTTACTTATACATTCAATTAACATAAAGTTACTTTTTAAAATAATAATAAAATCACTTTGTTTTGAAAAAAGCAGGAAAGATAAGGTGTTTTTATTAGAAGCTTACTTGGTGTATGTAAAATTAAAAAAAAACAATTTATTGAAGATTTTAATACTCAAGACAATGTTAAATATAAATAAATAGAAATAATATTCAATTATCCTGGAAGTTTCAGTAAAACAACCATTAAAATTGCACATCTAAATTAATATCCAATTATTTTAATAATAAAAACTCGTTCTAATAACTCACTGCATAAATATAACTCATTTTGATTTTTATTTGAAATTACGAATATTTTATAATTTCCATAAAAAAATTGTAATTTGAAATAAATAATTTTGTGAGAAAGAGAGTAAACCGAGACTGAGGCCTTATAATGCATTTTTTTAATGAAATAAAACAAAACCACAGAGAAAGCTAAATAAATAAAACTAATTGATTTATTTCTAAGCTTTTTTTTTACAAAAAAAAAAACCATTTTATGAAAATTAAATTATCTAATTAATAATTTGTTAATTATTTAAATAATAAATGTATAATATTAACATAAAAAAAGTATAACACAAAAACACACATAATTAATTTCATAAGTACTCAATGCAAAATAAAAACTTAATTTGTATACTAATTATTAATTAAAAATTATTAAAGTTACGTAATGAAAAAACATACACTTTAATATTTATTTTAAATATAAAGGGAAGTACAAATGTAGTTTACGGAATGTAAAATCAAAATGTATAGATATATGATGGAATTTTTTTTAATTGTAATTAAATTCTTAATATTTAAATTACATAAACCGAAAAAACGTAAAATGGATGGTCATAAGTCATAACTCATTAATAACAACTACACGCTATTTGTGAATAGCAAATTTGTTGGCTAGTTTTAAGCTAACTACATGTAATAAAACTTATTAAATCAGACTATTGGTTGTGAGAGCAAAATTGTTAGGAAAGGATAAGAAAAGTTACAAACCCTCTAGGAACATAAAAACTATTAAAAAGGTTTTGGCATGTTTCTCCTTAAAAACTAAATTTCAGAATATTCATTACATCGACTAGAAAATTTAAGTCTTCAGAAGAAGGTCAGTGGGCGGACTATAATGGCAACTTCTAAGTCAATTAAAAGCAACATAACCAAATCAAATAAAAACATTAATACCAGTAAATGTTATATAAAATTAAATTATATTTTGATTAATTAAAAGGAAAAAAAATTAATGGCAATAAAATTAATAATGGCACTTAAAAATGTCTGTGTTTTTTACCAAGAAATAAACCTTCATGGAAGTCGTCTGAACTTAATTCGTTTCTATCAATATGCAATGTTGAAAAAAGCTCTCCATCTGTCAAAGACTTAGGAAATGTAAATATATTCCTAGTTTTGTCAACCATATTAGCCGAAGAACACATCCTATCTGCACTGAAGAGAGTTTGATAGGAATGTGCTTTATTAGTATGAACAACATTGCATTCTCGGCATGATGTTAGATTGTCAGCCGATGTGCCTTTGTACAATGGTTTTAAAAAGTATTTTGGGACAGTTAGGCTAGCTGATCTTGACTGACGACCTGATATAGGAGATTTTGATTCTGGTGTGCGATTTATGGAAACACCGGATATAAATAAAGTAGGTGATTTTGGTATACCTGTGTCAGATTCAAAATCAGCAGATACATCATTATCAGCACTGTCTTCAGAATGGCTACTGAACTTTTCAATTTTTATGCTGAGGTTAGGCTTTGGAGGAACTTCAGCTTTACTGTAAGATTCTTTTTCCAAGGTTTCATCAGGTTGGTCCACAGCAGCAGTCTTTCCGATCTTACTTAAATGTTTAAATGATGTACTGCGAAAATTCTTGGGGTTATGACATGCAATCTGAGCTAAAACACTACACAGCTGAAATAAAATCAAATAACATTAATATACACTAAAAGGAAATAAAAAATAAGCATTGCATACTTACTTCTTTATCAGAACTTATGGGTGCAGCAATATTGCTGTCATCCAAAGACGTAACACTTTGGAATTTACCATTACAATCAATTTCCATGAAAATAGAAGTTTTTTTTTTAGGTAACACTTGGAAATCATACTTAAGTCTAACATTATCCTTAGTAATCTGATCATGTCCGTCATCACTGCTTAAATGGTACACATTTACACAATACCTAAATACAATTATTCAATTAGATTATCTAAATTGTACAAGAAATAGTTATATTTTTACCTTCGATTATTCTTATATAAATCTCTGCGAGAAATTAAATCACCAAATGATAATGAACGCCTAAGACTTGTGCTTTCCAAACGATTATAAATGCCTCGACTAAAATCTAAATAGTAACTATTTTTATGTAAATCACCTACTTTGAATACACCGTCATCAAGTTTTATACCACTGCACCTGAAATTAAAAGTAATTAATAAACCAAAAATTCTTGTAAATAACACATTTTTTTTAAAAATAACCATACTTTGGTATAAGTCTAGGAATATTTTTTAAATCATTGGCAGTTTCTCGGGAGGTTTTTGATGATACGGTTACAGTTTCACTTTCAGATTTAGACAAATCTTTGGTTTTAGCCAATGAAATTTCATCTAATGACATTTGTAATGCCATTTGTATCTGTTGATCGTCATCTATGGAATCTTCTAAAACATCTGTACAAAAAAAAGTAAGTTCCGTGAACATTTTGTTACATTTTATTTATCCAAAATAATATATATTTTGTAATTACCAGGATCTTTGCTACAACTAGCATTATCTTCAATTTTGCTTCTACAAAGTAACATTTTTTTTTAAATATTCAATTTTTATTAGGTAAAATAATATTGATTATATTACTTTTTTCTTTGCTGAGCATCTTTTATCATTTGCAGCCTTGACATTTCTAATGCCACAATGAGATCCATTGCAAATGTACCCACAATACTCGTACGTTTTTCTTTTTTTTCTAAAATATTAGCATGTAGAAAAAATTATGTAGGATAAATATGGTATTTAACATCATTAATAATATTATCAAGTATTAATTGACAGGGATTTTAAACAAAACAATTTTTTTGTTCGAGAACATGAAAATAAGTTTTTTTTAAATGATTTCAGAATGGAATTTAGTATTTACCAGGTTTATTGTTCTGAGTTTGAATACCAAATAAAATCTGTTACCAGTATCACATTTATTAGTGTAAGCTTCAATATGCCTAGACCGCAATGTGTTAGATTTATTTTCATAATAAAAATTATTTTTTCCAAAAAAATAAAATATTTGTACTTGTTAAAACTAACAAGTTACTTAGAAAAAAACAGAATCCAAAAATGTTATTTTGCCTAGGAAATACTAAAATGGGACTATAATCTAGGGACACTGTGTATAATATATTACAATTTATCAATTATTGATAATCAATAGAAGATTAAATGGAATTAAAATTTTTAAATCAAGTTACGTTCAAGCACATAAAAGTAGAACAATAAAATTTTTAAAGTTCCAGAACAGAACACAAATTGTTTAGTTTTGAACCACCATCAATTAATAAATTTAATTTCAATATACCTTCTTCTAAAAGAGTTTTATGACTATTTTTGCACCTAAGACTACAATATTCATGAAATTTAGAAGTCCGAGGATTTCGTACTCTAGCTTTATTGCATTGTTCCATTTTGCATTGTCCAAAAACACTTACAGCCAAAGCTCTATCTAGTTCTGTCTCCTTTTAAAATTGTAAATAATATGTAGTCAACCAGTTATAAGTATAACATCAAATATTAATTATTCATTCCAACTTTACCTCTTCTTCGTCAGAACAACTCTCAGGCCAATCCAATATAGCCGTAAGATTACGATGACGTCCATTGGAATCAACGATCCATGGGTTATCTGGATCAATTTGAATGGAATCTCCTATAGCTTTTTTCATTAAATCCTAGAAAAAGAAAGTTATTATTTATTTATGTTTGATCATTACTAAATAATAAATGATCGTACCATAGCGCTAGAAGTTGAATGTTTTTGTTGCAATAGACTAGATTTATTTTTAGTATTGGTAATATTTTGTGGTGCTGATTGCATGCTTTCTAAGGATATTGATCCATCTGATATGGCATTGATAAATTCATGACGTTTCCGCCTCAGAACACTTGTTGTATTAATAATGGCACTTCGTGGGTTACATATGTACTGCCTTAAAACCATTCCAGCTAACTTTTCAGTAACTTCTTCAACTTCATTCTAAAAATGTTTTAAAATAGTTAATGTAATTGAGTTTGAAAATTCAGTATACAATTATTTTACCTGCATAAATTCTAAAATATTTCTATTATATGCACTGCTCTGCATATAAAAACCATACACATAGGAAGCACATAAAACTCGTTTTGATTTTTGCACTTCAACTACTGCGTCTTCTACAAATTTTGTACGCTCATCATCTATTAACAGTAAATTAAGTGGTTTAAATTTTAAAACAAAAAGTATTATATATATATACATACGTCATACAACTTACCATCGGGTATATTTAAAGCGTTTGCAAGAGCAGTTCTCCATTTTTTCACTATTTTCACATAACACTCTTCCATCTGTCGAGTTACTTCATGTTTTTTAAATTTTGTGTAGTAGTGAAGGAATTTGCTTAATTCTAAACTTTGTTTATTCTTATGTTGTGCCTATAATATCATAAAATAAATGTGTATTTAGTATAGCAGTAAACAGTAAATAATTATTTAATCTTGTTTCAATTGTATTGTCATTTTATTTTCAGTTTTGATTTTTAATAAATAATTACATATTTGCTTACAATTAAATAGGAAAATATACAGTTAATTAAGTTATTATAGTTTACTGACTTCTTTTAAAAGGAGTCCTCTTTTTTCATCTGCTTTACAAACAGCAGAGGCACGGTTACAACGAAAAAACCCTCCAGTGGCTGACCCATGTTTCTTCCAGCTTTCTTGACACACCCAGCAAAATTCAAATTTACACTAAGAATAAATTTATAGTTAAAAATTTTTAACTATAAAAAGAGTTGGAATGCAAATAATCAATTTACTTTTGAACATCTCATATGATTACAGCCTTCGTTTTTTTGGATAGGCGAGTGACAATTTGGACAAGGCTTCGAGTTTGTCACAAGCCACAAACTATTAGCAGCCTCTTCATACTCCACTGTTGTTTCCCGAATTTTATCTGGCTTAACTTCAGAAATTTTAGTCATCCACTGAGACCACTGTTGGCAGCTACATGGTGTATGTGCATCACCCATGCATTCCCTGTAAATTAAATACATTAACGTGCAAGTACTTAATAAAAAAATATTAAAGTATAACATTATTTTACCAGCAAAAATAATGGCCTCGACCACAGTCTACAGAATGAGCTATTTTCAAATTATTTTTTGTTTTTTTTGTATTTATCGGAAGCCGTACAGCAAGCCCACAGTTTGGAACAGGACACCACTTAATAGACCGATTACTTTCAACAAATGCCTTAAATAAAAATCTTATTTAAATCTTATTCAAATAATTATAATAGTATTACAAATATTAATTTGGAGTCTCACTTCAATATTAAGATCAAAGTATCTTCTGGCCATTTCAGGGCTAACAATGTTTTCAATTAATTCAGTTGGAACAAGGATATGGCAGTGTAATGCTGGGCAAAAAATATTACTAGAATCTTTTCTTTTGATTTTATACGTTAAATATTGTTTCCAACATGAATTACAAAATTTATGATCACAACACAGTTTTATTGGACAGTCGGAAAATGGCAGTTCATTCAAGCAAATATCACACTAAAATACCATAAAATAAAATATAAATTAATATTATGAAGTAAACATAATTGATAAACAAAATATTTTTAAGTCACATTATTTGTAATATCATTCATTTTATAAAAACTTTATATTAATATTTATCCTAAACCTAAAAGATTAACTATTTATCAACTAAAACGTCAACATCAACTTATCATCAACATCAACTTCAACTTCAACCTTAACATCAACTTATCATCAACATCAACTTCAGCTTCAACATCAACTTCAACTTTAACTTCAAATAAATATTTGCAACAGCGGAGGTCCTTATAGATAAGCAATACTAATTTTTTTTCTGATTAAATTGATGTTAGACTTACTATAATTTCATCATTAACACTACGTTGAGCTTCTTCCAGAGTTGTTTGTGTTTGTTGTATACCGTTGAAGTAAATTTTTTTGGATGATTGCACGGATATAGGCACTTGAACTCCAGCAATTTGACAACACTTATCTGGGTCACGTACCCATCGCTCCAGTAAAATTTCTCTAGACCATTCTATAAGCCATTTTAGTATAATAAGTTGGTTTCAACTTTAAATAATAAAAAATGACATAATTTTTTTGGAATTTACCATTATTTTTAAGAAGAGCTTCAGCAGTAAACAAAGGCAAGTTTAACATGTCAGCCGTTTCAACTAGCAACTGATCCTTAGCTTCTTGTAAATCTTGGGTACGTAGGCCAGCATAAGTATCTTCTTCTCCAAAATCATATTCATCCACAACGGTTAAAACATCTTTTAAATCTTCACCCTATGTAACATTATTGAATATTATAATTAAAAATACTAATAAGAAGTTACCACACATTCATCTAAGGGGACAGTAACATGAAAGCGAACAATTTTTAAAGAGTTCTATATAAGCAATAAAAGAAAAAAGGAGGATTTAATAAGTGTTAACGTTAACTTGTATAAGCTTTTAAAGTATTATTTGTAAAGTACACAATTTTTTTTGAGTTATAGCCATTTTGATGATAGTGCGTATGCTATGATAAAATTGTGACTTTAGCACAGGTTTGAGCTATATAGGTCCAATTTCAATTTTATAAAAAGATAAGAATTCATTGACCTTATTACTAAGATATGTTGGAAACAGATTTATATAAAAAATCTCAGTTTATTATTTATTCTTGTAAATTACCAATACACAATTTCATGTGATTTCAATAACACACCAAAAAAGCAAAAATTAAAAATTGTTTCCAACATTACCTAATAAAGTAGCTAAAGAACTCGAATCTTTTTACAGAATTAAAATTAATCCAGGTAGTCATCATTTTGTTAAGATTTTGGTCTAAAAAAGTGAAAAACAGACTGCTTTCATTTCCCCCTTAAAGAGTTTGAAAAAAAAATAGTAAATCAACAGCTGTAATTTATTTGGGACTTAAGGCAACTTATATTAAATTCATAATATGGTTGTTACAATACATCAATATTACGGTCATAACAAATAATTCTAAAAAAAGAAATATGATTATCAGATATTGAATTTTAAACTAATAAAAAATAACAAAGTCCATATAATTAATTTTACTTACAAAAACCATTCGTGATTCTAATTTACGAGCTAAAGTTTCATGCCCATTATTTACAGCCAAATCACAAGCGGTAAGGTTTTGTTTGTTAGTTTTAAAAATGGGAGCTCCGCCATGTGCAAGCATTAAATCAACACAATATTGTAAACCCGAAGACGTGGCAAGATGAAGAGCAGTGTTTCCATCCTAAATTAAAAATATATAATGGTGTATTACATATTTATTTTTGTAACAGTAACATAGCTTTTATGGGTGTAGGGGGGCCAGCTGCCCCTTGGCGTATTCTAATTTAGGGTGTTTTTGGACGGTATACTATACACATTGACATGTGTATAGTATAAGTGTATATGTGTATATGTATAATAAATATTTTGCCGCTTTAGTCTCTAGTTGCGCCACTGTTTTGTAACTTAGAACTTTAAATAATTGAATGTTTTTAGTATAAAACTAACATTATTTTGAGCGCACAGTTGTATTTTTTCTCTGCGTCCATCCGCTATTTCAGCTCCCTGCCAGTTTAATAATAATGTAACGCAAGCAGCACGGCGTTCATGTGCTGAATATGAACTTTGGGGTGAAAGATAACAGACTGCATGAAGTGCAGTTTCGTTAGAATTATTTTTTTTATTTGGATTTCCGTTATGTTCATTTAAAAAAGCTCTGTAACATGAAATTAGTATAGTTTTAATTAGTTGTTATTTTACTATTAACATATAAAAAACGATAAAACTATTACCTTAATAGATGTTTCATTCCATGTTTAGCAGCATAGTGTAAGAGAGTATTATTGTTATGATTTTCACCACAGCTCAAATTAGGATCTAAATTCTTCAACTCGAGGGAATTTGAATACATCTAAAAATGTAGTATTATTGTTGTAATGATTAAGTTCTAAAATGGACATTGATTAATTTTTTAATTGTAATACCCGCATTGCAGCATACTCATCTCCTCGCTGCAGATGTTTTTTAAATTTGGTAGATGAACCACCCATAATGTTCCTTGTATGGTTTGTAACATTTCTAAGTTTCCATAAATACCCATAAAGTTGCTTGTACAAATATTGTATGTTGTGTGTACTCCATTGTGGGTTTGTTTCAATACCAATACTAACGTTTAAATAAAAACAAAAATATAGTAATTGCATTGTTCATACAATATAATTGTACGTTTCTTTGTTAAACATATAATAAACATAACTAAATAAAATTGACTTAGTTATCACTTGGATAACAATTAAATTTAAAAAAACATAATAATGCCAATAAAAAAAAAAAGAGTAGATAACTACAGCATTTATTGAAATAATTAATATAACTTTAAGTTTTTAAAATAATCATCTTTATTAGAGATAAAAGACTTAGGTAACTTATTATCTATTTAAAATAATAATAAACATTAAAGCTTGGTAGCATCACTACAGTATGCTAATTTTGTTATGTAATACAGAAATACAAATTGTAACACAAATTAAGGTATGGCATATACAATTTACAAGATATTGTTTTAATATACTCTAATAAATTTAATAATGTTTTATTATAGTATGTATATATATTTAATGTTGGTATATTTGTAATAATAAAAATGTGTATATTTAGTAAATTTATTGTCCTAGTTTTAATAATAAGGTTAAAATAGTAAGGCCAATAAGATATTTCATACACATTTTAAATAATATCATTGAATAAATAAAAATAGTATAATAGAAAACATTTAAAAAAAAGCATAAAAAATACATTGAAAGAAATAATCTATTAAATAAATGAAGCGTGTAAAAGGAAAGTATTTGTGCCATATAAAAAAATGAAAAAAATGGTTGACATTGCATTTTATAAAACGTTTAGGAGGTATAACAATGTAGTGTATTTTGTGGTTACGTGGTTTCATAAACACATTGCAATAGTTTTACTTGATTAATAATATATTATTAAACAATTTTCTTTTATTCTGTAAATAAAATTATATTAAATTAAATTGATAATATTTTCTTAATTGCCACTTAAAGAAGTTATCATCACTAAAAAAAAATTAAAAATACATAATGAATATACAAAAGGTAAGTAAACACATAATTTGTAGTTGGTTTTCTTCTACAATTTAATAGTCTCATATCATAGTTTATAACACATATCATGAAAATTACATATGGGACAAAAATAAGATGGCAGAAGCTCTCATTACACTCATTACATTTTGAGTGTATAGCACTGTATAAATATTATAAATAGTTTGTCAGTTGAAAATCTTATTGTTTAGGGTTTCCGATAGTGACAGTTTTCGTATAACATGTAAGTTTAATATTTATAGTTGGGTTAATGAAAAATGTAGGATGGCTTATACTGATGTTAACAGTGGTGTACATTAAACTTTCTAATAGAAAAGGGGGATTTAGGGATTCAAATAACACATTAATATATTAATGTTATTTTAATGGCGTTGTTATACTTTATTATGGCTATAGGCAATTTTAATACAGTTTTTTTTTTTGGTCCTGGGGGATTAATCCCGAACCCCCTCCCTATATGTACACCACTGGATCTTAAGCAATGCTGGGGGTCAAGTCAAAACATTTTTGTTGATCCATCTAAGGTGTAAATACTTACAACTTTAAAAATGTAGGTTGCCAAATATTTTACTAATATAATAATATTATTTGTTAAAGATTTGTGTTTGTGTGATAACATTAACGACTTATTGCTTTGGGGATAACGAAGAACCAGACATAAATCAACCAACCAATGAAGATAATGTAGAAGATGAGCAAATATATAGCAACCACAAGTATATTGACGACGATTTAATAGGATCCATACAAAAATGTAATAATATAAGTATTTACAATTTTATAATAATTAATATATTTCTTATAATCGTTGAGCTATAATATTTTAAACAAAAAAAAAATTAATATATTTACTATTAACAGTTATATTTTTTTTAGGTTTAAGTAAAATTAAATTAAAATTTGTAAAATGGTTTATTTTATTTTTAGATGAGCCAGGAAGAGTTCAAATTAAAGTCTACAGAGGACCAGATATGATTGAGAATGGCGAATCGTACGCCCCGCATGGCTATTGGGTTAAGCAACCATCAGAGGATTATTAACGACCATTATTTTTTATTTATTTTATAATTATAATTGTTATACTATACATTTCTAGAGCTTACTTAATATAAAATGATGATTTGTAGTTGAGTTATGATCGCTTATGCAACATAAAGTTTAATGTGTACCACATACTTTTGAAAGTTAATTATTAAATAATAGTTACTAAACAAAATTTCACAATTGATATTTTACATTTTCACTTGTTTTATGGCACTTCTACTAAAAATTCCCGTCTTGAGCGTATTAATCTCCCTATATATAATAACTATTATAAAATATAAATACAAAGACAAAACTTATCAAAACAAATGTAACAGAATGTTGCGCCCGCGCGAAAATCAACATGGAATAATAAACAAACCTAATAGATAATATAATTGGAATTTATGATAACTGATTTATCATATTTTAAAAATCGTAAAAACTAAAAAGTGAAAACTAGTTTTCATGTAATAGATACATTTTAAATTGGAAATTGTAATTTTATTTGTTATCAAACATCATTTGTATCAAAATTAAAATGTAAATGTCTTCACTTATTATATTACCGTTATTAAATATTATAAAATAAAAACAAAGAGTATATTTGTTTTTTTATTATACTCGAAAGATTATTTGCACATCGCTTATTAATTGTTATGGCTTTGTGTGTGGCTGTTGTTAGCAAAGAGGTGAGTAAATGTTTAGGGCGGTTACACGCGAAGCCACTTAAGAGCGCTTCTGTGAAGCATTGCTAATCAAAAGAGTCAGACAGATAAAAATTGTTTTACATAGACCACACTTGCATATTGGTATCACTAACAGCCAGTTAAGGTGGTAGAATGTGACATCTAAAAGTGACTTCGTGTGTAACAGCCCTTAAATGTTTTTAATGAAGCATTGAAGTAAGGTTAACTGTGCTTTAGAATGCTCCTAAATATGTGGCTTCATTACATCCTGAAGATGAACTACAAATACAGTATGAAATACATTCATCAATAGACTTTGTTGAAGAAAAGTTAAAAACTGGTAAAAAAGATATGCGAGAGTTGTACTTAGGATTGTTGTATTCTACTGAAGACCACAAAATGTATCCTTTTTCAAACAAATTGTGCTAAAATTTTTATGACATAATAAAAAATATCAATTTATTTTAAAATAATTTTCCTGAAATATTAAATAGATATGGATATGTAACAAACACAAAAGTGAAATTTTTTGTTGTTATAGATGCTAGTAACTTGACACTAAGAGATAATGAAATTCGATTTGTAAGTAAATTTAAATTTATTATTTCAATAGTTTTTATGTTAATTACTTTAAAATTTTTTTAAAACTTCTGCTTAATGTTTAGTATTTTAAAATATTTTAGTAAATAAGTACTTAATTTTACTATTTTAAAAATCAAATTTTAACCATCAATGAAATGCATGATTTATATTTTATTGCCTTGGTCCCTATTAGTTGTATAACATTTGATAGTAAAGACTTAAGAAAGAAATATTAAAACATAAAGAAACATGATTTGTCAGTTATTACATACCAATACTTGGAAATTGAAGGGGTGTGAGGGCCATAGCCTCTCAAGTCATAATTTAAAAAAAGAAAGCTGAGGCTTTAGCCACCCACCATACTGTCGCATCGTTTTCTGGGCGAGCAATCGTCCGGTGAAAAGGAACTGCCACCCCTCTCCGGCGACGGATTGACGACCCGTCCCAGAAGCTAATTCGTCAAGAAACCATCTCATGATGGGAGCGTTGGGTCTTCATGGCCCGTTAAGCTACATGATTATGATACATAATATGTACTTATAATATATCTTATATTATATATAGGTGTGCATAGATTTATGTAAATGTGTATTAAAAATAGGGAAAAACCTTGTTATGAGATACAATAATAAATTTCAAGATAATTAGATCAAAATGTCTCACAATGTCTTGATTGAAAATTCTAAATATTTGCTAAACTTGGTTATTATTAACCAACCAATTAATAAAACCTAAGTTCACATTTTACTGGTTACGACTATTTCTCTCTATGAAGTGTTGTTAATATTTATATTAACTTGTAGTAAATTATTGATTTGATTTCAGATGTTTAGGAAATTGCATACTGCGTATACAGATCTAATGTGTAACCCTTTTTACATACCTGGAGAATATATTACCTCTGAGTAAGAATATTGTTGAATATTTAACATATAAAATATTTAGCTCAAAAATATGTTTGTATTAACTTTTAATATTATAATTTTTGTTTATAGGAATTTTGATAAGATTGCTAGAGGCATATTAATTGGTAAATCATAGTTAAGAAAATATTAAAGGTATAGTTTATTTGTAAGTATTAGATATGGAATTGTGAACAAATATTATTTTTATTTTATAATTAAAAAATTGTTTAAATGTTTTGCAGAAAATTACTTTTAAATGGTGTAAAATATATAAACTGTGATTAAACATTTTGTTACGAAAATAAATTATTTTGTTTTAAAGTTCTAGAATGTTTTTTATTTTCTAATTAGACTGTATTCATATGTATTTTAAAGGTTTCTAATCCTTAAACCTATCTTGAAAAACATATTTTCTAAATAACGGGCCAAGTTAAAAATTTAATTAGGTAAGTACTTAATGCACTAAAAGTAGAATATATTATTATTGACATACCTACTATTTATTTGTATGCCTGCAGGTTTGTTTGTTTGTTTATACACTATACGTTTGTGTATTAACATGTTAATTTTGGAGGTTTAATGTAGTTGAGTATTATTATATTACAATATAAATTTAGTGTTTACGTCGTCGCTCTAGAATCATTTTTAGGCGAATTAACTACTTGCAGCTGCTACCCCTGAATCCCCTTAAATGCGTATCTAATAAATAGACAATTTATCTATGAGCAACTATAATATCAAAATTGATTATTCTTATTTATAATAAATATTTAAGAAATTGGGTATTGGGTAATTTTTCGTGAAGTATCAACCAGGTATTCTGTTTATCAGCCATCAAATAATTATTGTTATCAAATTAATCGTTTGTGATAACAAGACTGCAATTTTCATGTTATCTTTTAACAATTCATAACTGTGTAAAGACCATGATTAAAGATATCTTTCATTGTGGTAAAGACTATAATATAATATATAAATAACTAATATTTAGCTTACTTTAAAAATTAAAATAATGGCATATTATTATAATTCATACTTTAAATAATATGTACAAATCGATTGTACATAGGTAGTATTTATAAATGAATGATAACTTAATATTTTAAACTGATATTTATTATTATGTAATGAGTAAAATAAAAAACGTATTTTACTTTAATGAAAGACGAAAGTGTAAATAAGGTAATAAGTTAGTGTCCATTCAATGTTGGATGTTGGAAAAAAATTTAATATCATAATAATTAAAAATAGAAAAACGCAAAATGGACAAAGTCGATAGCAGATCTACTGTAGATTTAGATGAACCAGATAAGCTGCCTCGCGATCTTAGTATATCTTATTGGGATCTGTTTGCATTAATTCTTGCAATAGTTAGTCATATTGTTGATGTTTGCATTGATTTCAATGTAGCCTATCAGTATTATAAATATGAGAAAAATGTGTATTTTGTATTAACAATTGTTTTCATGGCTGTTCCATCTATCATTAATACATATATGAGTTTAAAAATGTATGTTATTACCTAACCATATTAAAAAAAAAAACATTTGAGGTAAAATGATTATTATTTATTTATTTGCAGTTATTCTTTACAAGAAGATATGCAAGAAGTTACTAGAAAATTCTTAAGAAATCCGGCATTACTTCTTATAATGCTTTTACTACAAATGGCACCAGTATTTCGGTATGCATTTAATTTTACTATTTATAATTCTATGTTTAATTTAGAACTTTTTCTAAACTTAAACATATTTTACATAGTGGTATTTACAATTGTTTTCTGTTGTGTTTTTACTTTTTGTTTGTGATTTATATTTTTAGTTAGCATAAAGTATATATTACTTAGATTTTAATTTTGTACTAGGTTAACCTTAGGAGGGTTAAACGTGGATGTAGAGTTAAGAAATTGAAGTATTTGGGACTATTAGGCAAGAAAATAAAGGGGTTGTAGAAGATATGATGAATAAATAAAGTGTGATATTATGAGGTAGAAAATTATAGTAGGTGAACACAAAGTATTGTTTAGGATTAAGAAACTTTGAACTTAAACTACTTTTAAGTATAGCACTTGAATATTTAAGTCTCAATCAAGCATATACCTTCCGGTTGATATTAGAAATTGAAATTGGTGCTCATAGGGTCTAATATGTAAATTATGCTACTACTTAATGCATTTGTATTGGAAATATATAAAGTATGTTTGATTTTGTATTTAGTTAGTTGAATGTGTTTAGATATTATGATGTCTTGAAGTATGCAATAAAGTCTCGTAAAGCAGCTCAAAACGGAAATTATGAAAACCAAAGAAAGTATTATGCTCTTATGGCTAAAGAAGATTCATACGTGTCTTTACTACGACTCTTTGAATGTTTTCTTGAAGCAGTTCCTCAGCAAATATTACAAATATGTATTGTACTAGTAGAAAAAAATCATGGTTCCACTTTTCAAAGTAATAATAAGTGTTTACCTATTTTATATTAACATCAAAGCTGTTAACATTACGTACAACCAAGAGATTAAGCTTTTATGCTATGTAGTTTTAGTGGTCCTTCTTTAAGATCATAACTGACTATATCAGTTTAAAATTATCTTTTGCTTTTACATTTTAAAATAAGAAAATGTGTTATATACTCAAAGATAAAACCTGTCCATTAATAAATAATACAGAACTTTCTACTAGTACTTAATGTTCTATTTCCAAAATAAAAAACATAATTTATTTGATTCATGTCAAGCATATTTATCATGCCGATGAGTTTCAGATAAATCCATGTCCATAGTTTTTAGTAAGTTTTGGCTTAAAACTAAGGACATGGATAAATCTGAAACTCATTCACATGATAATACAATTCACGAAAGCTTTAACCAAGGGCGGATCCAGGGGGGGGGGCACTAGGGGCAAGTGCCATCCCCGTTAGCAAAAAATTATATTAAAAATATTAGTATCGAAATCTCTGAATTGACTATTGAGGACTAAACGGCTATTGAGGATGAAGCCGTTAAAGAACAAATCTGTTCTTCCCCTACTTACGCCTATGCTCAGCTATATTATATAATTTCTCCTATAAAGTGCCCCGACTGTAAATAGATGCTGGATCCGCCGTTCGCTTCAACACATTCATAAACATATTTATGTTATTTTCAAGCTACGTTATTAGGTGGATTTTTGTTATTTAAGGTGTTTAAGGATGGTGTTGCTTAAGGATGCAGATTCATTCATCATTGCTTCTGCTAAGTGGTGGATATACTAAGTGATATGTTTTTTTAATTTCATATACCTGAAAAACTTCACAAATTGTTTTATGATTTGTATTAGTTATATTTTATTTGCATGGCTTCTTTTTATCATAAGTAATAACCATTATCCTAATTAACATTTTTATTATTTTAACTAAATATTTTACTTTTACTCAATTTAATAAAATAATATATTAGTAGACTCAACATACTATAATTTTTGTCTATTGCAAATTAAAAGATTTTTTTTGTTGTCAAAATGTGTGTTAACTCTTTAAACAACTAAAATGTAAAAGTTGTTTTTTTTTATAATTTTTGGAACAAATTAGATATTTAGTCACGGGTGGTATCTCTCTGACCAGGCGGCTGTCTAAAGAGTACTACTATCCACCTCCAGGATGACCAAACTACACCTTTACAGCCTAATCCTGGTCAGAAATTCCGTATGAGAATAACAATAAAAATAATGATTTAAAACCAATATGTTGGTCTTGCACGGAAAATAGTATTTTTTTTTTATTATTACTTAATATTTATTTTATGTAAAACTGCCAATCAAGGGTCACTGCTGCCTGGGTGATTGCCTGTGCATCACTGATCACTGTATGTTTTGCTGTGTGCCACAAAACTTTTAAGACCAAACAAAATGTACTGTTTTTTGTAAGGCATATGAAAAATACTACTACTTTTCATATAATAGATATCAATATGTAGTTTAATTGTTTTAACAAATATATTTTTAGTTGATCATTTTAATTTATAATTGAAAGCCAATAAAAAAATTATAATATAAATCTTGCCTTGGGAAGTAGATTTTAAACAATTTTCAGTAATTTGTGTTGACGAGTTTATGGAAACCAAAAATTCATTTTATCTTCCAAAAGTGTTTTACACAAAAGTTGGAAATATTTGTCAAAGATAAAATTGTACATTTTATAAATATTTAATTTCTAGTTGTGCATCAAGCAGCATCAATTGGAAGTTCGACTATTGGAATCGCATGGGCAATGGCATCATATCATAAAAATGTCAGAATTGCCTATGAAGAGAGAAAGAATATTGGCAATATTGGTACTATACTGCAATTTTTATGGCATGTAACAATTACAGGCAAGTTGTTTTATAAAAAATACAATTGTTGCTTGCAATGTTACTTAAAAATGTAAATAGTTATAATTTAAAGTGTAGTATTTTTTTTATTAGTCCTTATTGAACAATATTATGGCTCAGAAGTTGAGTATATGAACTATTTAAAAAGTTTTTTTTCAATATTATTGATATGTATATAATTTTTTTTTTAGTTTCAAGAATTTTGTCAATTAGTCTAGCAGCTATAGTATGGCCTATTTCAACTGGCATTTCATGTTTTGTGCATTGGATTTCCATGACTTTATGGATTTTTATGTATCAAAATGTAACTTTCTGTATGCCGGCTAATAAATTAAAAGAGAGTGGTGCCATGCAATTTTTCTTCTCAACAATATTAGGATTAGTGTACATATTTACTTATTTATCACCTAGCGAAGGTCAGGGAAGATCTAGATACCGCTATTTAGGATATTATGGTATATTTTTATTTGAAAATACGTTTGCAGTTACTGCTTGGGCTATTACAGGCGTTGATCAGATGGAGTGGTACTATTATCCATTAATGATTGGATCAATTTTGCCATTTTTTATTGGTATTATTTTTATGACTGTATACTATAGGTGTTTTCATCCACACAATACGTTTAAAGATGACATATCAGATGTAAACGGGACAGCAAAATATCTTCAACAAATGAATGCAAATACTTAGAAAATGTATAAATAATTTTAAAGACTGATTTAAAAAATAATGAACAATTATTAAATGATAAACATTTATTATAGAATATTTTGTATAAAATAATTATAAACGATTGTTTTATGTACAATGTGAGTTGTATTGTATTTAACACATATTTACAAAGTAGTATTCTTAGTTGTTTTCAAAGCAGATTTGATGCATTATGTCAATTTATTCTTAGACTTCATTTAAGGTTGTGCTTCAGTTGGATTTTGAATGACAATCATTATAAAGTCTTTATCTGAAAAAATTAAGATATACAAATTAGTTTATGATGTGACAAATTAATCAAAACCGAACTGAACTGAAGACCTTAGTTTGGTTCAATTAGAAAATCAAATAATAATTAAAAAACTAACAAAACAAAAATTAATTGGTAGTTACAAATCAAATAATATGAAAAATATCAAAATTAGATTCAAGTGACGTTTAGTTAAACATAAGAATTAAAAGGATAGAAGGCTATCATGAATATATTCTGTTGTATAAAAAATATTTATATTATTGAGGTTGATGTAAGTTGCTAATGTCCTGATTAAGGAGGAGAAGTAAACATATAGAATTCTATGCTTAGCGAGGCAGAAAGTTGGCCGATTTCTAGAACTAAAGGTGGGAACAAAGATTAGACTAAGAAGAGAGCTGTTGTCAAATGCACCATTTACAATTTTATAATTGAAAATAACATCTAAATTGACTCTTAGAATGTAAGGAGTAAATACTAGTTAAAGCACTATTTGGATCATAATTATGATCAGTTACAACAGGAAAATCAGGTGTCTTAAGGGCTTAAATATCGCAATAATTTATTTTGAATATGCTTAATTTTAACTATTCAAACAGCCATTTTTCAGTAACGAACGGACTAAGGTGTAGTAAAATACTATTAGTAACTTAACGCAAGTAAAGTCCTTTGTATTCCTAATAAGAAACTCTAATGTTCGCAATGTTTTTACTAAAATTGCTATACAGGAAGTTTTATTATTTATCACTTATCACATACCTAATTTGTTCTAGCTAATATACAAGATGGTTGACACAAAGTTGAGTTACAAGATATCAATGAAGAAACTGATGAGTGCTCTTATGGTGCACCGCTACTAAGAAGTGAATTTAATGCCAGTCTTAGAGATTTGAAAAATAAAAAAGCCCCGGGAATAGATGAAATCCCCGGAGAACTACTACAAAACGCAAGTGAAAGCATAATAGACGCGATGTACTATATTATGAAAGATATATATGAAACAGGAGTAATACCGAAGGACTTTTGCAACAGCAGAATTTTAACATTACCAAAAAAGAATAAAGCTGACTCTTGTACAGATTTTAGAACTCTGAGCTTACTCCCCCACGCCTCAAAGATACTCATAAAAATTATATATCGAAGGATATTTAATAAAGCCAACCAATATCTTGGAAATGATCAGTATGGATTCAGAAAACAAAAGGAAACTAGAGAGGCAATATTAGGACTCAGGATCTTAATAGAAAAACAAATATCCCGAAATAAAATAACATGCTTATCATTTATAGATATCGAAAAAGCTTTTGACAACATTGATTGGCAAATTATGCTCTCAATAATGAAGGAATTAAATTTAGATTTTAAAGACAGGAGAATTATATATAACCTCTACAAAAATCAAAGCGCAGAAATTACAATAAATAATGAGTCAGCTAGTGCGAAAATACGTAGAGGTGTAAGACAAGGGTGCCCACTTTCACCATTATTATTCAACTGCAACATAGAAAAAAGTATAACGGAAGTTAAAGATAAACTTAACAGACTTGGGATTGGAATCAAAGTTGGTGGTATATTGATTCCAATGATCCGGTTTGCAGACGACATCGTATTATTAGCAGAAACAGAGCACGACCTTCAGAGAGCCCTGGCAGAAATGCAAATAATTATAAATAGGTATCAAATGCGTATAAATTCAGGTAAAACAAAAGTTTTGGTTTGTGTACGTGAACCCACAATTAATGCAAATATTTATTTAGAAAACCAACTTATTTCCCAAGTTTCTAGTTTTAAATACTTGGGAAGTTTAATAACATCAGACGGAAAAAGCTCGCAGGAAATTAAACAAAGAATCGGGCAAGCAAAGGCAGCTTTTATCAAGAAAAATAAAATTTTGGTTTCGAAAAAAATTAACAGAGAAATTAAGAAGACATTTTTAAAAACGTTTGTATGGAGTGTAGCTTTATATGGCTGCGAGACATGGGTCATTAATGAAAAGGAAAAAAGATCCCTTGAAGCATTCGAAATGTGGTGTTGGAGACGTATGGAGAAAATAAACTGGACAGAAAGAGTAACAAATGAAGATGTACTGACCCAAGTTGGAGAAACAAGATCCATAATTAAAGCCATAAAGCGACGACGATGGGACATGATGGGACACGTTTTACGCCATGACCAAGAATTGCATCATACTATAATAGAAGGTGCAATTGAAGGACGAAAACCACCAGGAAGACCAAGAAACTTGTACATATCTCAACTGAAAAATGACGCAGGGATTGATACTTACGCCGGATTAAAAAGACTTGCTGAAGATCGTGATAAATGGAGAGCGAAGTTAAAAACGTTGTAAACCAACCTAATATAGGTTGAAAAAAAAAAAAAAAAAATATACAAGATGGTTGACCAAAATAAAAAAAAATATTTATAATGCTTGAAAACAAAAATTGTCCAAAATATTATTGTAAATTGTACTAGAGAAGTTATATATTATAGCAATCACCTGGCGACACCATAATTTCATGTTTTTTAGTACGCATTCGTAAGAACATTAAATCATTTGATGGATCCAGATCTCTCACTACACTTTTTGATTTGTCAATCAATTGTTGTATCAATCCCGCATATTGGATGGTAGTAGCATTATCTAGCGTGGATTTTATAGGAGTACCTGTTCGTTAAATATATGATAATATAAACGGTTAGATATAGGATATTTATTTTAGACATCTAAATTAAAAATACAAACCTTCGTTGTTAACAACTATAGTGCCAATAACGCCGCGGTGGGACTGAATACGTTTAAGAGTTTCTTCTACTTCACTAGCCATTTTGGCTTTTAAATAATAAAAAATAAGAATGAATAGAAAAAATGTATACTGGAAATAAATTCAGATTTGAGTAAACGGCAAAATAAAATTGATTACCTAGATATTCTTAGTGGGTGCCGTATGGTGACTGGTGACGTGTTTGGGGCAGTTCTTCTAAAAAATGATAAGAGATAAAGGTTCTTCCAAAAGATAACACAATTTTTATTTTATCAGCGTGACCAACCCAGAAACACCAAAATATAAAATCACATTCTATCAGTCTGCCAATTTTATCAGAATAAAAGTAACTAAAATATAACTAACGTTTGTCAGAGTTAACTGTTATCTCTAGAACTAAACGGCAATAATTCAAATGATAAAAAAAATAACCGTGTTAAAATATATTATATTTTCTTAAATAGTACACATTTTTACGATAGATTTATAATGACAAAAAACCAACTAGTTCATATGACGACAACGATAATTATTGGTAAATAAAATTTACTTTCGTTTCTTATTAATATTAAATGAATATTTTTATTAGAATTCTTTTTTAATTCATAATTCAAAACTCTTATTTTCACATAATATAAACTTGCAATATTTAATATGAATAACATAATATATTTATCAACTATAGTACTTAGCGACAAAGTTCATACATACACTATATTGTACTAATTTGTGTGACAATATTATTACATCCTATTTAAATAAAACTATTAATACAAGTAAATTATGTTTTACAGTATGATGGTAGTTGCTGAAGTCATAAAAAGCCTATCGGTATGCTTATTCATTAGAGCGGTTCGATTCCTGAAACTATCTCTAGTCTGATTAAGTGTGGTAACAGGTATGGAGTTATTTTTTGTAAAATTGTTTTAATTGATTTAATCTCTATTATTTTAATAATTAACATTTCAACTTTTAACTTATTTATTAATAATATATCTTTCAGTTTTAAGATGAGTCAAAAATGATGGTTGAACAGTTCTCCATTAACACTAACTGGAAGAAATAATTGTTTTATCATTTGTCTAAATAGACTAGGTAAGGAAAGCACTCTAGATTTGTAGTATTAATAAAAATATTGATACATTAGTAGTTTAATATCAATCTAAAATAACCTAATATAGGGTATTTTAAAAAAAAGAAATCAAATGTAAGTTATCATTCTTTTTAATAATTTAATTTACTATTTTCTAACATTGTTAGTTTTTGTACAAGAATAATTGCATTTACTTGTAAATCTTACACTTCATTGGTATGAGATAACAAACTAGGTCAACTTGATGTATACCGGTCACAAATATAGTCGATTCATGAAATCACTCTTCTAAGTGTTACTGATAGATAATTTAAGTTAAATGGTATAAAAAAATGTCATTATCAATTTTCATTATATTTAATTTTAACTTCACAATTAACAAACGATAACATTAGTAAATCATTTAAAATTGGTTTTATACTATAATTATTATTATTATTATTTAACCATTTGTTGTTTTTTCAGCTAGAATGTGACCAGAGGAAGATTAAATGGACATATCATATATTTCTCCATGGACACTGTAGTAATCCATAGACTGACTTTTGACACTATTTGAATATTTGTTGTTGACGTTAATTGGATTTTGTGCAAAACCCCTGGAAGAATATTCTGTATCAGACTAACAGTATAAACGCCACCCAGTAATTCTGTTTACCTGCTGTTAGACATCGTAGTACCATCTCCAATCTCTTTATATATGTTTAATTTTATTTAAAAAAGTCTTACTATAATTTATTATTAATCAAGTATAATTCAGTTGATTATTTATTGAATAACTTATTATCCTGTCTTCAATGTCCATATAAACTGTACTGTATTTATGACCACTACACTGATATCTCATTTGGCTAAATATTTTTAATTTTCAACTACATTAAAACAAAATTAAGATTGTTTAAATTTTTTTTTGAATACTTGTATTATTGTTTGAATATTTTTACACTTTGAGTGTCAATACAAGTATCTTATAATATTCTAGATTTAAAACTGTATTAGTTTAAAGATACTAACAGTATATTACTATTACAATTTTGACAAACATAATTATTAGCCTACCAAACTAATTGTAAATGTAGTTTCTGTATTTACTTATTTATTAATATTTACTTACCTTAATAACATTAAAATATTAATTTATTGTAAAAATATCTTGACCTAACTGAAAGATTGAAAATTTGTAAACTGTTGTGAAATTATGTCGATGTTGTTAGGAAAAAATGTGTAGTCAAAATGTTGAATACCTAGATTAAAAAAAAATGGTACAATTTTTTTTGCTAAAACAAGTAATTATACATTTGTAAATTTTGATGTTTAGTTTATAAAATATACTTTTTTTAATTAAAAAATATCTTTACTTAAGTATCATAAAATTTTTTTTTATTTTAATCAATGTCAATTCACTGATTAATATATTATGTATTAAACAATTGAATATTTCTACATATTTTATACTATTTACCAGATTATTTTATGTGTCTTAAACTATTACATTTATTATTTCTATTATTACTATTTATTGTTTTTTAAAAATGACTTATCAAACTTTATAAATTATAAAATTGGTCTGAAATGTATACTGTGTTACTATAAGTAGCCTGTTAGACAGGAAGTCTATATTGTTTTTTAGAAATAAAAGTTGTTTTTTCTTGGTTAGCTTAATTATACAGTGTGATTCACTAATTTTCTCTCATAATAATTTCAATAAGGTAAAATTATTCTTCAAAACATTTTTGTTTGTGTTATTTTACAACTGAAAACATGTTTTATTAACCACTTACTTTTTTGATAATTTTATATTAAATAATATTTAATTATGATAAAAGATTCAAAGCTTATTTAGTATATTGTATATATTTTTTTATAATTTTATTATATAGAAATGCATTTGTTTTTAGATGTAGTTTTTGACACAATAAAGTAAAAGTAAACCAAATGTATTTTTTCTAAAACTGTTCTCATAGACACGTTTACTCTCGATAGCGAGTGATTTGTATGTGTGTACTGTATTAAGTGATTTTATATAATGCGTTCAAATGAAGGATGTTAAACATATTGAATACTCTCTTTGTTTGAGTATACAATAATGTGTTCGATATAAATTGTGTTTTAAAGTCCAGACACCGTTATCTTTATTTATATGCAGAGTATAATACAGTTAATAATTAAAGATTCTACAAATAAATAATAAATTAGCCTTAGTAAGTTTAACCCTTCACTGCATGAATTTTTTTTTAACCATATGCTATAATGTACTTAATATTACATGACTTGGTTATCGCTAAGTAAATGGCCATTTTAATGAAAAAGTACATAGATTAATAAAATATGGGCTATGCAATCTTCTAACAAACATTGATATTTTCAAATCAAGAGATAATTGTAAATTTGCAAATTTATATTGACCAAAAATTGAATCATATTTTTAAATCATATGAATAACTTTTACTGAACAAATTCATATTGTTTAGTTTGGTTTCTTTAATAAAAATATATACCCAGAGTAGCTTAATATAAACTAATTTCTGTAAAATATGAAGTGAATGATAATTATTTTAAAAACCTACTAATAGATTATAAATAACATTCAGTCCTGCAAGGTATTTTAATACAGACATTTAAAATACGTTATTTGGTATTGAATACTATTTTTGATAATTTGTTATTAATTATTTAATTATTAAAAATATATAATTTGTATGGTACGGGATACTGTTTAGTTAATTTTCTTTTAAGTATGACGTTTATACGATTATGACCCTAGTTTGATCATTTTTATTATTATAACAGAATTGTTTAATCTAGTTTACAATAATTTTATATTATGCAATATTCTTATTATCTACCTATTATCCCATGCAAAAGGGCCGTACAACAATTTTCTTTCTCATCACAAGTCTTTATCCGGCAATAGGTTCACTTTGGACTATAAGTTTATAATGTATATATTGATTTGTGTAGAAACTTGAAAATTAAATATGTTTTATTCTAGTTATTTATGTGAGGTATTTAAACTACAAGTGTCATATGTTCCGTTTTTCTTGCTTTAATATATCCTTTAGGTACCAAATTTTGTTAATAATATATCTTCTAAAAGACAAGATTGAAGACAAAGCGCATAAGCTCCTACCTGTATTCTTTAACTACAGAATACATATGTAAGATGTGGTAAAACTAATTTATACTTGACAGCCAAATTTTGAAATCGTCAACTAATTTAGGTAAAAAGTAAAAATAATGTTTTATTTAAATAGTAATATAAACAATTTGTGGGAAATTTCAATAAAATTATTATTATTTTATACCAAATAATATTAAATTATAACATATACTTATAAGTTATGTATATACACTTATATAATGTAATTTTTTATGAATTTTACATTATATAATTTTACGTGTATAGTGAATACGATTAATTAGAGAATTGATTAATATCTAACTACAATTTTCAATAAAGATAAGAACCTAACTAAAGGCAATGTTTTTGATATTAAAATACGAAATTTCTCTTGGCGGGTTTTTGGTAAAATCGATGTTGGTACTATCTGTAGTATTACACATTTTATAGGTTATGTAACATTTATTTCTTATAACGCGTTATCATTTTTTGGAAGAACTACCCCCAACTCACTGGTGACTACTGACTAGTGACTGATAACCATAGACCTATTATATAGCTGATATAAAATCTATGCTGATAACTGATAAAAATCAAGTTAACTGTTAAACTCAAATCGCAACTGCCAACCGGCGCGAGTAAATACAATTAAAAAAAAATGTTAACATAGTTAATTTTGAAAAGGACAAATTAAAAATTATCTAATAATAATCATATGAAATTTCACAATGGTTATGAAGTATGAGGATTGAGGACTGTCTATTGCTCAAATAATCAATAATTGTCTACATTATTTTTCCAAAGAGTTATAAGTAAAAATAAAACTATGTTCTCAAATTTCTAACCCTGTCATTAGTATTGAGTTTACTGATAATACACAAACGTAAAATATGAAATATCCCAAAAGCTTGGTTAAGTATATCATTTTCATTAATAAATATTGTAATTTGTTATAAGTCTTAATTCATTTATTTCCGGACAAAATCAATACTTAAGATGCCTAGAAACGTGGAAATTAAAGTGCACGTCTGTGACTTAGATCTAGTGAAGCAACGTATTATAGATTTGAAAAAATCTAATTCAGCTGACAATGAAACAGTGGTTTTGAAACAAGAAGATATATTTTTAAATTTACCTAATGATAAAGCGGGTAAACTAAAGCTTAGGAAAATAGAGGTAATCATGCATTATATTTAGATGTGTGGAACGGGATAACCCATGGAAGTTAAGATAAAGTTTATTTTTCTAATAAACAAGTATACAATTTTATTTTAGTTATATTATAGTTTTTTAAATAAAAAAAATTAAGAAATTTGCATAGAGCAATAAATGCATGAACTGCAAGTAGGATCGCTGATTGTTAAGGTGTGGGAAGTAAAAAATTCATGTGGTAAGTGAAGGTATTTAATAAAGTAATGGATAAACAGGGAATAAACCTACCAAGTTCATTGGTACAGGGTGTTGCTATTTGGTTAAATTTAAAAGGAAGTTGAGCAAGGATTTTGTTCGATTTAATAAAAATTATCAACATGTTTTTGATGAAACTAGGTATCTGAGATTACGCTCTATTAACTTTAAGGAGGAACCTCAGCTGCAACACTAATTAATCACAGCCCTAGTAGTATATTAGTCAGCTGCTGAGGTTCCTTTTCATAGTATAGATATAGTCCAACATAAAAAATGAAAACACATTTATTGGCAATAATAATTTACGAACATTTCTTAAATTAAATGTATACAACCTGTATGAATTATTATGTTTGTTTTTATTAAAATTCTATTCTATACTTAGGGTTCCCCTCAAGAACTCATATATTATGACAGAACAGAATGTCCTGGACCGAAACTAAGTTCATTTTATAAATGCAACGTTCCTGAAGAATTAGAAAATGTACTTTTAAACGCTTTAGGTACTTGGGGCGTTGTAAAGAAACATAGAACATTGATAATGGTTGGTCAAACTAGAGTTCACTTTGACTGTGTTGAAGGGTTAGGAAACTTTGTCGAATTGGAGGTATGTGTTAATTTATTATAAAAATAAAATTATACTCCCATAATATTGCTATACTATTTTTCATGTCGTAATTTAGGTAGTACTGAATGAAAATCAAACAGTTGAGGAAGGTCAAACAATTGCCATGAATCTTATGTCGCATATGGGATTTACAGAATCTGATTTATTATCTGTTTCATATGTAGACATGTTACGTCAAAAAGATAATCAATCATAAAAAAAAAAAAAAATTTTATAATAAATTTAAATTTGTTTCATAAAATAAATATAAATGTACTGTTAATAAATATAAATATAAACTGTTTATGGAGATTTCCAGAAATCAGAAGATTTGTCAGTTTTATTGCTTCCAAGTGATATATTATCACTTTCCAGGTTATTTTTACTAAAAGATGAATTTATCAAGTTTAAATGGTCCTGTTGAATATTTTCTTGTTTTGGAGACAAACCAATTATATTTTCATTGTTATGAATTTTTGTATCATTTGTTTTTGATAAATTACTTGGATTCTTAGATGCAATATCTGTTTGTGCTGTATCATCTATGTTAAATTCTATTTCATTCGAATCCAATTTCTTTTCTTTTAATGAATTTGATTCAGAAAGTATTTTTTCAGAAGTAGGTGATGTACATTGAGATTTATTCTTTACATTCAATTCATCTATCGGCGATACTTTTCTATCAGAACTACTGACAGGTGATTGAATATTAGAATTGGTTGATTCGTAATATGATCTGTAAGATGGCGGAATTTTGATAGGTGATATATCATTAGAATAACCCTTTGTTCTTGTATTTCGAAAAATCCTAGGACTTGTTTCAACGTCGTTTGGTATAGAATGATTGGCTCGTCTAATCGATCGGTGATATCCAATTCTATTAGCTAATTCTTTTAAATTAATTTTATTTCTATTAGTTTTAAAAATACCAAAGTCTGAATCATCTGATAAATAAGAACGTATTTCGTTGTACGATTTTCTATTTGTAATTTGTCCTTGATTATTGTTACTCCGTAGGCGTTGAGATTGGAATGATTCAAAGTCTTGTTTGATTTTAGCCTTATCTACTTCTATTCTTTTCAGCCTTGCCGTTGCCTCTTGTATCATTTCATCTTCAGTCTGATTGTCTGACTCCAACAAAGTTGTTGAGTGATCAGTGGTAGTAGTGGTAGAATAATTTTTTTGGCTCGAACGATTTTTTGGTTTTAGGTTATCAACAAAAGTAAGCTTTTTTTTTACATTCCTTACACGGTAATCTTTGTAAGTTGGAGACACTCGTTGAGTTTTTTCAATTTTTTTTACCAAATTAGAAGCTCTACACGACAATTCTTCAATTCTATTTCGTTGAATTGTAATAAATTCGCGTAACTCTTCATTTTCTTTTTGTAATTTACTAACAATTTCTTTCTCCTAAAAAATAAAAGAATAAATAAAATTATATACTTAAAAGTTTATTGTAAAATTTACCAATGACGCTTCAACATTTAGTATATTATTTTTATCTTCATTTATATTTATGCATTCACTTGTTTTGTATTGTTGAAGCTCATTAAGTTTAATTTTGATATCTTCTAGTTCTTTAGTTAAATATACATTTTGTGCCTCTAGATTTTTAACATGACTAAATTCAATTAATTTTGGCTCTTCTACAATTTTTGGCAAATTTCCTTCTTCTATCCTTAAAAGTCACACATAAAATATTACGATACTATAATTTTTAAAAACTTAAATCCAAGTTGATATATTTTTAAGTTAAGAAGTAACGTATTTACTATTTTTTAATCTTTGGAAAATAATAGTTGTAGTTATTGTTTGTGTATTAAAATTACATGTTTATAGCGTGGAGTCCAAAGTTTGGCAATGCTGTTATGTGTATATATAGGGTGTTTCTTATTTGCATGATTTCTGAATTTTAATTATGGCTGCCCCCTTACTCAATTAAAAATAAAGTTAAGCCTACTTTGAACTTTCTAATTTGATCCTAACCATTCGCTGTAACGAGGAAAATTAACTAGATTTTAGAATAAAATAATTTACTCTTGATATAAAACCGTTCAAATCAAATATTTGATTCCTTAGTTCATTTCTTTAGGTTATTTTAGAATATTATGCTTTGTTCTATGTAGACTTAGAGAACCATTTCGTTTTATTAAAAATTTTTTTTTATTTTTTATGACTCAATTACAGACAAAAATATATATATTTTGAAATCAATATTGAACTAAATTATTAACAAAAAAAATTAAAGAATATAAATACTAATACGGTACATTTTCAATAGAATTAATAGCACTCATTAAAAGGTAATAATGAGTGCTCACTTTAAACCATTAAAACGTTAGAATATTGATATCAACACCAAAACCTGCAGAAGCGTACATTTTTTTTCACTTAAAAGTAGCACTATAGATTAAATGTACTATATGTAATATGTGTAGTATATTTAATCTATAATAGCGCTGATCCCTGATAATTTCATATAAAATTAATTTTTGTCATCAAATATTTGCTTGCAGTAGAATAATTAAATTAAATAGGAAAATTGCAGGTATTTTAAATGGAAAACTTCTTCTCGTTACAGCGAATGGTTAGGATCGGATAAGAAAGTAGGCTTATCATTCTTTTTTTAATCTAATAGGGGAGGGGGATGACATAATTGAATAACAAAAATTGTGCAAATAAGAGCTATATATATATATATATATATATATATATATGTTACTTACAATTTTTCTTGTTTTAAAATTTCCATTTCTCTGAGCTTCAGTTCACATTTTTGATTTTCCACATCTTGTGATTTTTTATGATAATCTGCTTCTGATAACTGTATTTTTTTTTCCTTTTCCTAAAATACAATAGAAAAAAAACCAAAGTATGTACGTAATGTGTTAGAATATGACCAGAATCATTCAAGATCAAAATTTTGAGTGAAATTAGTAATAACGCTTACGTCAAGAATGTCAATTAACTGACATAAATGTTGTTGTTCGGTACGAAGTTGTTGCGTAACATAATCTATTTGTTTTTTATCAAAGAGTATATTGCTATGCTGCGATGTTAGCATTTTTTCAACTTCTGCTACTTTATCCACAATTTCTTTGTTTTGATTTTTAAGCTTTAAATATTCATTATACACAAATAATTGTTTGGTATAGTGGGTTTGATGGTACCTATAATAGAATAATTTTTAACTACAAATTTGATAATAACATTTAATGACAAATTTAATAATACAATTTAAAAAAATTACTTTTTTAATAGTTTTTTTAATGTATTTAGCTGTTGATTATTTAAATTTAATGAGCTTAGGATCTCATTTATGTTTACTAACCACTTATTAAAATTATGTTCACAATTATCATTTGTAATTGTAATACATTTCTCCAAACTTTTATTACTTAAAGTTTCATACAGTTTACTGTAACAAAATTGATATAAAACTATTAAAATTGTTTTGTAAATTTTAAAATCTAGACGTTTTAGAACTATTGTAGAATCTTTCACAATTCACTACTGCTAGTACAATTTATAGCAAGACGTTATTTAAAAATAAATTGAAGATGAATTCTATACTAGATCTAAAACGCTAGGAATCGGTGATAATTTTATGAACTCATAAAAATTACTAACAACTTACTTTTGATCAATATGCATAGAGGAAAAACCTTTGAAAAGACTAATAATTAATGGAAGTGTATTGTCACTGCTAAAATATATTTGGCATACTTTTTTTGAAATATCGGAACTGGTGTGTACACCCAAAGCTTCTAATATATCTTGTACTTCACATAATTGAAACCTAGGTTTAGGTAATGAAGAATTTGACGATACTCCCATTCGATTAACGTAAGTTGAAAACTCTTTTAAGTTTCCTAATAATGGAATCTTAAAAAAAAAAAAATTTATATAATGTAAAAAAAAAACAATATTTTGTGTAATTTCAGTAATACTTCAGCCATGAAAATAGATAAAGTAAATAAATTTTCTTGGTAAATCAAAAAATCTGCTATCATCAAGTTAAACGCTTGAATTTTAGGAGAAGTAATATTTTGTTCTTTAGTGTTCCAAGAATCCAGATCCTGCAACGATGTTATCATTTGCTCTCTAATGTGTGCTCGTAAATTAGCAATCAGTCCTTTTTCTTTAAACCTAAAAATTAAACAATTTTGATTTGTGAGTAAAAATCCTTAGCCAAGTGATCTTTTTAATCGTTACCATGCATAGAGTTTATTTTTGAGCGCAGCGTCTTCATAAATATTTCCATTCGTCAGACAATCATATAGTTTATCAGAACTCATAATAAATTATCGTTAAAATAACAGGTATAAATAATAATTAAATTAAATTTGTTAAGGATAAAAGAATAAGCAAAAAAAATACCACCGATTATATGAATATAATAGGTTTGTTCGTTTAAAAAAAAATGGTGTATGCACTAATAGTGTAGTGTATTAGGGGAGGTGCAGGTGTGCTTATTCCAAACAATCGCTTTTGGTGTTTTTGCTTTAAACCAAAAATCCACCATGAACCTTCATTTCCACCAGTGTGGAAAGTGTTGTATACACTAAATCCGTAAAGCGACACGTTTTAAAACAAGCAAACAATTTATCCAGCAATTATTCAAATCTTATCACACTGATAACAATTAATTATGATACACGAATTGTTATCGGTATAATATACGTGATTAAATTGTTTATTTGCATTACTTTTTTAAGATTCAGTGAAGAATATAGTATTGTTTATGTTATTAACGTAGTTTATAAGATTATTAATTACTTTAACGATTTTTATGTATTTGGTCTTAAATACATACAAAACTTTATCGTATGATAACCGGTCCCTGTGGCGCAGAGGATAGCGCGTTGGACTTCTAATCCAAAGGTCGTGGGTTCGATCCCCACCAGGGATGTATTTTGCAATTTTTTATTTACTCTTATTTTAGTTTTTCACTTTTGGTTATTTCATTTATTTATTATAATATTACTTATATTGAAATAATATTCAATAATATTACATAATGTTCTTGTAAAAATAATCAAAAAACACACTGACACAAAATAACGAAACTTATTTATTTAATTTACGATGTACATTTGCCATTTTTCCAAAATGAAATTCTTGAACGTTTTATTAAATTTAGTCTTATTATCTTTATACTATATTTTAGTTTACATTAAACGAAAAAAAAATATCCAGACATATTATTCGATTGATCGTAGTCTCACACTGAGACTGACCATTGTCTCTCGAGTGAAATTACTTTTTTTTTATTGGATAGATATTGAAACAGATAATAATATATTATGCTTATATTATGTTCCGACTAGAATTTTAAAATTGAGATCAATTATTTATGGAGATCAAGTGATTTCAAAGTACTGAATTTAGTACTTGCGGTAAGATGATTAAAAAAGAACTATCCGAGTAGCCTGCCAACAAAAACAGAAAAAGGAAACAACTTTTAAAATTCGTCCGTATTAAATTTAAATGAATAAGGATTTATTAATATTATTGTTTTTAGAAATTAATATTTAATATTATAAGTTTCGCAAATCTTTTAGGTTTAGCTCAATTATTCAAATGCTTTGTAAATATAAACTCTGGAATAAACATTAATTACAAAATCACTGTATAGATAATTAAAAAAAAACAGTTTGTTTTGTTTTATTTTTTTTTAATATTACTTAAGGTGATTAAAAATAATATACACTTATTGTATCATCAACAACCGGTAGTCTTTTTGTAAGCTAATAACTTAGTTGTTGATGAAAAAAAAGAATACGAATATAAAAAAAAGTGTAATATACTTTTATTTAAAAAAAAAAACATCAAAATATGAGTCTATATAAATCAAGAGTACGATTTTGTAAAATAGGTATTATTTTATGTATTTTCATGTTTATTTCTGATCAACATTACAATTTAAACGAGTATTGAGTATAATCTATAGTGTGCACAAATGTCTTATACCTAATATTATATCAGCTCTATTTCACGATAAAATTCGCCGTTAGGTCAGAGCGAGCGTTTAACGAACAAAAGTAAAGGAGTAAAAACAAAATTAACTTTTGTCAATGTTTTTCTTATAAGCTTGAAAGTACGGTAAATTGCATGGGATTTACAAAAAGTTGAAACCAGTATATTTGACCAATTTAGCCGCTATAGGGTCACTCTATACGATCGTTGAGTTGGTAAACTTTAAAGACGTTGAATTTATTGTACCATAGGAGTCCTAGAAACGTCCGTGAAGTATAAAGAACCGTGAGCACACACACACACACACACATATATATATATGCACATGGTTCTATACACATATTATAAACAGTGTGAGTGCTATTAAACCTATTGTGTGTTGTCAATATGATTGCAAAGCCGTTCGTCCATTATTAACGGATTGGGATCAACTCCTTTCGACTACCTATATTATTATATAGGGTAAATAATTATTGTTATGGCCTGAGCGTGTACCTACCCAAATGTTGTACGGGGATAATTATACAAAACGTTTTCATCTGCACAACGTTATTCATAGTATTGCAACAATTAATCATTTATACACGCATAGGCATTTTGTATATTTACAATAATTGGCGAAGATTGGGAAGACTAATGACTACGACATTATGATGCTATATTTGGGTTCGAACTTTATTTTATTAGTAACCTATAAACGGTGTAATATTAAAAATAGCTGCTATTTTTTTAAAAAAAACTTAAAAAACAAATACTCTTCTTTTTATAAAACGCGCCTTACTTTTTGAAAAAGATACATTAAAAAAATACTTTTAATATAATATATAAACCTTTAAATGTCAGTACTATAACCAATAATCTATTTCTTTGTTCTAGCACAGCTAGACTTCGATAAAAAATATACTCAAACTGTTAACTGTTTATAATTAAGATATTAATTTTTATCTATACTAAAATTAGAAAAAAAACATTGTTTTGTTCTGAACTAAAATAGTACCTATTATTCAAAGTAGATTTGGAATCAATATTCAGACTTATAATATTATTTTCATATGTTAAACGAATCCTAAACAGACTAATGGAATAAATTATATGAAATATTCATATAATTTGTTTTGCTCTTAATTCCCATTACTTATAAGTTATAAATAATACCATATTACCATAATAATGTATACATACTTAATTTTTTTTTGTGGGGCTTGAATACATTTTGTTGTGGAGAGGAGTGTTAATCAAACCTATCTATAGGAGGTACTCCTTTATCAGTTATCTGAAGCTTGTTCTCTGCATTAAACTATAACATAATTTTTATACCATTTAGTAGGTAACTAACCAATAAGTTTAAAGACCAAAACGACCTACTTCTTATCCTGTTAGATGGTAGTTTTGCTAAATGCCATTTTATAGAAACAATATAATATATGTATTGTAAATGAATATTTTAAATGTTGCGCATAAATATTGTTGATTAAAAAACGTTGGTTCAATAAATAACGTCGATATTTACGATGCGTACAGGTGCTACGATGTATGTTCAAATAACACATTCTTTAGGATAATATATGAACATAAATGTTCTACTCCAATTATAATTGTTGGGTATTGCCGTAAATCAAATTGTACCTATTGGAAAAAAAATAAATTGTACCCCGGAGATTTTATGTTTGAACCAAATTTGGAAGTAGATTATATTAATACTAGATTTCAATCTCGATATTGCAAAAATTATAATATACCTATAAAGTTTAAACAGGCATACTAATCGAATTATATTATTTACTTTTCGTTTAATCGTTTAAACATTTTTATGAAAAATATTTAAATGATACAACTTATAAGAAAAAAATTACTAGAATTAATAAAATTGGTAATATTGCTGTCAGTTTTTAACGTATGAGAACAGACTAGTAATTATTTTGTTTATGATACAAATTAATTTTTAATAAACTAGTATTACTTATATGTAATTTTTATTTTTACTTTATTGGAGGCGAGGAATATTGTGATTTAATGTTTTAAAAATATGGAAATAGAAATTAAACGCTTTCTGATGCTATTAAATTAAAGATAGTCTTTATTTAAAAAAAAAATTATAAATTACAATTCATGCTAACATACTCATTAGACGATCTATGTTATATTATGGTTTAAGATTATAGCTGGCGTGTTTAGGCAAAAGTTCAAATTTTGTGTTTTCTTTTGTCTAAGCTATGTAGTTATAGCTTATTATTAACCTTTAACTTTACTTTTCAGTATTATTAACCGTGGTTAAAGTTCAAAAATATTTTTACTAAAATAATTATACTACAAATAGAACTAGCCTACTCGGAATTCATATTGAAGGAAATAGTTAACTTCTCAGTTCTCTTATCACAAATTTGTGAACAAATTAACAAACAAATAAAAAACATGTGTTTTTGACTTATCCGATTTTGCTCAAACACAACAGATAATGTTTTATGATGTGATGTTTTTAACTGGGGTGATTTTTATTTTTCGCAATGAATCGATTCACCATAAAGAATCAAAAACATTTAAATATAAATTAAACGCGTATGCTGTTTGTATTGTAATGTACGATGTTTGCGGTTTTCGAGACTTTGCAGTGGACCTTTAGAAGTAAGTAGAACTATAATGATATTTTCATTTGCGCGTCTCAATGATGATTTTTAAATCATCTACGCTAAAAACCATTTCGATTATACCTTACATTATTCAGTGTATAATATCTGTGTTAAGTGAGAGATTTGAGCAGGTCCGTTAGTACAGTGTATCGGCCACCCATGTCTCGCGCCGCCAATGCTGGCAAAGTTGCCGGCGACCGCGTACATGAATGAGCTTGATAAAGGCACAATCGCTGTATGTACGGTATAGAAGGCAACGTGCTACCGTCGCCGTAGCTGGTCTCAGTGCACGGTATGCGATTAACATGGTCACACAAACCCTGCCATCGTGCACATCAAATGGTCATGACACGTGTCGCTCGGTCAAGGTAAGCCGTAACATCCGGATTTTATTTTTTTTTCCTTAACTCGTAATACACCTAAATTAAAAATGTAAATTTACCATGAATTTGTTAATTAAACGGTAAATAAAAAACTAAACATCGTTGAAATACTTAATTATTATGCTTGATACTCATTTTGCTAACGTAACTGTGGGATGAACTTATATTTAAAAAAAATTTACTAGGTACATACCGAAACGCTGAACATTATATTTAAATAACTTTGTTATTCGAATGATTATTAAAAACGAAAATGTACTTAAATAAAAACTTAAGTAATAATTACTACATTATTTTTACTAGAATAGAGATCTAAATAATAATTTCAAATACATTTGTCATTGAAAAAAAAAATGTAAATTATTAAGTAAATAAATATGTATTTACCTACTTAAAAAACAGCGTGAAGTACATGATTTCTTTTTAAACGTCTAGTCTTTTGTTTAATTTTGCATTTTTAAAAAATAAAATCTAATGTCCAAAATAATTGTATACATCAAACTAAATGTAATTGAAATAATTTGGTTATTTGTAAGTTATTATTAATTATTTAAATATAATTTTTCCAAGTGTGCTAACAACTTAAAGTTAATTATTAATACATGACGCTATTTTATGTATGATATACTAAAGTCTATTAATAGATACATAGGAGACGGATTCAGTATAGTAATAATATGTACCTAGTTAATGTCAACCTTTTCCCTCTATTATAAAAAGAAAAAACACGCTGCGGGATAGTCGATTTTAAAATTAATAAATGTAGCTGTAGGCCCATATTTTTTTTTAATATTAATTAATTGAAAATTGGCTTAGTTATATCTGGATACGCGCATCTATAGATGACTCATGTAAAATCTAAAACAAGAAATAGTTAAGTACCTACTTTACCATACGAAAAATACAAATAGTTGAATACATAAAAGTGTATACTTAGTATAAAGTAAAAATATTGACTTTAACCTAAAGGTAAAATGTACATGGAGCTTATTTTACAGTTTAAAAACTATACCTACTTATTTACACATATTGAGGACACTTACACTTATTGGTGAATGATATGCGAAAGTTATTTTAATTTTCTATTTATTTATAAAACTTATCCATAGACATTTATACTAGAAAGTACATATTATGATTTAAATTATTTTGACTGTACCCTTTGCAAATTGATATTGCGATTCTATTTTTTATTGCTTAAAATTGTTATTATTGACGACTCAATGAATCGACGGCAGGTGTGTCATACAAACAAACAATCATACCTGAATTTTATACATTTTCTTTTATGCACAACTGAACGAATACATCGTCTAAAGGTTATTTTTATCTCGAGGGCTGACGACAAGAATTATTTTTGGTTTTCTTTGAAAGCGAAATATTAAAACCGGTATGCTAGTAAACTGTCTTCTGTTCTTGTTAACTAATAACATAACTTAGAATAACAGGCTGGACATAAGCCTTGAATCTTCTATTTCTACATTTCTCTATTTGTCTCCATTTTTTTTTGCCATTTTAGACACCTTCTTGTTTTATCTCCTTCTTCTTCTACGATCCACATCAATTTCTAAATATTTTCCCACCAATCTCTTGAAGTCTTTACTATTTTATTTCTCTCTCTTTTTTTTACAAGCCCATACTATGTTAACATATTCCCCCTTTTTTACTAATAGCGCATCTCCCAATTATGTTCGATAAATATTGTAATTTATTTATACTTCCAGTTTTTTGAATACTTTTTAATCGTAAAAATGTACCCCATTCGAGAGCTACCTAAAAATGATTGCGTTAAACGCAAAAATAAAAAAAGCGTCATTATTAAAATTAAAGTATACATTTGGCAATTTCAGTATTTGTACAACCTTTTAAATGATACAATCGGGGTCTGGCATCTTCTGAGTACCTAGTCTTTGCCTTATAAGAAAATTGTGTGTAGGCCACAGGTTAGTGTGGTAATTTATCAATAATTCTACAGTTTTTTACCAATGTTCGAATTCAAATTCAGTAGTTTAATTCAGCATTTATTTAGCCTATTACTGCCTCACATCATTATATTTATTTGGCATCAGATCAAATAGTAATAACTAATAAGTAATAGCTCTAAAATGAAGATGTTTTTTTCCATATGACAGTTGTGTTGTTACGTATGCGTATCTATATTACAAAAGAGACATTTTAAAAACAATAACGAACAAAAAAATACCTAATTTTGGAGTTTGTGTTCATTTTGAAACCAACAACAGGTATATACTTAATATTAAATTAGATACAAATAATGTAATAATATTTCCACATAATAATACTACGCAATAATATTCAACCTCCTTAGCCGTACTACTCAAACGCGACCAAATAGTAAATAATATATTTTTTGTTTAAGTGTCCGGAACACACTCTATTCGCCACTATTATTGTGTTACCGCTAAGTCGTACACAACATGAATATTTTATCATAACTCCGATAGGTATTATTTCATTATAATATTAATACTATCATTATTATCATTGTATATTTTATATTATATTATATTATTATAGCGCGTTGAACAAGTTATTAGATTATTGTATAATGTTATGTTATAGTAATAATAATAATATGTACATCGGCAAATCCCCGTTTAACGGCGACGGCGGTTATTTGCGAACCAAAGGTATATAAACTAACCGATAGACGATAAACACACACACACACACACATACATACATTACATAGAATCGCATATAAGCGTCAAAATGGCAGCTGAACCGGCACGTTCTAATCCTATTAATTGACCGTCTACCTACCGTGGTGGGTGTCCTGTTTATGTGTACATTCCATACATACATCTGTAGACATATATATATATATATATATATATATATATATATATATAATATTCGTAATAATTGCGATTAATTAATTACCGATCCGTTGTACCTTGAACACGCGCTAAAACAAACTCCAGAACAATACGGACAAGGGCGTCTTCCCAGCGCCCAAGTTTTTTACCGATGGTCGATGGATGAAAGGGTCGGGTTTTGAATATGGCTTTGTTGATATCGACTTGTACTTCGGAGGTACGACAGTCTTTTTCCGTTTAAAATTAACTATAGTTTCGCGATATTATAATTACTGCTCTACGGTAAATTTCATTTGTTTTAACATCAAACGCAGTCGGCAGCTACGTCATTCGGAATACAATTTTCCTGTCCTTTTATTTTATTTTATTATTATTAATATTAATAAAACAAAAGCAACGTCGTAATGTTTTTTATTTTTTTGTCTTAAGCAATATATTTTTTTGTTTATGAAAATATGTTTTTATATTTTATTTCCGGTACGTAAGTCGAGAAGGTAGTGCACATTTACAAATATGTATAAAATAATAGAGATGTATCGTTAAAAAGAAAATTAAATTTTGGGACTTTGAAGATACTCTAAAAATAGGTCTAATTTCACGTTATAAGTTAAATCAGTAACAATAAAAATCATTTTTAGCTTTGATACAAACTTTTCAGTGTTACATTATCGGATAAAAATTTGGTAAATTTGATCAAAATGAGAAAAAGTCGTTTACAGCTTACAGATTTTTTAGTTTCAACTCTGACACGCTATAACATTATGAAAAATGATCGGAACAGTTAAAATGTGACAAAAAAATTGTTTAGTTAACTTTACTATTATTTAATAATATTATTAATCAATGAATTAATAAAATAAATAGTATTTTCGACTAGATGTAGTAAATTCCGTTTTAATTGAGTTATCTTAATTCGATGGGTCAACTATTATTTACACATAAATTAATTGAAATTGTTTTCATAAATAAAAAACTTTATAATAAAATAATATAAAGCGAGCTGTCCTTTAATTTGGGTTAATAAATAATAGTACATAATAGTAATAAAACAATTGGACATTGACACTTTTAAGTTAAACAAAAGTCGAAACATTAATCTACTGCTATATTATATATTATATATATTAAAATAAAAGATAACAAAAATAATAATAATGAAAAATGATTTATTTATAGGTATACAAGTGGTATTAATAATATACCGTATACGTCGTATCTTTCAAAACTGCTAAACAAATATTTACTAGACCAGATATTAGGAGACTTTGACCTTTAAAGAAATTTTACGCTGATCCTCCTGTCCCAAACCATAGACCGAGCACTTCCCAATAATTATCAATACAGTATTTTTGATTAAGTAAGGAATGCATAGGCTATATATTTTGATCTTCTTCTTGTGAACTTCGGTGTCTTGCTGCATATTATTTGACTACCTACATATTGTCGGGTCTAGTACCAGACCCTTAGCAGTTAGCTATCGGATGATCTAAAATAATTATGTCAGCCCAACGATTCTGAGTAATATTACCATATACTTCGCAGTGAACTTCCTTGAAGACATCGAAGCCTTTCTACGAAATAAATTAGCTATGGACGTTCGAACTTTGTGATGTGCTGTATTGCGCACCAGTTGCAATTAATTTGTTAATCATTCCATGAATTTTTTTTTTATTTTAGAAAAATTTGGTTTCTGAGTTTTCTAGTTTGAGTTTGAATCGGTTAATCATCCTTTCATACAGTATGGTAAAAAAAAATTACCAACGTGGATGTAGCGATTTTGCCTAATCGATTCGCCGTGTTAACGAAACTAAAACAAAACAATAACAATGATAATATAAGTTGCAATTTTCGTAGTTAGACTTCTGATAGCGGTCCTCGCTCGTTTTATTACTTTTTATTAGTAATTGTTGTTGTAATTATACTGATATGTTTAAAAATAATTACTATGCAGCGACAAAAATGGTATTCTCAGAGACCGGTGTTTTCTGCATATTATAAATTAAAAAATTAAACATTATATTATTTTCAAAACACTAAACAAATATTACACGTGAAATATATTTTATCAAACTTTGTAAAATTTGGTTAAATAATATTTATAAATTGCTACGTCAACAGAAATACATTTATTTAAATCAAAATGTA